ACAATTATTATTTGTATTATTTATACGATTATTGCTATAATTATTATTAGCATGCATAAAGAAAACATATTAAAGTGATATATCAATGACAAAATCAATTAGAGCCATGAGGAGCTTCGAACCTGCAACCTGGGTTACTCCCAAGCATGTGCCTCACACCACTGAATCACGTGGTACATAATGAAAAAATATTTTGTATTTTTCAACCAATTTTTGTATTTTTCACTGCTGTGCCCCAGGTTCACTCCAGCCAGAAATGTAACAATTTGTACAAATTGCTACAAAGCTTCTGAATAAATAATGTTTGAATCAGCAATTCACGATACAGGAGAAAATGTGGAATTGGTATGAAGAACTGGAAGAGGGAATAGAAAAGAGGAAATGGAATAAGAAACTGGAAGGAGAAATCGAAAGGACGAATTGGAAAGGAGGAAATGGAATAAGAAACTGGAAGGAGAAATCGAAAGGACGAATTGGAAAGGAGGAAATGGAATGAAGAATTGGAAAGAATGAATTAGATTGGACTTATAATGGAAATAGAAAGTAAACCAATGTAAAGGAAGGAGATGGATGTACTAACTTGGACCTGCTGGGGTCGCAGAGGAAGGTGGTGTCGAAGTAGGCATTGAGCATGTGGTCAAGGGCAAGTTTGGGCTGGGGCACCTTGACTCGTGCCAGGATGGTCTTGTGGGCATTGCGGCCCTCGTTGCGGACTTTAGATAGATCCAACGGGATGTTCACCCGCTGGAGCCGCGCCTGGGTCTCCTGCCCGTACAGATGCACCTGCCAAAATCCAGACAATGTTACTTTATCATATACTGTCCGAGGGAAAGAGGGTAGCCATGACTGTCATCCGAAAAACATCAGCAAGATGTAAAGAGTATGAATGCATGTATTGTTGATGGTATCCTTCTGTGCATTCTTTCATTATAGTCATACATATTCATACACACGCTCAATCCTCACAAGTGTAGCTAGGTAAACACACACACACACACACACACACACACACACACACACACACACACACACACACACACACACACACACACACACACATAAGACTAGACTGGCTAGTCTGCTAGACAGTCTAGACTGCTAGACTGGCCAACATAAGACAGTCTAGACTGCCTAGACTGCCTAGACAGTCTAGACAGTCTAGACTGACAGTCTAGACTGCTAGACTGGCCAACATAAGAACTGCCTTCAGAAACTTGTGTAAGGAATCTTTCAGAACCCTGTATACCACTTATGTAAGACCAATCCTGGAGTATGCAGCTCCAGCCTGGAGTCCATACCTAGTTAAACACAAGACAAAGTTAGAGAAGATTCAGCGGTATGCCACCAGGCTCGTCCCGGAACTGAGAGGATTGAGCTACGAGGAAAGGCTAAAGGAGCTGAACCTCACATCCCTGGAAAACAGAAGAGTAAGGGGAGACATGATAACCACCTACAAAATTCTCAGGGGAATTGACAGGGTGGACAAAGACAAACTCTTCAGCACGGGTGGGACACGAACAAGGGGACACAGGTGGAAACTTAGTACCCAGATGAGCCACAGAGACGTTAGAAAGAATTTTTTCAGTGTCAGAGTAGTTAATAAATGGAATGCACTAGGAAGTGATGTGGTGGAGGCTGACTCCATACACAGTTTCAAATGTAGGTATGATAGAGCCCAGTAGGCTCAGGAATCTGTACACCAGTTGATTGACAGTTGAGAGGCGGGACCAAAGAGCCAAAGCTCAACCCCCGCAAGCACAATTAGGTGAGTACAATTAGGTGAGTACACACACACACACACACACACACACACACACACACACACACACACACACACACACACAAAATATAGACATTTATAAGCATGGGGAACACCACTCACTACGATGAAATAATCCTTAATTACAGAGTGATGAAGAAGAGGCTCAGGAGATTGTTGTCTAGACAGCATTCACCTGACGTTAATGCTGGGAAGAAGCAGGGTACAGCTCGCCAAGCAGGTGTCGTCTTACCTGCTGAGAAAAGTAGACAAGTTGCTGTTGCTTGGCTGCGCGGTAGACCTGCAGCTGCTGGAAAAGAGTTCGCATCTTCCATTTTCTGAAGTAAAACTGGACATACCGGGCCGCCTCCGCCTGTATCGTACCTAGGGGAAAAGGGGGGCATGAGACCGGTGTAGCAGGGTACACAGTGGTATATCTGTTAATCTACCATATATTCTAGTGCTAAATTCACTAGATGTGTTCACTTCTTATGTTGTGTTGATTAAGCACAAAAATACTTAAGTAATTACAATGTCTCATTTTCCTTCAAGGTTAAACATTGTCATATTTTAAATAATATATATATTTGATGCTAGCTCAGAGATTTCGATAAGACAAGAGTCATTAACACCTGGTCCAATCTCTGTATTGGCTGTTGCTTCTGGGTTGGCGATTTTAATGCAATATGAGCAAGGTACTGACTAATCTAATCTCTGTGTTGTCTGTTATTGCATTGATTGATTAAAGCATAAATATGAATAAGATTAGTGTAGATATAAATAGGAGATGCTATGAGCCAATAGGCATTTTGCAGTTTTATTTCTTGGAGGTGACATGATTGACTTAACATCTATGAATGACTTTTGGTTGATAGAAATAGGTGTTACTGCATATGGGCCAATAGACTTTCTGCAGATAAATATTAGTGACATGATTGATTAAAACATAGGATTGTTCACAGAAAAAAGTCTGACTATGACTGTCCCCTAAAGAACCAAAAGAGATGGCCGTAGTCGTACTTTACACTATTCACAATGCTACTCGCCACCAACACACTACCACCAACAAACCACCACCCATCACCAACACACTACAACCGATCACCATCACGCTACTACCCATAACCAACACACTACCACCCACCACCATCACACTACAATCCACCACAACACTCTACCACACACCACAAGCTAGCTGCCCATATCCATACTCTATACACTCACCTTCACCGAACCTCGTGCGTTCCTTTATCCTATTAGCGATCTCGGCGTTCTCCAGGTGGACTTTAGCCTGGTGGGTGCCTGAATATGAGAGAATGAAAAGATAAGAATGGGCTCTCACAGCCCTCGCAGTGTGCTTCTATATTCCCTGTTGTCGCAGACAAGAAGTCTGTATTTAAGTTTATCGATGTCTGCCCTTGGGCATCTACTGATCTTTCCCAGAATGCAGCCCACAAATATTGCCCAACCGGTTCTGTCCTGGCTGTAGACCCCACACTCCCCCTCGAATACTATGCCTTCCCAGGTGTATAAGAAGCTTCTGAAGATAATTATTTTCTTCAATTATGTAAGACCACAAATATACATTTCTGCCATACATTACATTATAAAACAAAATGTGAGCAGCGAACACAAGTGAGAAAAAAGGATGCGGTTAATGTAGCGGCAGAATTCCTCACTATCCTGATGGGTCCCTCGTCACTCTAGTTTCATTTTACTATTTTCAGTGACAAAAAATGGTGAAAAATTTGAAAATACATAATTGAAAGGATTCTTGCCAAAAAATTAGTCTCAAAAATAATTAAATATATTTTAAATATACTACTATGTCTACACTGCCTTGCCTATATATGTAGGTGGGATGATATAGCCAAGAACAAATTTGCATATAGTAACGTTAACCAGTACTATGTGTGGGTTCTTGGTGTACTTGAAGAGCAACTATTCTGTGCTGCAAGTCAAGAGGCTATACCACCGTCCTCACCGGTGTCTAGGTCGTCTCTCTCTACACCACATGTCTTAGGAATGGTTGTGCCGGTGCAGCTGTTATCTTGTGCCTTATCTTCAGTGCCCTTCCCCTCCACCACAAGATTTGTGTAGTAATAATACTTATTCCGGCGAGGAATTGAAGCCTCATCGTCGTCACAACCAATGTCTTCCTCTCTCGTCGAGGCATTATCGTCTTCCAAGTTCCACGGATAACTGAAGTTCTTATCACTGTGTCCTGTGCAGCAAGGGAGGTGGGGTTCGTCTATGTCGGTGGACCTTGTAAACTCAGGATGGCCTGAGTTGTTTCGTTCACATTCATTTTCAACCCTATCTTCTGGATGTGGGGAGTCCCTAGTGATGGCATGAACCTCAACATTATGGGTCTCTGATTTGTTGCTTAATATGAGTGATGACTGTTCTCTGTCACCGTCAGAGGAGTTGAAGATGAGCAAAGATTCCTGTGTGATGGTCCTGAAGAGACGGGTGGTAGGGACCTGGGGCGCTGGCTTGTTTTTCGTCACTCTGGCTACTTCCTCCACATCAACGTCTACTTCTTCAATGCCAAAGACTACTTCTTTCATGTCAAAGGCTACTTTCTCCACACCAACGTCTACTTTTTCCACGTCAACGCATACTTCCTTCACATCAAAGCCTACTTCCCCCACATCAATCTCCAGAAGTGATTCCGTGTCTGCCATGTCCCCACTAAGTATAAACGCTCGAGTGGCTACACTACTCAACGCACACCCCAGTATACAGAGCAGAGTGTGGCTGATGCCGTGCTCCTCCCTCTCATTGTGAAGCCCCACGCAGTCACGTCCTTTATAAGCCAATGTATTTTCCATCACCTTTACCAATATTAAAGCTGCTTGCTATATAAACCATTAGTTATATTATATCTGGGTCAAGCTTTTTCTTAATATTGTCTTCCCTTGTGGACACCTGTTCAATTTTGCAACGAAAATGGATCTTAGTTTGAATATTATCGACAGCAAAATTCTTATACAGATATGTCCACATATTAAAAGGCTATTCATAGCCCTGTGGATAGAGCTTCGGCCTCACAGGGGTGGGGTCCACGGTTCGAGACCCATACAGCCCAGGTGAATGGAAGGTCCGTATATTGTCATAGAGAATACCACCTGTCCTTACTTTAAATATATTATATTTCTTCGTTTGGGATGCAAGCATATAATGCTTTTCGAAATAAAAGCACTGGAAATTAACAGGTTTTTGTGTGACTAATGAGCGTTGATCTCAACAGCTTCGTGGGGAAGGTTCGTGTGCCAGCCTACACCACCTGTTAGGCCTGGTCGACGACCGGGCCGCGGGGACGCTAAGCCCCGGAAGCTCCTCAAGGTAACCCCACCTAACTTTTCGAGAACGACAGATGCAGCGTCCGCCTCGCTTCCTGTAGATCGGGAATTGAACGCCGACTTCCAAGAAGCAAGACCATCGTGCTGCTGTCTAGTGCAAGTGCTTATTAGAAATTTAAACGTTTCGAACCTACATGGTTCATACGAAACGTTGTGTATAAGTTTTTAATGTGTAATACAGTCTACAGTTAATTATTTATTTTTCTTTGCCTCGTACAAAGATGACATTTGGAGAAATCCTCTTCCAATTAAACCAAGATGCAAGAGCACTGGTCAAAGGGATAAAAGCCCTAAACAAGTAAATAATCAATACAGAATATGCAGTTATATTCAGTGAAACATGAAACAAAGAAAGAGATGTACCAGGTGATACTGGCATGTCGCTTTCTGCTGAAAGCGACATGCCAGTAAAACTATTTACCACATACAAGGGATACAAAAACAAGGATGCCATGACATGAATCCGGAGAGAAGGAACGGTGTTCAACCACTGGAACCTTCCGGATCGAACGCCGACCCTGCAAAAAAAGCAAAACTGAGGCTCTATGGAGAAAGTCAAGAGGATGGGAGGGGGATACCAAGTGAGACAAGAAGTAATGTACTTACTCTCCTTGGGCTCTATCACTTCCTCAGCTTTCCTGTGTTTCCTGAGCATGTAGGAGCGGATCGCAGCCTGGATTTTTATGATCTTCTTCACGCTGGACTCGTACAGTCTGCGGAAGATCGGTGTCACATTCACTTCAACTTACCAACTGTCAGTAGCCTAACGTTAACGTGTGTGTGTGTGTGTGTACTTACCTAGTTGTACTCACCTAGTTGTGTTTGCGGGGGTTGAGCTCTGGCTCTTTGGTCCCGCCTCTCAACCGTCAATCAACAGGTGTACAGATTCATGAGCCTATCGGGCTCTGTCATATCTACACTTGAAACTGTGTATGGAGTCAGCCTCCACCACATCACTTCCTAATGCATTCCATTTGTCAACCACTCTGACACTAAAAAAGTTCTTTCTAATATCTCTGTGGCTCATTTGGGCACTCAGTTTCCACCTGTGTCCCCTTGTGCGTGTTCCCCTTGTGTTAAATAGACTGTCTTTATCTACCCTATCAATCCCCTTCAGAATCTTGAATGTGTGGTGTGTGTGTGTGTGTACTCACCTAGTTGTGTCTGCAGGATCGAGCATTGACTCTTGGATCCCGCCTTTCGAGCATCGGTTGTTTACAGCAATGACTCCTGTCCTATTTCCCTATCAGCCCCCATCAGCCCCCTATCAGCCTTGTGTGTGTGTGTGTGTGTGTGTGTGTGTGTGTGTGTGTGTGTGTGTGTGTGTGTGTGTGTGTGTGTGTGTGTGTGTGTGTGTGTGTGTGTGGCGTCGTGCGACCTGTTACGCTGAAATAAGAAACACTATCACCCAAAGCACAATGACTGCACGTAAGCAAGTAAGCAAGTAAGCAACTTCGGAGAGTTAATTTTTCAACTTCCTTCTCAAGTGAAGAAAAATGTAAAGAAAACAAGCCTTACCCTTAAGGCCTTATCTTAAGCCTTACCCTTAAGGCCTTATCTTAAGCCTTACCCTTAAGGCCTTATCTTCAGCCTTACCCTTAAGGCCTTATCTTCAGCCTTACCCTTAAGGCCTTATCTTAAGCCTTACCCTTAAGGCCTTATCTTAAGCCTTACCCTTAAGGCATTAATATCATTCTACTAGTTTTCCCTTTGTATTCCTATCATCATTATAAATTAGCCTAAGAAGTGTTGGTAGTGTACCTGGAGAGGAACTCCTCGTTGTAGTACTTGAGGAAGACCTTGTCCTTGCCAATGGCCCAGCCCTCCATCTTGAGTCTCACCAGCAGGAGCCTGGCGTTGTCCTTCGTCACGTCAACACACTCCCCGTAGTCAAACGCCAAGAACTGGTATCTGCCCAATAACACGATCAAATTATTCAAAATTTATTAAAAATATTCTCTCTTCATCATCAAAATTATTTAACTTGGAGGAAGTGAATGATGAGCCAGTATGACTGTGTACTACATGGCAGGGATATGAGGATAGGAGCTACGATAGGAACGATGTCCAATTTGGATCATCGGGAATCGAACATCGGGCCTGCAAGAAACAAGAGAAACCACCCTAAAAAAACATGGACTGGCTTACCTTCGTAGGAACTCGCGGTAGGAGATCCTGTGAGAAAACCCTTGCTGGCGAATCCTGATGGTATCGCACACCGCGTGGTATTTGATCTGATGCTTTATCATGTCTCGGTCAAAAATGGACTCGGAATTATCCATATTTGAGCGGATGCAGCGCAGGAAGTGTGGCTGAGAGTTGGTTAGCTTGTAGAGAAGCTCGATGAGGGCGTAGCGCAGGTTCGTACCCAGGGTCTGGGTGTGTTTCGTCTGCGACAACCGACCCTTCGACTTGGTGTTGAACCGCTGCACCACAACACATATTGTAACACATAATTATACATAATGAGTATGTTGTTTAAGTGCAACACATCATAACTATACATAATACTTATGTTGTAAATTGCAACACATCAAAATTATGCATGATGATTATGTGGTATAATTACAATTCATCATAATCATATTTAATGATGATGTTGAATTACAGCACCATAATTATACTTAATGACTCTTTAATTGCAACAAACCACAATGATAAAATGATCATGTAAGCTTCAAAGTATAGATGTTATTATGTGGTGCAAGGCAATAGGAATGTGCAGTGATGTAGGAGAGACAACATTTAGGAAATGTGAACGTAGTCATCAAGGGTTTCATGTCTCTAATGTGTGCACACTCTGATGATGATAGTGCTTGTGGTGATGATAATGGTGATGATGATGGTGGTGAGGATTATGATAACGATGACTAGAGGCTAACAATGCTCCCGTCCCCAGACCTGACCCGGGACTGAATACAACAGCTATACACTCACTCTCGAGTCCTTCTTCTTGGACAAGACTGCGGGAGCCTTGTCCTTGGTCTGGGAGTCGAGGTTCTCCAGGGTGACGTTGCCCGTCTTGGTCAGCTTGTTGCAGAACATGCCCCGGATGTACTCATTGGCTGACTGCCGCAGTGTCTGAACCACTTCTGTCCATGCCAAAAAAAAACATTCGAGTTATTGATTTCGTGTTTCAAATAATGGTTTGGTGTCAATGTCCAGGATAAGTTTGTTTGGTTTATTGAGGACCATCTGTAAGCCAAGATGTGACCGTTGCAACCCACAACAGTTGTCTAATTTTGGGGCTAAAAATTTTTACTGCTAGGTGGACAAAGGTATCAGGAGTAAGGTAGGACAAAGGGGCATAAGAGATGGGGGAATTATATGTCTATAGAGTGTGAAGTTTACTTGTGCAATTTCTTAATAATATTTTCTAAGAGAAGGGGAAGAGAGGTGAAAGTAAGGAGGTGGTGGGGACTCACCAATAGAGACGTGGTCACGGTTCTTGCGAAGGAAGCCTCGCGCATCGTATTTGACCCGCCCGACGTAGTGGGAGATGGCGTAGGTGAACTCCGACACCCGCTGCATCTGCTTCTGTATGCACCGCTGCTCCAGCTTGCCTGAAACCCATCGTCGTCGTCACCTTCACAATTTGGTTCTCAGGATATCAAACAAATCAAAATTGTTATATTTTGGGGGGTTATCATGACACGAAAATTCGATTTTTTTTTTTTTTTTTTTTTTAGATTTTTGATCACAATGGATATGGCAAATGTTTTTCAATACCAGATAAAAAAAAGTTTTTCTTTACAATACCAGAGAACGCTTTTGTTTACAATATCAGAGAACGCTTTTGTTTACAATATCAGAGAACGCTTTTGTTTACAATATCAGAGAACGCTTTTGTTTACAATATCAGAGAACGCTTTTGTTTGCAATACCAGAGAACGCTTTTGTTTACAATATCAGAGAACGCTTTTGTTTACAAAACCAGAGAACGCTTTTGTTTACAATACCAGAGAACGCTTTTGTTTACAATATCAGAGAACGCTTTTGTTTACAAAACCAGAGAACGCTTTTGTTTACAATACCAGAGAACGCTTTTGTTTACAATATCAGAGAACGCTTTTGTTTACAATACCAGAGAACGCTTTTGTTTACAATACCAGAGAACGCTTTTGTTTACAATACCAGAGAACGCTTTTGTTTACAATATCAGAGAACGCTTTTGTTTACAATATCAGAGAACGCTTTTGTTTACAATATCAGAGAACGCTTTTGTTTACAATACCAGAGAACGCTTTTGTTTACAATACCAGAGAACGCTTTTGTTTACAATACCAGAGAACGCTTTTGTTTACAATATCAGAGAACGCTTTTGTTTACAATACCAGAGAACGCTTTTGTTTACAATATCAGAGAACGCTTTTGTTTACAAAACCAGAGAACGCTTTTGTTTACAATACCAGAGAACGCTTTTGTTTACAATATCAGAGAACGCTTTTGTTTACAATACCAGAGAACGCTTTTGTTTACAATACCAGAGAACGCTTTTGTTTACAATACCAGAGAACGCTTTTGTTTACAATATCAGAGAACGCTTTTGTTTACAATATCAGAGAACGCTTTTGTTTACAATATCAGAGAACGCTTTTGTTTACAATACCAGAGAACGCTTTTGTTTACAATACCAGAGAACGCTTTTGTTTACAATACCAGAGAACGCTTTTGTTTACAATATCAGAGAACGCTTTTGTTTACAATACCAGAGAACGCTTTTGTTTACAATATCAGAGAACGCTTTTGTTTACAATATCAGAGAACGCTTTTGTTTACAATACCAGAGAACGCTTTTGTTTACAATATCAGAGAACGCTTTTGTTTACAATACCAGAGAACGCTTTTGTTTACAATACCAGAGAACGCTTTTGTTTACAATACCAGAGAACGCTTTTGTTTACAATACCAGAGAACGCTTTTGTTTACAATACCAGCTAAAAATTAATAAAGAATCATAACAACCGAAAAGTTAAAGTTCTGTGAAATTTATGGAAATACATGGGACAAATTAATACGTACAATTACTGACTTTACCTCATCTGGGGAAGTAATGATCTCACAACTTACCTTAGACTATCTGGAAACAATAATAGTAACACAACTCACCTTAGCCTATCTGGGGAAGTAATGGTCACCCAACATTTCTCAAGAGTCTCTGAACCAGCAATGAACAGCTGCTCACCTTAATCTTAGATAAAAGAGAAATACAAAAGGGGATGGGGGAGGGACACAATCACCCTACACCTCCCTCTTCACCCTGTATCTACACGTTCCTCTTCACCTTACAAACACTCCCCCCCCCCACCTTCCCTTCAACTTACAAGAAAGGGAAGTGTCGCTTCCACTTGGGTCTCGACTCTCGTCCTCGAGAATGGCGAAGATGCCGCTGCTCTTGGCCAAGAAGAGCTCGAGGATGTGTCGGTTGTCGGGGAAGGTGAAGGTCTTCACGGGGATCCCTTCTTCCTCGTAGTCTTGCTGGGACGGTGGGGGGAAGGGAGGGGTGGAACATGGAGCCGTTATATCTTGAGTTCAACATGCACATCTCGCGTGCTATACACACATCTCGAGTGCTATACACACATCTCTTGTGCTACACACACACATACACATCTCTAGTGCTACACACACATACACATCTCTAGTGCTACACACACATACACATCTCTAGTGCTACACACACACACATACACATCTCTAGTGCTACACACACACACACATACACATCTCTGGTGCTACACACACATACACATCTCTAGTGCTACACACACACACATACACATCTCTAGTGCTACACACACACACACATACACATCTCTGGTGCTACACACACATACACATCTCTAGTGCTACACACAGAAAAAAATATATAACTCTTTTGTGATAGTGTTACAAATTTTATGAAATCTTTATAATTTTAGGAAAATCAGTTGGACAAATTTGAAAGCACAAAAAGCATTTTTGTAACATCTTCCGTGTTAAATTATCTATGTAACACAACTACTAAAATGCTTGACCTCTACTAATATTTCAAAGCAACTTTGAACTCTAACTGAAAGCTGAAAGTTAGTTAACTCTAACTTAAAACTGAAAGCTGTGTAATATTGACATTTTATATATATCGGCTTGAGAGGTTTGGTGGGTTCGTACGCTTCTGGTTAGGCAAAACAGTGGTATTTTTTTGAGGAGTGGCAAATCGAGGATTGTTACTGTTGGGATTGTTATTTTTGAGATTGTTATTTCAGCTCACCATCTCCCAGTTAAAGACATACTGATTGTAGTAGTACTGGATCTGCTCGTTGACCACGTTAACCAGCAGGTTCTCCAGGCTGTTGTGGTCGTTCGACTCGAAGCCAAACATGTCGAGGATTCCTATGGCGTAGGGGTCCCCACTGTAGAGGGAGAGATGGTGAGAGAGAGAGAGAGAGAGAGAGAGAGAGAGAGAGAGAGAGAGAGAGAGAGAGAGAGAGAGAGAGAGAGAGAGAGAGAGAGAGAGAGAGAGAGAGAAACCAGAGAGAGAGAGAGAGAGAGCGAGAGAGAGAGAGAGAGAGAGAGAGAGAGAGAGAGAGAGAGAGAGAGAGAGAGAGAGAGAGAGAGAGAGAGAGAGAGAGAGAGAGAGAGAGAGAGAAACCAGAGAGAGAGAGAGAAACCAGAGAGAGAGAGAGAGAGAGAGCGAGAGAGAGAGAGAGAGAAACCAGAGAGAGAGAGAGAGAGAGAGAGAGAGAGAGAGAGAGAGAGAGAGAGAGAGAGAGAGAGAGAGAGAGAGAGAGAGAGAGAGAGAGAGAGAGAGAGAGAGAGAAACCAGAGAGAGAGAGAGAGAGAGAAACCAGAGAGAGAGAGAGAGAGAAAAACCAGAGAGAGAGAGAGAGAAACCAGAGAGAGACAGACAGATAATGACAGAGAGACAGAGAAACAGTCTTATAAGAACGTCCACAGCATAATGTTATATATCCATTTAACACTACCCATCACAGAGTGAGAAGACGCAGCTATACCATACACCATAGCCCCCTGATTCTGCCCACACAAGCTCTCATCAACTCCTCAAGCCAGGAAGAAAGAAGCGAAGGATGACTCACAAGACGAGCCGGGTGACGGAGAGCTTGGAGTTGATGGCGTTGACGAGGAAGTCGACGACTCGGCAGTAGAGTGTCCTAGCCAAGGAGTCCCTGCCGTGCTCGGCCTCGTGCTGGGTCTTCCTCACCGACTCCACCGACTGGTCGGGCTTCACGCGGCAGTGGTTGCACAGCGCCCAAGACAGCTTTTTCTCCTCGATATCCAGAAGTCGACACACTGTAATGAATGCGAGAGTGAATGTGACAGTAACCAAACTACACTCAACAGTCATGTTGAGGATAGCTAGGAGGACGAGGAGAAGGCCCCTGGTAATGCAAAGATTATTAGTCGGCCCTGTCAACGGAAGGATAACTAGAAGAAGGTCCTGTCAACCAAAGGATAAGGAGGCCGTGGTAGTATAAGACACAAGAGGCCGGCGAGTGGGAGAGTGTCCTGGAGTGGGTGACGTAGGTGGTGCGGGAGGTAGCAACCTACCTTCGTCGACGGGCTCCAAGTCAACGATGGCCGCCTGCTGGTTGCCAGTGAACTCCACGTTGCCGAGGATGAGGATGGCAGCCAACACCAGGAAGATTGTGTGGCTCTCCCTCTCTCTGAAGCCAATCACCTGCCACCAGAACACAAACTGTTCATATTCTGATCATACGCGTCTCATCCTATGCTCATACACTTCTCACACACTTCGCATACACTCCTCATCCGTGTCCTTGTACGAGGCCTTCATGACATTGTCCAAGCCTTTCGTGACCTTATATAAGCATTTCATGACACACATATATATATATGTTGCAAGGTTATACATTAAGAGCATCCGATGACTATCGTAAGGAGTTTCCAGGACCACATCTACCGAAGAGACCCATAACTTACCTCAAGAGCTTGCTCGATGATTGCAAACTTGCGGGCATTGGTGACTTCGTTGTCGTAGGGATGCTTGGCCAAGTAAGAGTACTTCCTGCCTACCTTGAGGCCATATCGGGAGAGACGGGAGGTCTGGGAGAAGCCGTCGTACATGTAGTAGAAGATGTGGAAGTTGCCCTCATCTCTGTTGGTCAGCAGGTCCCGTCCTCATTAGTTCCACAGATCTCGTAAATATAATTATTAGCAAAGATTTCGTAAACATGATTATCAGCAAAGGAGGAAGAAGTACTATGAATGAGGAGATGGAGGATGAAGGAAAAAGAGGACGGAGAAAACGATAGAGGAAGAAAAGGAGCGAAAGAGAAGGAGAAGAATGATAAAGGATAAGGAAGAAGAGGAGGAGGAGGCCTACCCACCTAGGCCTCTCTGTGACCCGGAACTTATCGAGCATGAGGAGCCAGACGATAACCCCGGAGATCTTGCCGGTCTTGGAGAAGGTGATGTCGAAGTAGCGGGTGTGGCGGGTGGAGTTGGGGTTGAGCTGAGTGACAGCGTTACCGAAGGCCTCCAGCACCGTACACACCTTCTCCATCTTGTCGATGAGACCCGGGTTACTCTGCCGCAACACAAACACAACTTAAAAACATTTAGAATAAAGGAAATTGCATTAGGCCTATATGCCCATGCGAGGCAGCTCATATTTGTATCCACCCAAAGTCATTCATATATATGCGACTGGAATATTACCCGGTAATTTGTTCAATAAGTCAACAATATTTATAAGGTCCGGATTTGTAGCTGATCCAGCCTACACAAAATCATCTTCGTGTATAGAAGGAAAAATGACGCAGTAGTCCTGCCAAAACTTTAATACCCAAATTCTCTCTTAAACTTCGTAACATTTATTTTTTAACGTTAAAATTCAATTCAAAATTTATTCAAATTTCATGACATTACCTTTGACATTGCAAAGTTTACAGACTAAGCCTCAGTTGCCATTGCTTGAGTTAATACTCGTTTTATTTCTTGTGGCAGTCAAGGAGTGTTTTTCTGTACAGCAAAATGTTGATTTCAAGCACGTGAGCAGCCTAACGGGACAGCAACCCCCTCCCTCCCTCCCCCCTCTGAGTGTTCTATAAGAACAACTTTTCTTTTGAATTTCTAAGAATACTGAATTTCCGTTCCTGCTATTCTCTGCCTTCGTTGATCCGTACAAGAGTTGTCACATTTATTGAGACTTGTGTGAGTGAGGCTAGACAACACTTGGATTTATAAATGATGAGGCAGTAGGACTTGTTCCAGACGTAGTGCTCGTCAACACCGGACAGTAGGCCTTGTTTCTGGAGTAGTTGTCCACAGTACCACTGCCAGTGTTGTTGCCGAGGCTTAGAGAGTTCAAGAGAGTCACCACAGACCAAAAGTCTATGGTGACTCAGTACTCACTACCGGAAGTCTATGGTGACAGTATATTCACTAGCATAAGTTTATAGTGCCTCACTATTCACTACCATACCTAGTGGTCCACGACTAATTACAACAACCAATGGGAGTGTTTATAATCTCTCCCTTAACATAGAGATCAAACCTACCCTGTTCTCCTCCCTATGACCATTCGTTAATATAACTTAAAACTACAATCAACCTCTTTGACACTTACAAAGCCAATGTATGAAAACTGTTTAATGAGTTGATGGAAATTGAATGTCTTGCCACTGCCAGACTCCCCTGTGAGAACGATAGTTTGGTGTTCCTTGTGGTGCATCATGTCTTGGTGCGCGCGGTCGGCCATGGCGAAGATGTGGGGGTCGTTCTGACTTCGAGACTTCGACTTGTATTTCGCTTGGACCTGAGTAATTATCAAGGTAAAGTGCGGTCAGGACTGTATGGTAATTCATTCCAGAGAGTCAGATACTATTCAAAACTATGATGTGAGAGAAGGACTATATTAACTACTATTCAAGCACCACTCCGCCACTCAACGACCTCCACCCCGCCACTCAACCCCCATCCCGCCACTCAACAAACCCCCACCTCGTCACTCAACAACCCCCACCCCAGCCACCTGTACACTCACCTCTTCATCATACTTGCAGGTGTGAGCGAAGGGGTTGACGGCCAGGAGGACATCGGCCACCCAGGTGTACACGTGGCCCTCCGACCACCGCGAGAAGAGACAATCCAACACCACCTGCCAGAAGGACGCACCACCTGGTTACTCCTGTAGACCACTAACACCTCGTGTCTCTAGCAATGTTGACAGCTGGTTAACACACACTTACGAGAGCTTCATTTTAACCACTAAACTACAGAATTAAATTATTCTTTAATCAATTACATTAAAGTGTGCCCTTCCATATGCGAGCCTTTTGGAGCTATTATAACAACGGTAGAAGGCTTATAAGCAGTATTATCAGCCTAGGGTTAATAAAGTATTAGAGGTGCTTTTTATAGTATAAAAGAACAGCAATGTTAATATGACAGGAGACGGCCAGGGGCCAGATTCACGAAAGCACTTACGAACCTGTACATCTTTTCTCAATATTTGGCGGCTTTGTTTACAATTATTAAACAGTTAATGAGCTCCGAAGCACCAGGAGGCTGTTTATAACAATAACAACAGTTGATTGGAAAGTTTTCATGCTTGCAAATTGATTAATAAATGTAAACAAAGCCGTCAAAGATTGAGGAAAGATGTGCACGTTCATAAGTACTTGCGTAACTGCTTCGTGAATCTGGGCCCAGGTGCCTAATATGAGGGACCCCTATAATAGATACACCAGAGGGGCTAAGTTGGTGTATGATAGTATGAGTAAGGCGGTGTGTGTGGGGGGGGGGGAGCGGGAGAAAAGGAACTTACGTCTTCGTTGAAGAATTCCAGCGAGGCCAGATCGTCAGTGACCATCTTCTTAGGCTTGCTGAGACGATCACTCTGCAAGAGAAGCCAACGTCACACTAGTCTGATCTTCTCACACTGACACATCAAGGTCATCCTAGTATGATCCACTCAAACTGACACGCTAAGGTCACCCTAGTCTGGTTCACTCACACTAACACACCGAAAGTCACCGTAGTCTGGTCCTCTCAATCTTACACTCTAAGGTCACCCTAGTCTGATCCTCATACATTGACACAACAAGGTCACTCTAGTCTGATCATCATACACTGACACAACAAGGTCACCCCTAGTCTGATCCTCATACACTGACTCAACAAGGTCACTCTAGTCTGATCCTCATACACGGACTCAACAAGGTCACCCTAGTCTGATCCTCATACATTGACAACCTAAGATCACACTAGTCTGATCCTCATACACTGACAACCTAAGATCACACTAGTCTGATCCACTCACATACAAACAGATTAAGAGACGCACAAAACAGTAGAAAACAAAAGAGAAGAGACAGACAGCAAAGCAGACGAGACAAACAACAGAGCAGAAGATGAACTAGAAGAGACAGACGAGGGATCAGAAGATGACTTAGAAGAGAGAGACAAGTGAGGAGAGGATGAAGCAGAAGAGGAGCAGAGGACCTTGAGGTAGCCCTGGCGAGCGATGGCCGTGGTGGGACGCCCGGGCCTCAAGTCGGAGTCCAGGAGCCGCTGCTTCTCCTCCACCAGTAGCTTCTTCACCTGCAACAATATCAGGTTACTCTACAACACTCTTACACGAGTCTGCAAGAAGGCGTTATGTTTGCAACGCTCTTACGTGAGTTTGCAAGAAGGCGTTATGTTAATCTGCTATAAGGTATTATGCTCTCTTGCAACAAATTGCTATGTTTATCATGAACCAAGGCGCTGCCTTAGTCTGCAACAATGCTCTGTGCAACTGTGTAACGAAGTGACATGTAAGTGTGCAATAAAGTGTTAAGATAAATTAATTGTTGCAGTTGATGTTGCATCTTGTACTTACGTGTCCACTAACAAGATCTGTGCCTCTTACTTTCAACATGTCTTAGTCGGTATTTACTAACAGTTTACGAGCTCCGAAGCGCTACGAGGTCGTCTATAAGAATTATAACCTTTGACTGAGGACGACCTCCTAGTGCTTCGAAGCTGGTAAAGAGTTGAGTAAACACAACTACGCCATGATGGAGGTAAGAGATACACGGATGTCGTAAGTGACCACGCAGGTGCTTGATGAATCCAGAGCAGGAATGTAAGACAAGGGTTGGGGAAGGTCGGAGCGATGAAAGTACAATTAACTTTAAATGTATCACGTACAACATTACATCAAATATAGTCACAAGAAACGTGATGAATCTATGAATAAATATTGAGACCATATAATGGGATCGAACCCGCGATCTTGAACTCCTCAGGCACAAGCACTACCGACTGGACCATGATGGCCTAACACTATTTCAAGCAGAAGTACTACGTGACTCACAAGATGTGTGGAAGGTTTAATCCCGCACAACCATCCAAGTTCACTGTAAAACTTGGATTGTGGCACCGCATGGTACCGTCCACATACACCATGTGACCCAGGTGCTAGTTTGCCTGTGAGACTTTGAGCCCATCATGGTCCAGTCGGTGGTGCTCGTGTCTGAGGAGTTCAGGGTCGCGGGTTTGATCCCATGACAAAGCCTCAATATTTGAAGATTAAGATACGAGACGTGAAGGTGAGTGACTACTGACCTGTGAGGCGGGGTGAGGCACACCAGAGACGTGAAGGTGAGTGACCACTGACCTGTGAGGCGGGGTGAGGCACGCCAGAGACGTGAAGGTGAGTGACCACTGACCTGTGAGGCGGGGTGAGGCACACCAGAGATGAAGGGGTGCTCCAGGAGCTCCAGCATGACGGGGCGGTGGTCCGGGTTCTTCACCAGGCACCTGCGTCACCAGCACCACTTCTTAGTCCTCCCAACTAAGAACTAAGAACTCCCTCTTATGACATCATCCCCCCTACTGTCTTCCTGCCTGGCCATCTGACATGCTCACTATGCTGGCTGATGGCCATGTGATCACTTCTCTGACTATAGGTAGTCACAATTCACATTCCCCAGAATAATCACCATTAAAGGTTCTCTCAAGCTCGTGAATAAGAATCATTAACTATAGTTACTTACAATCCCTACACTGATCACTTTTTATATTTATTTATATATTTACAATAAGGTATATTAGGTTGAAAAAATAAATACATTGGGTTTGATTGTAACAATCTTGCAGAGCGTTTAACAGCGTTTCGGGGGAGAACTAAAGGTTGCCAGAAGCGCCTGAGTAGGCATCACTATCTATAGATACTCACTCGGATATGAAATCGATGAACTCCTGAGACCAGTGAGAGGACCTCTTGAGAGTTGGTGGCGGGTTGCGGACGACCTGGAAGATTGCCCTCACTGGGTGGATATCAGCATAGGGAGGGTCACCGTCCGCCAGCTCAATCGCCGTGATGCCTGCGGTAAGAGCTTATGAAGCATGCACACAACGCCCTCTAACGTGGAGCAGTGGTGCGGACATTAGCCGGTGTAAAGCAAGTTTTACTGGTTCTATACACTTTATAGCCAGTGTAAAGCAAGTTTACTGGCTCTATACACTTTACAGCCAGTGTAAAGCGTAAATAGGGAGTCGTGTGTAAAGCGTAGACACGCTTTACACACGACTTGTAGTTGAAGACGTTCGAACATTTCCTGAACAATGCTTAGCTGGCAACCATCTCTTCGAATCGTAACTTTGTAGATGCTTCGCCCATATCCTACAAATACCAATACTTGCCAGCCCTCGATCATCGTCGCCTCTCACTCAACAACAAATAACAATTGCCAACAGAACCTAAACACATAACCTAACCTACGATATGCATAATATGCTAATAGATAATAACATTAATTTATATTTGGAGAAAATTCCTTTTATAAATTAACAGCATGTTAAAAATGATGAATGTGTCTTTGGGGTAGGCCGCTGGATGGAATGATCATAGCTTGAGGATGAATTGAAACAATGGCGAAATGCTCGTTAATCTATCCACTAAACCTCCATCCTTAACCTAACATACCCCAGGCCTAAATGTATAAAATCTGTATTTATAACAGAGAATGTCTCTCTGTCTGTCTGTATGTCTGTCAGTCAGGGCTTGGAGGCCAAAAGCCTGGGGACAGCCTCGTTAAACTTTGCAAAATTCATGGTAATTATATGCGGAGGCCTGGTCGACGACTGGGCCGCGGGGACGCTAAGCCCCGGAAGCATCTCAAGGTAGGTGCCACAGGAAGTCTGGGTTAACCCAGTGCCCCCCTTGAAGGGAAGCATGGCCCCAATGCCCCTTCTTCATGAATTATGTTAATTAAATGTTCTACCCCGAGTCCACGCACTTCAAAATTAAGTTAAATAACACAGTCCATCCTCCTGTCTTGGTAGTACTTATAGTAACGTTCGAATACTATACTATGTATACTATTATTATACTATGTATAGTATGAGGATCATAGTATATATACCGACGTACAACGAAATTAGAAAGTAGAAATCTGAACTATTGAGTTGGACAAACTGGAAATCTATATTTTACTTGTGTTGCTTTGACAAACTCAACTGAACTAACCTAACCCCCCCCCTAGGCCTAATACACGACATCTGAGGCCTAAGATAGTACACATGTGTCCTATACTAGGCCTAGGAATATTTAAATATGCTTTTCAGCTTCATTTATTTTACAATAATTCCTTACTAGTCAGTATACTACTATCTAAAAGCTAAGTACGAACGAATTCGTGACTATTGGCGACCATCACAATAGGTACTATTTAAACAAGAGGACGGGTTGAATAATAGTGAAGTGAGATATTACCTAAACCTATGTTGAGATGAGAGACACATTCTGCACGCAACCTTTTGGTTTATGTGATGGGGCAAGGGCGTGTGTGGGCAGGGAGGGAGGAGATGGGGCAAGGGCGTGTGTGGGCAGGGAGGGAGGAGATGGGGCAAGGGCGTGTGTGGGCAGGGAGGGAGGAGATGGGATAAGGGCATGTAAGGAAAACTACATCCTTTGATAAAAAGCGGTAATCACAGAAAACTGGTGATGTTGTGAACAATGATAAATGAAAGTCATTAATTCCCAACGATGGCAAATGGGACAGTAGCAGCTAATGATGGGTGTGTTGTTGCCTCCCCGAGGACTCGAACCCCGCCACTCACCGAGGGACCAGACATCGCAGCGGTTGTCGTAGTCTTGATCAGTCTTCTGCTCACACTCGATGACCTCCGGAGCCATCCAATATGGCGTCCCCACCGACGTCCCGCGCTTGTCCATCGTAGCGTCCAGGTGGCCACACTGACCTGTCAACATGCTCTGCTCAGTGTCTAGTGACCACACTGTCACCGTCGAAACTCACACACTCGACCAGTCGAGCTGTATAACTCACACACTCGACCAGTCTGGCAGAATATCTCACACAGTCGACCAACCATGAAACCCAAACTCACCAAAGTCGACCAGCTTGATGTTGCCCTGGTCGGTGATGAGGACGTTGAGGCCCTTCACGTCACGGTGCATCACGTGGGCCTGGTGGAGGTGACACACTGCCTGACGGAGAACACATTATCCTTCAGTACGCGTCCAGGTACCTGAAGCTACTGTGTACCCCAGAGTACCTATAGCTACTATGTACCCCCTAAATACGTTTATCAGCCAATTAAGACATCAACTAGCAGTACACTTGTAAGTCATCAAGTAAGAATACAGACGCAAGACACCAACTATGAGTACAAAGGTGAGACAAGAGGCTGACAGAGGAACTGACCAGGATGACCTGCTTGAGGATGTAAGCGATGAGGGGCTCTGGCATCCTCTCTCCCGCCATGGTGTAGGCCCGGGCCAGCTCCGAGACGGTGCCGTGGCTCACCAGCTGTGGAGGAACACGGGTAGCTCTATAGTAACACTATATCTATGACGTACTCTATAGATTAGGCTAGTGCGGGGGGCCTCTACCATAGGTTATAAAGGGGGGCACTAAATTAAAACGTACGCATATTAAAACATAAAATATTTACTTGCAGAGTAAATTAATTCACTTATTTTTTAATTTGTTATTCAGCCAGATAATACGACAAATATGTCTGACTCTTCAGAAATAGTATTACTTACATGTAGGTATACTTTTGACACGTCAAAAGTAGCACAGCTACAATTTACAATTTCTAGATTTTGCATGGACAAATTTGTTAATGATACTGGAAATGTCTATTTCACTCAGGAGTTCATATTCAATGTTCATTAGAGAGGGATCATTCAAACTGTTTTGGCCCCTGATGCTACTTAGTTCATTTTGAATCCTTCCCGGTTTTAAAAAAGAGCGTTCTCCGTGGCAGCTGGTAACCCATGAGTGACAAATAGATGGCGCAAGACATCTTCTACATTTGGAAAACAAGAATCCAAAGAATTGTTAGTTATCAAACGGTTCAAGTGCCGCCACGAGGTCGTGCATGGCGCCAGTGTCAGCAGCCACGAGGTCCTGCATGGCGCCAGTGTCAGCAGCCACGAGGTCCTGCATGGCGCCAGTGTCAGCAGCCACGAGGTCGTGCATGGCGCCAGTGTCAGCAGCCACGAGGTCCTGCATGGCGCCAGTGTCAGCAGCCACGAGGTCGTGCATGGCGCCAGTGTCAGCAGCCACGAGGTCGTGCATGGCGCCAGTGTCAGCAGCCACGAGGTCCTGCATGGCGCCAGTGTCAGCAGCCACGAGGTCCTGCATGGCGCCAGTGTCAGCAGCCACGAGGTCGTGCATGGCGCCAGTGTCAGCAGCCACGAGGTCCTGCATGGCGCCAGTGCAGCCACGAGGTCCTGCATGGCGCCAGTGTCAGCAGCCACGAGGTCGTGCATGGCGCCAGTGTCAGCAGCCACGAGGTCCTGCATGGCGCCAGTGTCAGCAGCCACGAGGTACTGCATGGCGCCAGTGTCAGCAGCCACGAGGTCCTGCATGGCGCCAGTGTCAGCAGCCACGAGGTCCTGCATGGCGCCAGTGTCAGCAGCCACGAGGTCCTGCATGGCGCCAGTGTCAGCAGCCACGAGGTCCTGCATGGCGCCAGTGTCAGCAGCCACGAGGTCCTGCATGGCGCCAGTGTCAGCAGCCACGAGGTCCTGCATGGCGCCAGTGTCAGCAGCCACGAGGTCCTGCATGGCGCCAGTGTCAGCAGCCACGAGGTCCTGCATGGCGCCAGTGTCAGCAGCCACGAGGTCCTGCATGGCGCCAGTGTCAGCAGCCACGAGGTCCTGCATGGCGCCAGTGTCAGCAGCCACGAGGTCCTGCATGGCGCCAGTGTCAGCAGCCACGAGGTCGTGCATGGCGCCAGTGTCAGCAGCCACGAGGTCCTGCATGGCGCCAGTGTCAGCAGCCACGAGGTCGTGCATGGCGCCAGTGTCAGCAGCCACGAGGTCCTGCATGGCGCCAGTGTCAGCAGCCACGAGGTCCTGCATGGCGCCAGTGTCAGCAGCCACGAGGTCCTGCATGGCGCCAGTGTCAGCAGCCACGAGGTCCTGCATGGCGCCAGTGTCAGCAGCCACGAGGTCCTGCATGGCGCCAGTGTCAGCAGCCACGAGGTCCTGCATGGCGCCAGTGTCAGCAGCCACGAGGTCCTGCATGGCGCCAGTGTCAGCAGCCACGAGGTCCTGCATGGCGCCAGTGTCAGCAGCCACGAGGTCGTGCATGGCGCCAGTGTCAGCAGCCACGAGGTCCTGCATGGCGCCAGTGTCAGCAGCCACGAGGTCGTGCATGGCGCCAGTGTCAGCAGCCACGAGGTCCTGCATGGCGCCAGTGTCAGCAGCCACGAGGTCCTGCATGGCGCCAGTGTCAGCAGCCACGAGGTCCTGCATGGCGCCAGTGTCAGCAGCCACGAGGTCCTGCATGGCGCCAGTGTCAGCAGCCACGAGGTCCTGCATGGCGCCAGTGTCAGCAGCCACGAGGTCCTGCATGGCGCCAGTGTCAGCAGCCACGAGGTCCTGCATGGCGCCAGTGTCAGCAGCCACGAGGTCCTGCATGGCGCCAGTGTCAGCAGCCACGAGGTCCTGCATGGCGCCAGTGTCAGCAGCCACGAGGTCCTGCATGGCGCCAGTGTCAGCAGCCACGAGGTCCTGCATGGCGCCAGTGTCAGCAGCCACGAGGTCCTGCATGGCGCCAGTGTCAGCAGCCACGAGGTCCTGCATGGCGCCAGTGTCAGCAGCCACGAGGTCCTGCATGGCGCCAGTGTCAGCAGCCACGAGGTCCTGCATGGCGCCAGTGTCAGCAGCCACGAGGTCCTGCATGGCGCCAGTGTCAGCAGCCACGAGGTCCTGCATGGCGCCAGTGTCAGCAGCCACGAGGTCCTGCATGGCGCCAGTGTCAGCAGCCACGAGGTCCTGCATGGCACCAGTGTCAGCAGCCACGAGGTCCTGCATGGCGCCAGTGTCAGCAGCCACGAGGTCCTGCATGGCACCAGTGTCAGCAGCCACCTTAGTGTCAACACTTCAGTCACCTCCACAAATCTTTCACCAAAGACTTTCTTCCAGATTGTTCGGATATGATTTGATAAGATTTAATCTAAATCTTTCTAACAAATTTATTTTTCCTTTAATATGTCTACTGCATATATTTCTCCTACACACGCACACGCACATCCCCAAGAAGGAGCCCGTAGCAGCTGTCTAACTCCCAGGAACCTATTTACTGCTAGGTGAACAGGGGCATGAGAGTGAAAGAAAATCTGCCCATTTGTTCCCGCCTCAGCCGGGGATCGAATCTGGAACCTTAGGACTACGAATCCCGAGCGCTGTCCACTAAGCCGTCAGGCCCATGGCTCCATTCTGTGCTTACCTCCATTACAAACCATATCTGATGTTCTTCAAGCTTTGGAGCCCTTTTGAGGAAGATGCCGAAGAACTGAGGAAAGTTGTCGTGGTGGCTCAGCTCGCTCAACACACGATATTCCTCCTCGATCTCCTCAATGTTCTCCTTGATGTTCTCGATGATCTTGACAGCCACACTCTTTTCATCTGCCAAAAAGAACGCTTTTAATTAAGTATGAACGGTATAGCGGAAACTGGTAGGCAACACCAGGCACCTGTGGAGAGCAAGAGCAACTCTACATTATCACGGTTACAGTTTTGTCTTGTAAACCCTAAGCTAATCAGAGCTACGAGAGAGTCGACAATGGCGTCTCCAGCTACTCACAGTTAAGCTACGAGAGAGTCGACAATGGCGTCTCCAGCTACTCACAGTTAAGCTACGAGAGAGTCGACAATGGCGTCTCCAGCTACTCACAGTTAAGCTACGAGAGAGTCGACAATGGCGTCTCCAGCTACTCACAGTTAAGCTACGAGAGAGTCGACAATGGCGTCTCCAGCTACTCACAGTTAAGCTACGAGAGAGTCGACAATGGCGTCTCCAGCTACTCACAGTTAAGCTACGAGAGAGTCGACAATGGCGTCTCCAGCTACTCACAGTTAAGCTACGAGAGAGTCGACAATGGTGTCTCCAGCTACTCACAGTTACAGGATGTACTATGATGACAAATGTAGTCATCATAGTACAAACGAAAATAGAGGGAATACACAGGAGTAAAAAAAATAGTATACAGTACTAGAATTTGGAAGAACACAAGAGAAAACATAGAAAACAAGATCAGAAGGGAACCACTGAAGATGAACCTAGAGTGTGGCGCTTGAGTGTCCACTTACGAAACCTCTACATCTTTCTTCAATTGTGAGCTTAGTTCATGAATTTATTAAACAATTGATTGGCTACAGAGTGGTACGAGGTTGTTTATAACAATGACAACCTTGGGTTGTGAAGTTCCACGGCTCGTAAACTGTTGAATAACAGCAGACTAAGTCGCCATGTTTGATGAAAGATGCACAGGTTTCGTTAGTGGACACGTACAGTAGATGTTTGATCAATCATGGTCGACGTGGAATATGGAAAACGACAAACGTGATACCAATATTCAAGACACCACATACATCAATGCTACACCCCATACATCAACGCTACACCACATACATCAACGCTACACCACATACAAGAACGCTACACCACATACATCAATGCTACACCCCATACATCAACGCTACACCACATACATCAACGCTACACCACATACAAGAACGCTACACCACATACATCAACGCTACACCCCATACATCAACGCTACACCACATACAAGAACGCTACACCACATACATCAACGCTACACCCCATACATCAACGCTACACCACATACAAGAACGCTACACCACATACATCAATGCTACACCCCATACATCAACGCTACACCACATACATCAACGCTACACCACATACATCAACGCTACACCACATACAAGAACGCTACACCACATACATCAACGCTACACCCCATACATCAACGCTACACCACATACATCAACGCTACACCACATACATCAACGCTACACCACATACATCAACGCTACACCACATACATCAACGCTACACCACATACATCAACGCTACACCACATACAAGCACGCTACATCACATACATCAACGCTACACCACATACAAGAACGCTACACCACATACATCAACGCTACACCACATACATCAACGCTACACCACATACATCAACGCTACACCACATACATCAACGCTACACCACATACATCAACGCTACACCACATACATCAACGCTACACCACATACAAGCACGCTACATCACATACATCAACGCTACACCATATACAAGAACGCTACACCACATACATCAACGCTACACCACATACAAGCACGCTACATCACATACATCAACGCTACACCACATACAAGAACGCTACACCACATACATCAACGCTACACCACATACAAGAACGCTACACCACATACATCAACGCTACACCACATACAAGAACGCTACACCACATACATCAACGCTACACCACATACAAGAACGCTACACCACATACAAGAACGCTACACCACATACATCAACGCTACACCACATACATCAACACAGCACCACATACATCAACACAGCACCACACAGATCAACGCAGCACCACACAGATCAACGCAGCACCACACAGACGTACGCAGCACCACATACATCAACGCAGCACCACACAGATCAACGCAGCACCACACAGATCAACGCAGCACCACACAGACGTACGCAGCACCACATACATCAACGCAGCACCACACAGACGTACGCAGCACCACACAGACGTACGCAGCACCACACAGACGTACGCAGCACCACATACATCAACGCAGCACCACACAGATCAACGCAGCACCACACAGATCAACGCAGCACCACACAGACGTACGCAGCACCACATACATCAACGCAGCACCACACAGACGTACGCAGCACCACACAGACGTACGCAGCACCACATACATCCAAGCTACAGCACAAGGACCCCTGGAGACTGGTGCTCACAGTTCTCTGCGTCAGTAGCCTGGTAGACCTCAGCGTAGGTGCCGGCAGCGATGACGGTCTGGAGGGTGAAGCGGTCGCCGGGTTCCGGAGTGTTATGGAAGTCCAGGTACTTGCTGAGGCTCTCGTACGCCATCTTGGGGTTCCTGCCGCCACCGATAACTTACATTAGTATTCCCAGCTTCATACTTACATATCTCTAGTTACAAATTACTAGTTACATGTGAATAACAAAAGAACGTATTAAACGTGTAAATGAGAACAAATAATAAATAAATAAACAAATGGACGACACTAAATTTCATAAAATTAAACTCATTTTTTGCTAATGTGTTCAGTTTTGGCCTATAGGCTGACTAGTCATAGCGGGGCTCTTAGGACTACATGATTATGGATACTGATCAGTCACGAGAAGGTTCATAGGCCTACAGGCTGAGGAATACAGTGATGACATAAACTTCAAGACGTAGTTCAAACATTTTATGACAACAATAGTTTAAAGATCTTTCATTTCGTTAGTTTCTGTTTGGTGTTGGCTTAAGGCCTATCAACCTTTGGAGGGTTATTAAGGCCTATCAACCTCTGGAGGGTTATAAAGGTCTATCAACCTCTGGAGGGTTATTAAGGCCTATCAATCTCTGGAAAGTTATTAAGGCCCATCAACCTCTGGAGGGTTATTAAGAGCTATCAACCTCTGGAGGATTATTAAGAACCATCCACCTCTGGAGGGTGTGTAAAACTGTGTCATGTAATACTTACGAAGGAGAAACTCTATGATGATATTATGTAGCGATGTATGTGGGCCTTGACGGTCTGGTACTGGAACACTCCTTCCAGTCTGGTACTGGAACACTCCTACCAGTCTGGTGTCTGGTACTGGAACACTCTTTCCAGTCTGGTGCTGGAACACTCTTTCCAGTCTGGTACTGGAACACTCCTTCCAGTCTGGTACTGGAACACTCCTTCCAGTCTGGTGCTGGAACACTCCTTCCAGTCTGGTACTGGAACACTCCTTCCAGTCTGGTGCTGGAACACTCCTTCCAGTCTGGTGCTGGAACACTCCTTCCAGTCTGGTACTGGAACACTCCTTCCAGTCTGGTACTGGAACACTCCTTCCAGTCTGGTGCTGGAACACTCCTTCCAGTCTGGTGCTGGAACACTCCTTCCTGTCTGGTGCTGGAACACTCCTTCCAGTCTGGTATTGGAACACTCCTTCCAGTCTGGTGCTGGAACACTCCTTCCTGTCTGGTACTGAAACACTCCTTCCAGTCTGGTGCTGGAACACTCCTTCCAGTCTGGTACTGGAACACTCCTTCCAGTCTGGCACTGGAACACTCCTTCCAGTCTGGTACTGGAACACTCCTTCCTGTCTAGTGCTGGAACACTCCTACCAGTCTGGTACTGGAACACTCCTACCAGTCTGGTACTGGAACACTCCTACCAGTCTGGTACTGGAACACTCCTACCAGTCTGGTACTGGAACACTCCTACCAGTCTGGTACTGGAACACTCCTTCCAATTTGGAATAGGACTACTTTTTCCAGTCACTAAGTCTTCTCTTCTACACTCTATTTCTCCTGCGTCGCCCCAAACGGCCCACCGGCGCTGCCATCCACTCTCTACTACACTTGGGTAACTGCACCAGTCACGCTGATACATACAAGAGGGGGGAATGGTGTTCAGGGCGGTGTTGAAGGATGTGGCATGAGATGGATGGCCACTTGAAGAGCCCTTGTGAGAACCACCAGCACTAAACAAAGCCGTAAAGGAACATGAAGAGTCTCCTAGTGGACCAGGTCCACTAAACAAGGCCTTCGAAGAGGAACACAAAGTGTCCAAGTAAGGTCAAAGCCCACTAAACAAGATCTGAGATGAGAGTAGCCGGATCGGAGAGGGTCATTGTATACACGTGTGGCGAGTCTCACTGGAACCTTGTTAACCATGAGTAACTTGTGTTGCAGGGTGTTCACGCGAACCGCCACACTACACAACACACGACTCTTGACCGTGTCGTCTGTCCGACGTCCCGTGGTACACTAACCCCTTCGACACTTCCAATCCGCGTGTCGCAGCGGAGAAGGGGGGGACATAGCTCTTGGTTTCCGGGTTTAGCTTCGACTGCAGTCATCACGTTACCTTCCTACTCCACTCTGAGCCTCCTGTCTGTAAACGAGATCAATAAATGTAACGAGAAGTACGTGTGCATTCGCTTAAAGCTAGAACGAATTATTCGCGTAAACAAGTGATGATGCTAGTGAAAAAGAAAATGTGGGAATCCTAGCAAATATTGGTGAGCTGGGGGAGCTAAGCTTGTTAGTGGCGGAGAACCTTGTCGGTGTAGGTCACTTCTCCCTTCAACACCAGTGTTGACAACTCCCCCCTCCCCCCTCGTCCTCACTCCCCAGTCACTCATCCCCCTCCCGGCTCTAGCCTGGGTATTAGAGGTTAAGGCTGGTTGGGTTGGGTTGTTGTCACACAAGTTGATATAAAGAATAAAATTCCAGTATCAACACTTTTCCTAGGTGGGGCTAAGTTGCTAGATTGTGATGGAAACAGCAAGTAACGCCACTTTTCTAAGAACATGTTGTAGTATGGAGTCCAGAGCCAGGTATGAGAGGTCAGGTGTAAGATACTAACATCTCGTAGACACAGCAGTGTCCTTGTGTTCCTCAACGAGGCTGTCTAGTGTACTTCGACATGCAGTACTTCGCTACAAAACTCATCACCACATTGGGAATATTTAGCGTGTGTTGAATTTTTACTTGCAGGTGTTAATATATCTCATTTGCAGATGTTAAAAATACCTGCAATTGAGTATTAACTCACCACACCTCGCCGGTTAATGGCCAGCAATCAGTATGTCCAGGACCTACAGCTGGTGTTTCTGGACAGTCTACAGTCTTTCATCCTTACGGGCTATTCATGCCCGTGCCACCTCTTGGGTGGCTTAATCTTCATCAATCAATCAATCCTTTCATCCCATTACGCATAAAATACGCATGCGCACCGTATTAAGCATTATCTGCGCATGCTCACACCACATTCCCCCCCCCCCCCCCCTCCTTCCTCAACATTCAATAAGAGAACTCGTCTTTCGCGCCAAAAACGAGTAACGCGGAACTCAAGAAAGTTTTATTGACCTTACGATGCTGTCCTATAAGAAGCCCTTTTCTCGAAACCTTACCAACACAAACAACGTGAAAGTAGTGTGAAGTGAGCCTAACAGCGCGAGTACTTAAGTGTTAGAAGCGCTAGGGGCGGGAGCGAGGCTGCGCCCCTTCGTCTCCAGTACCTCCAAGAAGACCCACAAGCGTGTGTGTACCCGGCGCTGCTGGGCGGAGGTGTCCTGAGACAGCACACACCTCTGTTGGGTGGCCATATTTCCCTTTACACATTAGCTGCAGTTGAGAGGCAAGGAGCATGTTTGCAGGCTTATTGCCCCTAAATTTTAACACTGTCGACAACGGCGCCTAAACTGACGTGCCTTACTGGAAATGCAGCGACTCAATGTGTATCCATTCTTGGACTAATGACAGGTTTGGTTACATTGGTTGTCAGTTCCTGAACTCGGGCTGTATGAACGCCATTATTTTCACCTTCCAATACAACCCATTTTTAACATATCCATTGAATTATGTAATTAGCTTATCAAGACTGTAACTGACATAGTCAAATGAGTTTTGGGGTTGAGTTTCTGAGTCCATTGTGGGCCTCTATAGCCTTTTCCACCAATCTCTACAGGATGGAAAGGTGTATAATAAAAGTACTAAATGAAGTATAATAAAAATAACCAAGAACTAAACCAATGCTCCTGTCCCACTTATGCTGACTTTAGAATTTAAATGTATTTACCAATAACTTAACATGACAATGCGCTCATCACTAGAGAAAAAGGTAGTAACATCTTACCTACAACTTCACAGTTATATAAATAATATTACTGCTTAATGGGTTTCAAGTCATACAAGCTGCACGTGCCATAAAGAAGACGATAGGCTTCACGAGTCACACAAGCTGCACGATGGGCTCCAAGAGATGTTCTCCCGCCATAATTCAAAATTCCCCGGCATCAACATCATGCTATGAATAGATCATGATAATAAATTGACTGATTATTGTTAGTTTTTTTTAGTTTGTATAAAGCTCTTATGATTGAAGTGATATATAATTCTACCCTTTAACCTCAAGCTCATATTGATCTATGCAAAATAACTGATTCTGGTTTTAAGGGTATCCTTTACAGTCTCTCATTCATTCATCATGAATGCGGCATACATCACCATTCACTGTCACATTCATCATGAATGCGTAATCCACGACCATTCACTCATTCTCAATAATCAAACTATCTTTAAGAAATCTTTTCCCGTGACATTTCCAGGAATTCCCAAAGAATATTTTCGTGAAACATAAAGGCCAAGACACACAGGCTCCACATGTGTACGGTGGCAGTAATGGTGATGTTTTTATAGTACATCACCCCGACCCTCCCTCAAGCTATGGTCACAACACCAGCAGTAACAGTCACAACACCAGCAGCAACAGTCACAATACAAGCAGCAGCAACAGTCACAACACCAGCAGCAACAGTCACAACACCAGCAGCAACAGTCACAACACCAGCAGCAACAGTTAGAACAGCAGCAACACACCAAGAGACAGGTACCCAGCAGCAGCAACAGTCAACACCAGCAGCAACAGTCACAACACCAGCAGCAACAGTTAGAACAGCAGCAACACACCAAGAGACAGGTACCCAGCAGCAGCAACAGTCAACACCAGCAGCAACAGTCACAACACCAGCAACAGCCACAACACCAGCAGCAACAGTTACACAGCATCAGCAACAGTTAGAACAGCAGCAACACACCAAGAAACAAGGTACCCAGCAGCAGCAGCAGCAGCTGTGGTCACGTAGTCAGGCATCAGCACTGGTGATCTTAAAGTTACAGAAGACTTTAAAATGTAGCCAGCCGGAAGCCATAAACACAGGTCAGACGAGGACTAAACCTCTTGCCCTCCCGACCGCACCACCAGGATACACCAACACCGTTCCTCTCTTCAATTGTCCTTCACGTCAGTGCATATCTAGAGGTTATCTAGAGATGATTTCGGGGCTTTTAGTGTCCCCGCGGCCCGGTCCTCGACCAGGCCTCCACCCCCAGGAAGCAGCCCGTGACAGCTGACTAACACCCAGGTACCTATTTTACTGCTAGGTAACAGGGGCATAGGGTGAAAGAAACTCTGCCCATTGTTTCTCGCCGGCGCCTGGGATCGAACCCAGGACCACAGGATCACAAGTCCCGCGTGCTGTCCGCTCGGCCGACCGGCTCCCTTAAGGGGGAGGGTAAGAAATAAAACCCTGCGGGGGTGAGGGGGGAAGGTCGATATAAGCATATGTACTATACGTATAAACTGGCTGCCTATCCCCCATCACAATGAATTATTATTATTAAATTAATTATTGACACAATATAAAATCAAATCTTTATTCAGGGAAAAGTACATACATACAAGATGAGTTACAAACATAATGTTGGACTTCTAGATAGAGTTAGTGCCATACAATGCCTAAAGTCACTAATACACACAGCGTTCCAGGGAAAGGGTAAATCAATTTCGGGTAATAAATTATTATCAAATAGGTACCAGAGAGTTAGGCAACTTAAATGATGTAGGGTTGCATCCTGGACAGGGTCAATACTTCGACCTTTGGCGGGGCCAAGATATAAGAATAACATATATACATATATAATTAATTATTATTCCAATGGGCCCTTTTGCTTCCAGTCACGTCAGTTCAATACTTACTCTATTATGTAACATTATGTTCCTTCGAGGAATCATCTGCGTCAATCATAAAATTCACATTTCGTCCGGTAAATTGTGAGGGGTCTTAATGGTCTATTAATTTTACCCGTAGGTTATTCCAAATTCTATATCTGAATAGCATTTATGAAAAGTAGGGTTCAAAAAGGACTCAAAGATATGCTTCTACACGTCATCACTCCTCCTTTAAAATATATTGATCATAACCTTATCTAACCAATTTTAACCAAACCTAACATATGCCAGTCCGAACTATCCTATCCTAACCTAACTTGGAAAAAAGGAAAGCTAATTATTTTGTATACCGTTAAGCGAGGTGTGTGACGTCATCAGCTTGCCTCTAGGGATCTTTTTGGATACTATTGGCAATGTTTACATTTTGTAGGATCATCTGTGCGTCACGTGGGCCGGCCCCCGCATGTAAACAACAATTGAGTCCCATTTAACCATCTCAACCGCAATATGGAGGAAAACAGCAATATGGAAGAGGACATTAGGCCAAAAGCAGTGGTTCAAAGTAGCGAAAGTTGCCTGGAGAAACCGGTGAAGAGAAGAAAACCTGGGATCGTGTATCTCTCTACCATCCCTCCCAATATGAACGTGACCAAGATCAGAGAGTATTTTGGTCGGTTCGGAGAGCTAGACCGGGTGTTCCTCCATGCTGCGGAAAATGGTCAGTTACTCTTCTCTATATCGCTTCCCAAGGCAATATGGCCACACTGACTTTGCCCTTAATCTGTTTTGTATGCTCACGCTGTACAAAATTTGTTTACCTGAGGGCCACTAACACTAGTGGCCTTGATGAGCATAGGAAGCTGGCGGCTTGTCAGAGGCATATGATAATATATTGACATTTACTTTGATGATCTTTTCCATTTGGATTGTAAAATTTAACAATTTTGACATTTACGGCTTTGGTGGGTAGGCTGTGGGTTTATAACCATGTAGGTGAAAAAGCATTTTCAGTCCTACATTGTGGCTTGTTGAGCTTGAAATGCTTCACAATGATGTATATTTTAAGTTAAAATGTTATGTCTGAAAAATTGCATGCAGATCATCTGCTGGATGAAGAGCATTTATTCACAAGGTAACACTAAACTAGAAGTTGTCCTATCTCTAGGATGATAAGCATGTTAAGGTTTTAAAGGTCTTCTTAGCCAAAGGTGAGATTATTCACACACACCCATACAATCAGTTTCTTCTCACAATAGAAGTCACTAGAGATGGTGGCCCTCAGGTAAATTCTGGTATATATCATCCTCTGCCCAAAACATTGTGCAGATTTTCTCACAAACAGTCTGTAGTGATTATGGCATTCACTCTGATGAGTGGTATGTATTATAAGTCATCAAAATGGGCAAAAAAAAAAAAAATAAAGAAATTTTATTTAACATTCTTAGGTCTAAAACTAAAATAGGTGGAGTATTAATATTAATAGAGATATTAATATGCTTTAGAGATTCAGAATACTGTACATACCTAGTTTCTGTGGCCAGATGCCAGCAACAGGGGTTTTGTGCATTTTTGTAAGTGTTTATCTCTGTGTTATTCTACAATTAAAGGTTCAAACATTTGTCCAAAGACAACGAAAAATAAATTTTTACAATATAACAATTTTAAAGGTAAGGGAACACATTATTTTTATTTGGACTATATAAGTCATGGCAAACACCCAACTCTCACATCAGAAAATAAAGGCAGTAACAATGTTTCGGTCCATCCTGGACCAATATCATGTGATGGGATGTTATTTTAGGTTCATTGCCTTTATTTACAGATGAATTGGTTGCGTGTCTAATTTTCAGTTATGTTATTGTGACTTACTAATTTTCAGTCATGTTATTGTGACTTACTAATTTTCAATTATGTTATTGTGACTTACGTCTGCATACAGTCATGGTTAACTGGAGGTTTGAAATTTGTCCAACTATTTCTCTTTAAAAGCTTTTCATGTTTTAATGTGTTATTTGTGTATATCGAAGTTCCTGGCAATTTCAAGGTGACCTTCCATCCACTGAGGCAGGCATTGTGAATTTATCTATTGTTGTATATGGGAAACCTTATCCTAATTGGGTGCCTGGTATTTAAAAAAAAATCCCATACCTAATGCCCATGCATTTAGCCCACAGTTCCTTTGCAGATAAACTTGTCATTATCATCAATGATTAATTTCTTATCATTTCTTTGGCAGCAGCTAAAACACAAGGTGAAAAAGGCAAAACCAAGAAACACACCAAAAGCTTACACTTCACAGAAGGTTGGATAGAGTTCAAAAGTAAGAGGAAGGCCAAGCACGTGCATCTCTTTCTCAATAATCAACCCGTGGGTGGGAAGAAACGGAATCCATATTACGACATGTTATGGAATATCAAGTACCTTCCTAGGTGAGGTTAATTTATGTTGTGAAGCTGTTATTACAGTTATCCGAGACAGTGTATAGTTTTTTAAATGAATGTAAAAGAACTTGTATACTCATATGTTTGTAACCACAAAATTAACTAAATTTTTGTCCAATTTCTACTTTTGAATTGTATGAGAAAATGGCTATGAATAATTATTATATAATTACCACTATTGGGATTATTTAGAAAACATATTAATAAGTAGTATTGTAACTAGGTGAGATATGATGAATATTTATGGAATACAATAATGATTTTATCTCGGGTAAAATTCATTGATCTATACTGTGACATTGTCATGTACAGTACGTTGATAGGACTAATTCACAGGTATTGCATCATGATGAGCTTTATGATGAAATATATATGAACAAACAGACAAAGAATGCATGAGTTATTTTATTATTACTAAGTTTTAATGTATTACTGTGTTTTATTATTTTATAGATTTAAATGGGCTTACCTTAAACAAAGGCTGGAGTACGAGCGTGAGGTACATAGACAACGAATGGGTGCAGAGATTTCCCAGGTGCGCCGAGAAACTGACCACTTCATTAGAGCGTCTGAAATAAATGAAATGAAAAAGAAGAAAGCAGTAAAAGCACAGAAGCTCAAAAAGAATCTTGATAAGCAAAATCATGAAACAGTGACTCAGAACATGGATGCTGGAGGAGACAAGAAAATGTTTATATTTAAGCAGAAACAAACAGAAAATTTAATATTGAGCAAGAAGGATGAAAGGAAGAAGAAGAATGAAAAATTTAAAAACATGATAGCTGAAAAAAAGAAAAAGAGACGAGAGATTAAAAATAAGAAGAGAGAACTGATGAAAAAGCCAGAAGAAGACTTCTTGGGTTCAGTATTTGTAGGAACTACTCAATAATAATAATAATAATAATATTTATAATAAGAAAGAGTATCCTTTTCCAAATTATAGAAGTTTTTAGCAATGCTTTCCAGTGTTTCTACGGTATATTATTTAACATTTACAAAAGTGAAGACGAGTTAACCTTATCTTGGAGCAGTAAAAAAAAAAAAAAATTTATCCACTATTTAATTTTGGGTTCTACATTCTGCAAAATGGAACTTGGTCTGTTGCATTTTCCTCTGCTTTGTCAGTGCTTTTGTAGTGATTTTTCCTGGAATCTTTTTGTCTATACAGTATTGTTTTTTATTCTTTACTAATTTATATAAACAGTACAGGAGGTTGATCTCTACAGTATTTACCCTCTGGCAACACTCATTTGCTTTATTTAAATAGGTTACTAATTTCCTTCAAGAAGTCACCCATTTTGTTACACCTATCATTTCTTCAAGTTCTCTCTGATGTCATAATGGAAGGGGACTCCCCCCTTTCCAAACAGTAACACCTCTCCTCCTCCCCCCCTCATCACCATCTTCCATACGCCATCAAGAGTCCTCCATAAAGGTAAGATAAACATATGTACTGTATTGTAGTTAAAGAAAAAAATTGTATTCAGTATAAAATGTATTTTCAAGTTAATATTTTTGAGGGTGTGGAACGATTTAATTCAACTCCCTTTATTTCTTATGAGAAAAATTGTTTCGATTTACGATATGTCTCTGGGAACGGATTACCATTGTAAATCGAGGCCCCACTGTACATTCTTTATTTTCACTAATAACTGTCATGAAAACAAAACAAAAAAGTTCTAGTTCCTGTCATGCTTGCTTTTGAAACTAGATGGAGTTGATGTATATTTCTCTCAGTGTACACAAACATTTTCTTGTATGCATGTAAATTATCCCTGTTTACGCTGTTCATTCCTTTTGTATTTTCTCTCTTGTAATAAAGTTTACATCTGGTTCTTCACTTATAGGGTTGCAAGGCTGAGCTTCTGCAGCCCATCTTCATAGTTTAAGTATTTTATTTCTGGTACCAGTATTGCTGCAAACTGCTGGAGTGTTTAAATTTTTATTTGTTTCATAAGTGTGTGATTTCATGCCTGTGTGTGCATTTCAACATTGGTCTGATGCAGGCCGTGGAAAGGTAAAGATGATGTGTGTGTAGTAATCAACAAGTGCATGAAAAAAAGTTAATATTCATCTTATATGAATCAGGACTTCATAATCTATAAACCTCAAACAGTAAGGAGCCCTGCTTAATGTTTGAACTGCATTGTCCCTCTTAAGTCATGCATGCCCTTCTTGAATGTCCCAATTTTCAGGATGTTTGTGTCCTGCTTCTTAACTGTTCCTCTTAGTCATTTGTTCCTTGGTAAATCCAGTACTGTACCTTTGATATGGCATGGCATATGTGCTTTTGTTCTCATATTGCATCCCGTGTCATTTAAGTGCCTTTTGAATATCCTGCGACACTTATGGTGCTACACAAGTCTCCCTGGCTTGGTGCCTTCTTTTGATAATTACTTACCGTATTATAAATATAATAAGCATACTTGCCAAGGAATTGGATTTCAAAGTAATGTAGTATAATTTGGCTACTTTTTTCACTACATTGTTTTATGTAGATTTGTGTCATTTTCTCATTTTAATTTTTTTTCTTATAAGAAAATTCAATGCTCTTCAGATTTACCAGTCACAGTAAATAACTTTTTTTTTTTTTTTTTTTTTTTGAGATTGTACAGCCACCAGTACGCGTAGCGTTTCGGGCAAGTCCTTAATCCTATGGTCCCTGGAATACGATCCCCTGCCGCGAAGAATCATTCTTTCACCCAAGTACACATTTTACTGTTGCGTTAAACAGAGGCTACAATTAAGGAATTGCGCCCAGTAAATCCTCCCCGGCCAGGATACGAACCCATGACATAGCGCTCGCGGAACGCCAGGCGAGTGTCTTACCACTACACCACGGTGTAACTATTTCCAACTTGATAAATCAACTACAATGTGCTCAACTATATACAGCATACTGTGCATGTTACTATTTACAAAGCATACTGTACCTTAATTATATAAACCTGTAGAATTGTGTGAAGCATTAAAGCAAAGGTTTGGAGAAAGCAGTCTTGCCAGTTTTCAGGGTTACTGCTTGAGGCAATATTTCATTTAGTCATTAAGAGGACCATAGCAGGTGCAGGCCAAAGAACCTGGTGGGAAGTTACCAAATTTGTAAGTTTTTCTAGGCACATGGATTGAAGTTGTCTAATGCATCACAACCATTTTCCGTTTGTCAACTATAGCAGCTTTAGAGATAAATGCATATCCTCATATTGTGAAAAAATGCTTTGGTAAGAAATGATCTTGACAATGAGACAATTTTCTACCCCTATTTAATGATCAGTATATGCTAACAAAGATACTACAAGAAATTGAAAAGGTTAAAGTAAATATTAAACCATTTATAAAGTATAATTTCTTATAAATGTCACCATTTACCCTTTACTCTATTCTAAAAAAATTATCTAGCAATTATGTTACTGATATAATTTGTTTATGAAATACAGTTGGCCTTCACTATCTGCACCTTCAGTATTCCTGAAGCTTTAATTACCTTCTTGAATCGTGGCACCTGAATCTACAATACAAGCTACACCATAATAAATAAAAAGTACTGTAGGTAATATTTACCCTGTTGACCAGACCACACACTAGAAATTGAAGGGACGATGACGTTTCGGTCCGTCCTGGACCATTCTCAAGTCGATTTGAGAATGGTCCAGGACGGACCGAAACGTCGTCGTCCCTTCAATTTCTAGTGTGTGGTCTGGTCAACATACTTCAGCCACGTTATTGTGACTCATCGCCTGAATATTTACCCTCTTTTATATCATTGGCAACTATAAATCTACCTTACATTGTGTGTGGGGCTGGAATAATGTTCATATGTGGTTTATATTAGGAAGTGAAAATGAGTGGACTTTAAGTTGCCTGAAATGATTCCCCATTTTTTCTAACCCATACTCCTGTAATGCTCTTGCTTATAGCAACTATTTGGTCGAATATACCAATATGTACTGCTGAATCCAAGAGATCACATTTTGTACTATTGACTTTATGGTAAAAAAAAAATTTTTTAACATTTCTAGGCCAAGGAGAGATAATATATGTACCATATTAGGCCCAAGATAGTGTATTAGGTCTAGGAGTGCTTGGACAGATTAGGTTCTTCAGCTTTCCCAATTTTCTATTTGGGATAATTCAATAATACAAAATGTAAACCTTTTAGTTCCAACAGTACATATTGGTATGTTTGACCAAATAATTGTTGTACGTACTATATAGAACTATTATTTCAGAAGGATGTTTGTGTCCTTATACCAGATACCTGATTTTTTTCCACCTACTCTGCAGTTTAATTCCGTTGTATGGTAATTCGCATGTACCAAGGATTTACAATAACATTTATCGCAGAAAGCAAGAGTCCACTATGAGAGTACTGTATAAACAACAGACCAAGTGATACTGTATAGAAGTGCATAATATTTATGTTTTAAAATGGCAATATTTTAATACAGTAATGCATTTAGGCCATTTATTTTGCTTGCCTGGAAAGTAACAAATTACTAATTTAATGTTTTAAAACAGAATAATTTTAAGGAAAAACTCAATGCAAAAATTATGTTATTCCAGTTGAAAATCTCATCCCTAATTGAGCTTTCAACTGTGGCCAAGCAACTTTATCTCTAGAAAAATCTAACATTACACCACCACCACCTTACAAATCTCGCAAGAAATACTTTGCTTTAATTCAAATAGTAATACAAATCATTTACCAGCGTTAAAAGCACATCACTGCAAAATTTTATTGCTTCATAATGTACACCAGAAGATACTCTAGCAAACTCACATCTCTAGAAATAGCAGAAAATTCTACTAAATCCAGTACACAGCCAAGCTGAACAATTATCTATTATGTCAGATTTTGCTTACTGAAAAAAGGGAGCTGTACAAACATGAATAACAAATCCTACCATTAATTCAAGCATTATCAGAATATTGTCTTCCTTTGTACACTGAAAATATACAAAGGCAACATTGGGTATGGTTAGAACAATGACCTTCAGTCACCATCATTACCCTATTCCCACATTCAGGGGGTGGGGAGGGAACAAGCTTGAAGAAAAACCGGAATAATATAACTAAAGGTTAAAGAAATAACAATGCATATAAATACTTGTAGTTTACTTTTTTCTAAATTTTGAACAGTAGTATGTACTTCCAGACAATAACGATCAGCACCGTCTTTACGCATGGTCTAGTTTCTATGCTGCAGTCCTATAAAAACTGTACATAAACAAATATGATATCTGATAAGTGAACTGAAAGCTTAAACATTTATACACACTTAAAACATAACCCAAGTATTAATGAGGGCAAAATTTGAACAAGATGTCAATAAGACAAGAGGTGAGTACTGAAATGGGAGCAAAATGGGAGTACTGAAATTGCAAAATATATGGCCAAACTACAGTTTTGTATTTTATTTTAATTAAAAATAACATTTTTGGAATAATTTGTTCTAAGTTCAAAAGTACTGTACTTAGGAAATATTTACATCAGTATTGTTGAATGTGTGTACAGTAATCCCTTCTTACTGAGATTAGAGTAATTTTCAGTCACCCTGACAGTTAACAAGGACTATTTAACAAGTCCTTGCTCTGCTGCTAGTTTCTTCAATGCCTCTTCATCTTGAGTCGACATTTTCTGAAGTTTCTTTCCCACACGTTCATGAATTTCCCAGTACTTGGCTACACACCTGTGAAAGACGAAAAAATATAAAAAATAAAAAACTCAATTCGTAATCTGTCAAGAGAGTTCAGTGCCAGCATGCACCAGTTTGTAGTGTAAGTGGTAAATGATTATTACTCTTAACAAGGCTACAGAGTGAAAGACTAACTTTTAGAATTATCAAAAGAAGGCGCCAAGCCTGGAAGACTATTTCGATGTTTTACAAATAAGTTAGAAATGCCTAGATATCATTCAGGATGCCAATATGTGAGCAAAAAGACAGACAAGTGATGTCAAAAGCCAAGGATTTATCATGGGGTATGTGAATCAAAGGAACACTGGGAAAACAAAATTTTCAATCATTCTGAAAATCAGGAGGAGGAGCTGCATGATTTACCAGAACAAAGTAGTTCTGGTCATAAGGTGCAGGCCCTTGTTCAAGTGCCTGCCTGCAAATTGTGCACTTGCGAATACACAATCTAACTAGAGAGATTTTCCACTTCCTGTTACAATGATAAGAAGCCACCGAGTAAGTTTCATTCAATTGTATGTTACAGTATTTGGAAAAGCTAACTACTGTATCTATGTTGACCAAACCATACACTAGAAACTGAAGAGACGACGACATTTCAGCCCATCCTGGACCTATTCTCTAGCACTCTTTAGCACCAAAATGACCCTGCAAGGGGCTTGTTGGAACTCAACCTGCAACATTGTTGCAATGTCTTGCCCTATTGACCTTGTCTTTCAGACCCAGCCAGCTATTACCTTAAGGAGCAATCGTGGACCATGGTAAAAAAAAAAATTGGCTTTTCATGGACTAAGCCTATTTCTTGTTTTCAACCATGTACAATGTCATTTCACCAAACCTCTGCAACAATGAATGTTGTGCTGCAATGTCAGGATAACAATAACCAACAAACTGCAAAATCCAGCAAATTCAATATTTTATATAAAAACCTAAAACAAACACAGTAATATTATTACAGTAATACCAGTCAAATACTGTAACACTGGACAAATATTTCCCATATAAATGCATAATTCAGATCTTACCTGTCAATACATACAGCCTCTCCTTTCCCAACTTCAGAATCTTTATATTTTGTTGGTATACACTTTTTATGGCAGGAGTTTGTCATTCTTGTGTACATGTCAGACATCATTTCAATTTCCAGGTCTTGGACCAACTTCATTTGGTCCTCGTTAAGAGCGGGTAACCCAGCCATCTTTATGGTCAGCTGTGGTTTTACTCAAGAGGAAAAAGTTTAGAATTGTCAATGTAGAAACTTTATTCCTTGCAAAATTTGTACGTCATGTAACTAAGCAAATAACTTATCCAGTAAAGTTTCTTTTAACTTCGTATTCTCCAGTATTTGCATTCTTCATACGTTCTCGAACTTTCATCGACTCTCGACGCTGAGCTTCAACTTGTTGCTTTGTTAGCACAAATCCTCCAACACTCAGTGCTATCACAAAGGACCTGAAAATAGTCGAGTTATGAAAGATACAAAAGCCCTATGAAATACATATATTGTTTTATGGCTACTGTGGCATCTCCATAATCTTAACCGATTGTGTTATTGGTTTGTGGATCTAAAGCATATATCTTCCAGAGCCCAGACCAGAATTAGTCTATGTGGCTGTGGAAATAAGGCGTGTATAACAACTTTCAGCAAAGTATTTTACCCCCTCTTATTTTTGGATTTCTTTGGATTTTAATTGTAAATACCGTTTTATTATAAACAATAATTTATTATAAATTTTGTATTAAACTTGTACTGTAGTATACATAGAACACTACAATATGTGGATTAAGATTTTGTGGATGTGGCCCCAGTGTTAATATCATACTGGTTAAGTCCACACACATGATTTTTGTTGTGCTGACAGTATTTACTGTAGAATTTTTCTGCATTTTTTTTTTTACCCTTTGACAAAAATAATACAGTGGAGTTCTGATGAACTATATTAAGAAAAAATTCTTAAGATCAAATATTTGTGTGTTCATGAAGTTTACAAGTATTGTACTGTACAGTATTACACTAGTTGCCACAAGATTTATAACTTCTATAACAAACAAAAATTATTTATGTCCTTATTATAATACTGTATAGGCAAATTATTTGTAATGTTATTTGTATTTCAGTATGTTGGTAGACTAAAAAATCATATGTTCTCCACCATGCTAATCTCACACTACAGTATACTACTCTCTAACCTATCCTTTCTAACTCACAGTATCTGTGCATAGGATTCAATCACTGCAAACTACCTCAAGCACATCACCACCCAGCAAAACTCTGCTCTCAGAACTATAACAAATGGTCTTCATACAACACACAACCCCTATTTTAAGTCCCTGAACATGCTAAGCACACTCACTCCACACATTCTCTAGTGCCGAAATTGAAATAAGTTTATTGAGGTAAAATACACACAAACGGATGAGGTAGCTCAAGCTATTCTCACCCCTTTCAGTACATCATGTTAATACATACATAGACACACATCACAACCAATAAACATATTATCGAACATTGAGAGATAAACATATACATTTCCTCCTTTACACAAGGAAATCAGAAATTTTAATTATCCAGAACAATATGTTCTGGATCAGTTGGGGATTTTGGAGGTTCCATTATTAGCAGTCTACTGCTGCTATACAATGTATAAAGTAATAACTGCACTAATGAAATTCCTCCTTAAACATTAATATTTAATATTAACGCAGCAACAGCACTGTGGCTCGAGGCTGGTTGTGTGCACAAACCGAGTTGTTGTAGGATTAGGGACAGCGATAGCACAGGTCTGTATGTGCCCCGTCGTATAACCAAAGAAAAAATAGCCGTGTTTAACGGAGGATAAATGCACTGCACAGCAGGAGTCCAGTGAAACACAGGCGTCTCCCGGGAAGGCGAGAGCCAGCACCTGCCACACACACAGCCAACTGGAGGACTCTACCGACACCCAGTAACCAGTCTCCGTGGTGTAGTGGCAAGACACTCGCCTGGCGTTCCGCGAGCGCTGTCATGGGTTCATATCCTAGCCGGGGAGGATTTACTGGGCACAAATCCTTAACTGTAGCCTCTGTTTAACTCAACAGTAAAATGGGTACTTGGTTGTAACAACGATTCTTCATGGGGATCGTATTCCAGGGACTTGCCCGAAACGCTACGCGTACTAGTGGCTGTACAAGAATGTAACAACTCTTGTATATGTTTAAAAAAAAAAAAAAAAAAAAAAAAACACGCTAGACAATAATGCCCAAGGCGTCCACTGGGTAGTCGAACAAGACGGTATATCTGGAAAAGAGAAATGCAAATGGGGGTGACCTTCGACAAGACGCTGACTTCCTGTCTTCGTCGAGGCCACTAGTGTTTGTGGCTTCAGGTAAATCCAGTAAAAGTACAGTCCACTTAACTCTACCAGGACACTACAGTGAAGGTCATGTTTACTTCCACGAGGACACCAATACTACCAATGACTTTTACATCATATATTTACACTAAAACCAAAAACTCACGAGGTGTAACTTACCAGCTAACAATAATCTTGGAAACTTTTGTCTTAAACATGGATAAGACACATAACCAGCTTGACCTAGGGAGAAAAGCAGCATACGAGGCGACCTCCGGCGTGCTGGGCGTCGTCTGCCGTCGCTACATTCAGCACAAGCTGCTAAGCTTCACTCCTGTAACCCGCTACATTCTCCAACACCTTATTTAAGTTATACAACTTGATTATTATATATACACAGGAGACATCTCCCGTCACGCAGCTTGCAGTCGCACCTCCACAGATCTCCAGTATCATCTATTGATACTGGTAATGGCTCAAAAGGGGCCACCACTTACGGGTTATTCATGCCCGTGCCACCTTTTGGGTGGTTTAATCTTCATCAATCAATGATTATTATATTTAATACAATAAAAACTGCACATTGGATTATAGATCTTTACCCTTTTATGGAACAGGAAGGTTTATTAATGCTAAGAATACACGTTGCTATACAGAATAAACTTCACAACAAAACTGATATATTCACTCTTGCTTTATAAATGCCATATTAATTAATGTTCCTTTGACAGTGGATTGAGGACACTATTCATGTATTTTATATGCTTAAGTTTTACATATACGTCTTTTTCTATTTTGATGTATTTATTTTTAGCTGAAACATGCCATATTTTATCATTTAAATATAATTAAATATAAGTTTTTTGCTGCGAGAATGATACTATTAACCCAATACTGTTTTAAATAGTTAATAGTATCGTTCTGGCAACAATTTCAATTTATTTCTTTATTAATGACCCCAAAAATTTATATTTAACTCGGTAAATAAAATTGTAATTGCAATAATTAGCTTATTAAGTAACGTATCATAATACTATTCATAAGACGTCTTGGAGAGACCTATAATATACGGTATACAACTATTATTTTACACACGTGCAGATGTTTGCGTTAGGAAGTTCAATATGGCAGCCAATTACCGTCAGCTGATGCTTGTTTAGCTGTGCCAACACATTCATAGTATATGATTTATATTGCACCAAACCAATTAGTAACGTTATTAAAAACAAAACAATAAAACAGCTGATGATAAATTTGAACTTACATATACAATACGTATCTTCTTTGGCTAATGTTATGATTGGAGAGATGGTAATATGATGATTCAAAAAGGACCAGGAGGCAAGCCATTCAACGTCATCGCTGAACTTAATTACCCTATTCTGTTTAACCCAACTTAACCTACGCTATCATAGTCTAACCTAAACAAAACCTAACTAAAGCTAACTAAAATAATGTAAAAATATATTTGATTTATATACAAACAGTCCGCAAGGTGTGACGTCACTGTGACGTTCTAGCTTAAATTCCTGAGGGAAACTTTTGGACCGTATTGCGTGGCCGCCTCGGGTCAGTGGTTGGCGGGAGATACACGGGCTTGTTTACCGCCAAAACTCACATCTGCTTCACTTGGCTTCACTGATATTGTTAATTTGTCCGTGGTTCTGGGACTCTAGTAATGCCAAGCCTTGCCCCTGCCATCACCATTCCCGAAGATGTTCGCACAAAGTGAGTTTTTCTCGGATTTTGGATCGGGTTTGTGTTAAATGTGTGAGCACAGTACTGTGTTTCTGACTATTTATCTATACATTCTAAGAGACGTAGATGAACATATCTTCCATGTTATACTAAAGTGTAGAAGATTGTTTGAAATTATACGTTTGACCTACCCTAGTTCATTTAAGTACAGTAATGGAGGGTAGAAATAGTCTTAGCTACTTTTATCCCTTTTGAGATGTATTTTATTGTCTCAATAAACGTACTTAAACTTGAGTCCATTAATTACGTTGAGGAATCCTGGGGCGAGGTCCTGGAAAGGCTAATCACGGTCATGTTTAACCAGATCTTAGGCGTTGTTTGCATAGGAATTATTCAGTTTTGTTTTTGATCTTGAACTAGTGGGTAAAAGGTTGATGTGTTGAAGGAAGGTTCATCAGTCTGGTCTGGATGCTGTCATTTTCTATACTGGCCAATGTGGTCTTGTGTTCAGGAATTAAAATCGCTATCAAATAAAGGGACGTTTGTACGGTGATATAATACAACACAATCGCAAGTGAATAGGTTGTCAAATCATACATGGGTCATGACAGTTCATATTTTACTTGTAAAAACCATTTGCATCGTAAGGAAAGGCAGTGTTGCCTATTTATTTGCAGAAACCTTAAGCTTTCCATTCTGTTGTATAATTCAATATGTATTGTTAAGGTTTTGTTGTTATCGGGAGATTTATCTGTTGAAATAAGCCCCAGTCAAGGATATTCCATCTGCTGCTAGAGTAATGTGGTGATTTTTAAGATTTTAAAATGTTAAGCTACCACAAGCTTTTAGGTATCCCTAAAAGGCACTGCTAGTTAGATACCCTAACTAGCAGTGCCTTCATGTTGTTGTTTCATCACATTATTTAATCAATCCCTATCACAGAAAATGCAGTGCTTTGATAATTATCTTGTTAAATAAGCCCCTACTTAACTGTGGATATGTTGTATTGTGAAGACCACATTGTGATGCACTATTTGGATAGGAGATACAAAACATATCGCTGCTCTGCTCGTACACTTTATTTTAAAACAACAAATTAAAATTGAACCAAAACAAAAATATAATTTGATAAATTTCTTTTAACATTTCAGAATTGATCGACTTAAAGAAGAATACCAAGAGGAAGAGGTTACACAGAAAGGCTATATCAAAAGACTGCGCGCACTGCTCACTGGTCTTCTGATGGCATCTGATCAGGAGGACATTGCCCAGCTGGAGAAGGACCTCGATGAGGGAGATATAACTGAGGTTTCAAGAATTTTTAGTTGCAGCAATTCCACAATAAATTGTCATTGATATAGTAAAGGCATCTTGTCTAATTGTTTTTAATGAGTCTTCTTAAAATTGTAATTTATATTGCGTCTTTAATGGATGGTAAATTATTAACTTGGAAATTAGTTTTTTAGGTGGTCTGACTGATGGTCAGATTATGCTTTTTACAGTACTAGTGTTTTCATTATTTAGTTCTTTCAGCATCTTCTCTTGACACTTTCATTTCAGATATCTGGAAACAATTCCATTTTAAGGAACAGGGTATCAGATCTATAGATGAAGATACTGAGTTTATAATTTTATTTAGGACTAATAAGTGCATATTTGCAAAAAAATAATTTTGTTTTGGAGTAATAGTCCACAACAACATGCATGGGTGATTTAGTAGTATTTTTATACTATACAGTATTTAAGTGACAAGAAGAGGTACTGGTAATGCCAGGTCTGTCAGACTTACTCCCCTCTTATCTGCTTCCCCCCCTCCCTTCTTCTTCCCCCCCTCCCTTCTTCTTCCCCCCCTCCCTTCTTCTTCCCCCCCTCCTTTCCCCCCAATGTCACTTCCTCTCTTTCCTCTTCCACTCTCTCCCCCATGTCACACCTTCAATCCACCCCTAACCCTCTTTTTCCCTCTCTTTTTACCTAAAACTCAAATACAAAAGTGTGTGTTTTTATCTAAAATAAACATAACATTTTGCTGTTATGATACTGTTTGCACAATGTTATACATAACTTACTACATGTTTTGCATCAATACAAACCACTGAGCAGTTCTGGTTAGTGTGGGAATCTCGTAACCAAGCTCAGCCAAGCTCTGCACGTTTTGCACACATCGCTGCACCCAATGAATCAATGTGCCACTCGATATACTAGTACTATGCACACTGCTAACACAGGGTCAAAACACTATTATCAGTATTGTGATCACTAAATCCTTAATGGATAATTTCCCACATATTCTTTTTTCTTAACTTGAGGTCCAATTGCATGATGTGTAGATGCACCAAACTGTGGCTGTGCACTGTTGCTGTGTGCCTGAAACTGTAATAATCATCACCTGCATTGGGGTCACTGCATCTGAACCTTGTACAGTCTTTATCACTGTGAGCATTTTCTGTCACTAGCATCATTAAGTAGTGCTGTGGGCTTCAGTTGCATACTGGTACTGTGAGCTGCTGCTCACAGTACCAGTATGTGCTACTTATGGTTGTTGTCATAGTACTGAGGCCCTTACAGGAGGACAACCCACCCCAGGGTTGCCCCAGGAGGGCAACCCACGATTATATTTCTCAAGATGGTGTCTTTACTGGAAGTCTGAGGAGGAGTCCCATGTACCTCCTAGAGTTTTAAATCTTTCACTAGACCTAAAATCAACCCTGCTTGGCATGGACACCACTGATGAAAGAATTCTGGTTGATGTGCGCAGTTGAAGCATTAAGGTGGTTCTGAGGATCGATGCATCAGTGTCCCCAACGGTCCAAGTGGTTGGGCACCATTTTTTTCCCCCCCTGTCCCGTCCCAAATCCTTATCCTGACCCCTTCCCAGTGCTATATAGTCATAATAGCTTGGTACTTTTCCCCAATAGTTCCCTTTCCTTTACCTGCTGATAACACATCAGCTTTTAACTTCATTATAGCTGCTGCATATTTGTTTTTACTTCATATATACCCAGTATTTTGAACTGATTTACTCACTTCTTGCCTGGTCGAGGACTTTGCTATTTAAATTTTAACATTTTTATTTTCTGTAATATATAAGAGGCTTCTAATGTATTGTATATTTATTTTAAACAGAAAGGCTTCTTCAGTAAACTGGAAAAGCTGCTAGAGTCTTCTCTAACTTTAGCCACAGCAAATGATGAGAACACAGATAATAAACTAGGGAAATTAAAGAAAGGCTCTGAATCATTGAAAGAAAAACTGCTCGTGTTTGCTAATAAGGAAGGTAAACATTCTGAAAAGGAAGGGACCTGTACCAAGAATATTGATAAGGTAGATAAGAGTGCTAACAAAGAAAATGATAAAAATGTCGGAAATGGTGATGCTGTTCAAGCTCCCTGTGAAGTTGAGAGTTCTGGAGGAGAAAATGAGAGCGTAAGCAGTGAATCAGAGGGCGGCTCCAGTAGTAAGGAGGGAAAGTGTGTTATGGAAGAGGGTGAGAAAATGGAAGTAGAAGATGCAAAGCCATCAAGTCAGAAGAAAAAAATTGGCGGTAAGACATACTTCAGCATTAAACTGCATATTTATTTATTTATTTATACAAGAAGGTACATTGGGATTGTGAGGATACATAGCATAGTAATTACATTCTTGTAAAGCCACTAGTACGCAGAGCATTTCGGGCAGGCAAATGATAATTTTGTTAGTCTATTACTTCTCTTTACATCATAGTAACTAAAAGAAAATTTTTATTGCATGCACATTAGTATACTTAGGCTGGTCTGTACAGTGATGACCTTGCTTCTTGCAGGGCTGGCATTTAATGCTTGATGTGACAGTTACACATTACATAATATTTTCCTAGTTTAGTTTTTAAGATTTAGAAACCATTAAAAGTATTCTCCTGATTTTCAATTTCAATTCCTCTATATTGGTTTTACCTGTTAACCTGTGTCCAATTTAATTTAGTGCCCAAGGTCAAGGTTTCTTAAAGAACTGATTAATCAAGCTATTGCTGCAGTCTCGCTAACCCAATATAGCTTGTAGGGCCCGTCACAACTGCTTATGAATACTACCAATGACCCAGCATTATTACTTATATTTGATTGTGAAATGCTAGTTATGGGCCTGGGATGTTGAAACTCCCTTTTGATTGTACAGTATTAACCGATCAGTACAGCCCTATCAGTGTCTATGGGGGAGCTCTTTATGCCCCGCTTACTAGTCTTGTACATGCTGTGTGTAATTACCTAAGTGTAGTTAGAGGATAAGAGCTATGCTCGTGGTGGCCCATCTGCCCAGTACTCTTTCATATAATTCTTTGAAACCACTAATGGTTTTGGTCTCCACCCTCTTCTCACTTAACTTATTCCAACTGTATCTTCCCTAGTATCTTAGCATCATTAGCAAGCATGTTTATATAATTCTGTATTCCTACTGGTAGATTGTTTACGTAGGCAATGAACATTACTGGTGCAATTTGTACCAGACCCCATTTGCTGTATCCAGAATATAATTTTATCTGAAATATTGTAATCTTTTGGTAAAAGGTCCAAGGTCATCCATTACTTTAAATATTGAACTGCTGTCAATCTTTGCTTTAACTGTAGAAAAAAGTAGTATATTTTGAACTGCAAGTTAGATTTAATTTACTGAATACTAAAAATCATTTGATATTACAGGATGACTTAAATTAATAATTGATTGGTAGGTTTTGTTTACTATTATTAATTAAAGTTCTTGGTTTACATACTGCACCAGCAGGCGGGTGTCGAGGTAGAAGACGGAGTTCCCAGAATGGAGGGGTCCAGAGGTCTGTAGCCGATATGTTCACAAATGTCAATAGTAAGCGTAAGTGTGAGGTGCCAAATGAAGTTGGAGAAAGTGATGATTCACCTGCCTCTGAGCCTGACGAGAAAAAGAAAAAAATTAAACACGAAGAGGAAGATAAGAAAACATCACAAAGGTTAGAAAAGTGCTTTTTATTTGGATAAAGTAGTTATGTTCACTAAGTATTTTCACAATCGCTTTTCCAAATATAAAAAGCATCAATAAGTTTCATAATTTTCAAACACACCATTAAGGGTGTGATGTTCGGAAGTACTGTAGCTGAGAAGAGAATGAAGACACTAGCTCAAGAAATACCCAAAGTGACAGAAGTAGTACCGGGTACCACATTAACAGAGGTAGAGGCTTTAAATCATATGATATTAGGAGAAATACAAATTCATAAGAATAGAAATTGGAGGCATAATGTTTTAAGCAGAATGAATTGTCTTAAGGTTGGTAAGGCGTGTACGTGCACAACAAGGAAAAAAAGAGGTGGGGGGGAGGGATATTGGTAATAAATATCTGTATACATAAAGAACATGTGTAAGTGAAAAAAAATAAAAAAAATTTATATTTTGCAGCGAAAGCACTCGTCGTTGCACTCAAGGCTTGATGAACCGGTGTGAGGTGTGCCACCAACACCTCAACAGCCCTGATCTTCTCCTCTTCCCTGGACATCCCGAAGGGGCACTGGACGAGTTTATTGCACTTACAGACCTGAAGCTCTCCCTGTTTACGGGAGATGAAGAGTTCATCAATGAATATGATGAGCGTCCTCAGCAAAAAATAACTGGGTTTAAGTAAGTATTAATCATATTTTCAAATGAAAGTTAAAACAGTGTTACATAAACATTTATTCAACCACTTATTCAAACATTCACTTGTATGCATTTACAATATCTACTGCCTGATGCTGCAAATATATTTATAGGTACTGTAATAGGCATACTGACTTCCTGCCTTCTGATAAATGCTAGCTTTCGCTCATTATCTTGCACTTTCTTGCTTTCTATTTTTGCCTTGCTCATCTCCCTTGTTCTCTTGTTCATTCCCCTTGTTTCCGTGTTCAATCACCCCCTGTTCTATTGCCCATCCCCCCCCTTGCTGTCTTGCTCTCCCCCCCCCCCCCCTTCCTTTGCTGTCTCCACTCTAACACTGCAGAAAGTTTTCACATGGGTTGAAATAAATACTGTACTGAATACAGCAATTTCTCTTGACTATTTCAGTGTATATGATAAAGAAGGTCATCTTTGCCCTTTTGATGGAGGTTTGATTGAGCGTAATGTTCTCCTCTACTTCTCTGGCTACGTGAAGCCCATCTATGAAGAAGACCCAACAATTGAGGGTGGAGTTCCTACTAAAGAAATGGGACCAATCAATGAGTGGTGGATCTCTGGCTTTGACGGAGGCAAGGAAATTGCGGATTTATTAAGATTTTGCTAACAATAATTCAACTTGCGAAATTTTTAACAAAATAATACAGTACTGTATACTAATACATGTAGTCTGTATTATAGTATTGTAATTGCTTTGTCATAAATTATTTTAATGTATATTTGCAATCTTTTGATGTATGTAATTTGATGACAGTAATTTGCTTAGGGAAACCTTGGTAAGTCTGTCGGGCTTCCTGTTGTTGACAATGGGAACGGATTATTAATGTTCATTCATTACAGGGGAGAAAGCACTGATTGGATTCTCTACTTCATATGCTGAATATATACTTATGGATCCAAGTGACACGTACGCTCCATTTGTTGATGCTGTTCGAGAGAAGATTTACATTAGTAAAATAGTGATTGAGTTTCTGGTGAACAACGATGATGCTATGTATGAAGACTTGTTGAATAAGCTGGAGACAACAGTACCGCCAAGTGGTATTGCTGTGATAACAGAAGATACACTCTTGAGACATGCCCAGTTTGTTTGTGATCAGGTAAGGCAAACAATGTTCTTTTTAAAGTTTCAAAATTTCCTATTATACTAATTTAGGCACTTTTTGGTTAACTCGTATTGAGATGATCCACTTGGTTATTGCTTGGATTGGTTGTTGTCCTGAAGTGGTGTGTGTACTTGATATTAGTACCACATCTTCCTCATTGCTATACTCATCTCACATACTTAATCCAGCTGGTTTTCTAAACAAAACTAATTTTCCTTGTTCTCTTTAATTTAATTTAATACTTGGGGTTACTACCTGATGAAGATTCCAAGGATCAGTATCCCCGCGGCCCAGTCTGACCACACCACCTGCTCACTAGTGTGATCATCCAGACTGTTCGATACGACTAGCTGACATCGTTATGTACGAGTCACATCCTAGTTGATAAGGTATCTTGTAAAGGTACTTGTCAAGTTCTTTTTTTAACACTGAGAGGGGTTGGCCAGTTATGCCCCTTATGTATTGGGGAAGAATGTTAGTCTTGGGTCTTTGATGTCGATAGAGTTCTCTCAGGTGCCTATAACATGCCTACTTTTCAGTGGAGCTATTTTGCACATTCTGCCATGGGTATAGTAAATCATTAGCCTAACTAATACTGTATATAATGTTAAATTTTATATAGAGTACCATTGATAAATTAAAGACAAATCTGCTCTGGTCCTTTTGATTTGCTTTCATCTAGTCCTTTTGGCAATTTGCTGAACTCCTTTTTAGTTACTACCACACTATTCATGTGGGCTTCCACATCATTTGTGAGAGTTTCAACACTGTTCCATCATCACTTGTATCAGCTCTTTACCCTGGCTTGATTTTAAAAATCTACTGCAATCTGTGATAGAGCTCTCCATAGACCTCCCTGTTGCTTTGAGTGAAGATATTTCCATTTATTTTTTTCTGTAGCCTGATAACTTGGTCTTTTGTTAATCTTGCATGACTATCAGCCATGGCTAATCTTTGACTTAAGTTACTGTCCTTTTCAACATGCCCCTCTGCTTCCATCCTGACCCTAGTACCTTCTTAATTTACTTCTGTAATGTGCTGCCGTTACATTAAGCAGCGTATAAAGTATTGAAAGGAATAGGTAGTGTAGTCATACAGAACAAGAGGGCACAGGTAAAAGTTGGTAATATACATAAGAATGTAGGAAAATACCTGTATGAAGTGAGGGTGATAAATAGGTGGAATGTGCTGGTCATAAGTGGTGATAGCAACCACCATTCATTGCATCTAAAGAATGTGCACAGTACTAAAATAACATGAAAGTTTATTGCTCCAGTTATAATTGCTGTAAGGCAGGACAAAGTAGGATTTCATTCCCTGTAGACATGTAGATTAGTATAGCACCTGTAATTATTACACAATCCCTCCCATAGTCATGCCATTCTTGTTGTATATGAACATGTGTATAAATTTATTGCAAAATGTCTGTTGGCCCATCTAGGCTTCTATATATGTCCAATCGCATCCACTCCAGTGTTCGTTTAACCGATACTTGTAACTTTCCAGTGAATTTTCCCACTCAAACACCACCCGCCCATGTATTCACTCATTATTGTCAAGACTGTTATTATTATTATTCAACTTATAATACTCATCTAACGTACGATCAGTATTGGGCCAGGTTGTTGTTGCTCGACCCTAGGGTATCCCACTTGATTGTTACCCGCACAAATTTTCCTTTGCTTATGTGATCTCCTATTTGCTATGTGATATGTTGGCTCAAGGACAACTAATCAGTTATGATCACAACATAGCTTGTTTACTTAAAGGTTTGCTTTTGTTTTATTCATGCAGGTGCACAACTTCGACTTAGCAGGGGATGAAGGAGATGACATGCTCATTACAACACCTTGTATCCGGTCGCTAATTAAGTTAGCAGGGGTCATGCTAGGCAAGCGCCGAGCTTTAAGACGCACGGGTCCAAAATTGAAGGTAGATAAAATGCCAAAATGGACCAAAGCAACTACAACTCCACTTGTTAGAAACTTGTTTGAATCATTTTTCTCTGGCCAGATTGAATCTGAGAAAGAGGGTTTGCACAATACAAAGAGAACACGATGTGGTGTTTGTGATACTTGCCAAAGACCCGACTGTGGTGAATGTAAGCAGTGTAAGGATATGGTGAAGTTTGGTGGAACTGGCAAATCAAAACAGTGCTGCTTGGAGCGCAGGTGTCCAAACAGGGTTATAGCTGAAGCTGAAGATGATGAAGACATTGAGGAACTTGCAAGTATTTCCATTGGAGATCTATCGACCTCCAAGCCCAAACAGCACCGTATCCGTAAACACACTCATCATACCACTTGGCTTGGGGATCCTATCATTGTAGAAGGCAAGAGAACTTACTATGAATCAGTGTCAATTAATGGAGAAGAATATCATATAAATGACAATGTGATGGTAGAACCAGATGACCCGAAGATCCCAGTATATATTGCTCGCATCAACCATATGTGGGAAGATGGACGTGGAGAGAGGCACTTCCATGCTGACTGGTACTGTCGAGGGAGTGACACGGTTCTTGGCGAGACGGCAGATCCACTTGAACTTTTCATTATTGATGATTGTGAAGATACTGTTTTAGATTCCATCATAAAAAAGGTATGTTAGTTTTTGGTTCCTTTTAAAGTTTGATGTTGTTGAAAATGTTCCTCTCAATACCTAGTTTAATTTTATCATTATTGGTGTACAGTATTAGTAATCTCATGATAAGAGTTGTAAGATCTTTTATAAAAGACTTTTTAGTAAAGTTCTTTATACTGTCATATAGAAAGGTATAAGTGGATTAAACCTCAAAGGAGAAAATACTATGCTTTACATAAATAGAAACTTTACCTAACATTTTTATGTACGATATTCTCATTCCATGATCATTTAGCTGTAACCCTTAGTGTTGCTATCATCAAAGTTTGCTTCTAAATGAATTTGAATTATTTTGCTATTAGGAAATAGTAATTGTGCATTTATAAGTTTGGAATTTTATATAATATAAATAAATCTTTAGTTTGGCCTGGGTAGTATTGTCGGCATTCCTTCTGGCATTGATCAGCATCGTATAGTAATGGGAGCCATGACCAAATGGAAAAACTTGTAAATTTTATTATCTGAAGTGTATTAAAATGTAAGGAATCTGCATACAAAAGTAAAAATGCCAAACTAAATGTATACAGTGATGATCTTGGTCTAGGTAAAGCAATCAGTATGAGATGGGAAACCAAGAGCTGAAGCATTTCAACTCCAAATATCTTTATGGCCTCCCATGAGTGCTGGGAGACAGTATTGAAGTACTGGACTCCTAGGGCAACATTGTTATTCAAATATCAACACAAAACATGAATCGTCGTACAATGACCATGTTACACTATTGATCTTACTCAATGATGATGACCTTACTTTGAGGGGTTAAGAAGGTAAGGTAATTGTAAGGAGAAAGTGCAAAGCCAGTGCAACTATAGTGTATTTAGAAGGGATATGAGGATAAAGGGTTTGGATGGGACAGAGGGAGGAAATGGTACCCAACCACTTGGATGGATGAGGATTGAACGCCAACCTGCAACAATTAATACTTGTAGATGTCGGCAACTTGTTTAAATTTTATAGTAAAATATTTAGACTGTCTACTGTTTTCTAGGTAACTGTGACTTACTATGAAGCCCCATCCAACTGGAAGGAGCTTGGGGGAGTTAATGATCCAGATGAATTCTACCCAGTGAAGAACAGTGATGGCTCTCATTACTTTTATCAGAAGATCTACCAGCCCCAGTATGGCCGCTTTGAAGACATTCGTCAAGATGAAGTTGGTTTATGAGATTTGAAGTATTGTAAATACTTGGAAATATTCATTATATATATATAATAAAATGTGTGTGTGTGTGTATTTAAAGAATAATGTAACACCAGTTGTTCAATGATATTAAATAATATTGCAGGAACCAGAGGAACATATGAAGCATCGCCACTGTGTCTCTTGTGCTCGCATAAAACAGTCAGAAGTGTTTGAAATGTGTGTTTTGGGTAAAAAACTGGAAGACGAGTCTACAAAGAATCAGGTAAAATTTGTATTGTTATTAATTAATATACAGTACTGTACATTTAGGTTATTTTTGATCAGACATCAGAAAGTTGGATGGGAGGTCCATTAGATGAATTTGGTTCATTACTTAGAGGAATCCATTATATACAGGATCGGATTTGAGGCATGTAGTGGTTCATAATGGTAAAAGGAATGCAAATTCACAATAGTTTCTATAGTATTTTTTAATATTCTTAAAAATAATATAGCTATACCTTTCCTAGCGAATATTGTTTGATGATAATGTATTTGTAGTACAGTAATTTGATGAAATTGGAACGTGGTTAAAGCATTGCATCAAATTTGTGTGCCAAATTGGGAAAAGGTGCTGATACTGTAGGAAATGTTGTATATCTGCAACTCTACTCACAAATGTAATTGCCTTGCTTACGAATTAAAATATTTTCTAATTGAATTTTTCTGTTAAAGTAGTTATAAATTTTGAAGAAATTATTGTATGATTTAAGTATTTTGTGCTATCTTTGAATTTATTATACTATACACATTTTATATTTTCTTTGCTTAAAATGCTAATTTAATTGTTTTCTTTTATACTCTAATCATTTAGAAGTTAATATAATAATAATTTATCTACCTTCTAGATTTACGCATCACTGTGTTACAAGGGTAATGATTATGCAGTCGGTGACAGTCTCTTTGCCAGTCCTGATGCATTTGATTTCAAGGTAGGTAAAAAAGTGTGTAAAATGTTAATTATTGTTTTTAGGGATTTTGTACAGAATCTGTTCCTTCTTGCATTCTTTTAATTTTTTTTTTTTTTATATATTTATCAAGGTGTGTACTAAAAGAAATCTTTAGATTTTAAACCCCTGGTTGAGCATGTTGGTATGATGACCTATTCATGTACAGTTTTAAGTCAGTCACCTGAGTGCCAATTCCTGGTTTGTTTACAATAACTGCTTGCATGCTTCACTACCATGCAGTTTCCTGGATAGTCTTGCTTGAAATTGCATTGTAAGAGATTTTGTCTGGTGCTAATTTTCTACAGCTGAATTTTTTCAATGTACAATATTTTGAGAATTACAATAGTCTTCAGATTTATTTTACTTTAGCTTTGGTACTAGTGTTATCAAAATAATTTTTCATTATTGGGCAATGCAGCAAAAAGACAGTAGTATTCCTGAGAACATGTTTTTAATGGTAAATTTACCATCTAAAGCAATTTTAACATTTCAACTAAGGGTATATTAAAATGAAGGCTTGAATGAGCTCATGTTGCTTAAACTGCTAACAGTCCTTGTAAGTGTTGTTTGATAGTTAATGTTATAAATCATGTTTTAAACTAGCATGGTAGTGTTAATGGATAAAATTTAGTTTTGCACATGAATTCTGGCAGCCAACAGCAGTTGAGCAGTTTCACCCTGTATATTCACCCAGTTAAATTACAGTAACTCCACCTTTGCCAAAGCTACCAGTGTTCAGGTGCCAAAAAAGAAATAGGATTCCACATACTACACTGAGAGTGTGCTTCAGTAGTTGTGCTTAGATTGTATGACTGGATAATAGTGATGATGATAGTATGCAAGTGAATATAAAGGATAAAGAGGAGTGCGCCAGATGAGCAAGTATATGTCAATAAACATGACCTGCAGCTCTTGAGGAAGAGCAGGGAGTAAGACTGAGTGGTGGGAGTGGAGTATATGAAGGAAGTGAATGATTAGCTATTAATTTTGGCATTTCATGGGAATTAGCATCTAGTTTGTGAACCAAGTGTTGTTGTACATGGTATTATTCTGTTTTACTACAGAGTGCACAAGTAGTATGCAGAGTAGCTTACCACTGCTGAGAATGAGTCACAATAATGTAGTGAAAACAGATAACCCAGCCCACACATGGAATGAAAGTGATGTGTTGGGCTACCCTGTACACTGCAAAGTTGTGGGAGGAGGCAGCCAGATATTAGCACTGTGTTGGCCGGATACCCGGCGACCAACCATTTCATTTCATGACGTGTTTTGTTTAATACCTCTGGTGTTGCCACTTATTGTATTCAATTTACAAAAGTAAATTGAATACAATATCAGCTAATGTTCATAGCTCTTATGGATGCTTTTTGAAGAATGTGATCAAAGTTGTCAAAAAAGAAGACATATGGTACTGTAGTAAGATCTGCATGAAAGAGTTACAACACATTGAATTATTTGCTTTGCAGGTTAAGCAAGCACCACCTCCCAGAAGAGAAGAGAGGAAAAAGAATGTTGATGAAGAGATGTATCCAGAATACTATAGAAAATCATCAGACCATGTAAAAGGATCAAATGACGCTACACCAGAACCCTTTAAAATTGCACGAATCCTCAGCATTACACCTCGAGTTTCAGGTTATTATTATTATTATTATTATTTTTTTATGGTCTAGTTAGTTGTTGGCGAGGAGTGGGCTCCAGCTTTTGGCACCTATCATTTGTATAATATTATTACATCAGTTTGAACCAGTAATTGCAGTTTGCATCCACTACCTCTTGTCTTGTTCTTTTTATTCACTAATGCACTTAAGTTCTTTAGATTTATCTTGACTTGTCTTAGCCCCTGTGCTCTACTTGTGTTCTGTTCACAATTGTATTGACCTTCAAATACAGTAATGGACCCCTAAAAAATCTTGATTTAAAAACAAAGGATTTTTTATGAAATTGAAAATTTACATGCTAATGGTAATTAATAAATAAGCATGATGCCATGAAAATGCACCCCCATGTTGGCCTGGTGGGGTGCATATTTTGAGTGGGAGGGAGGATTCTGACAATTGTTGCCATGTCCAAAAGAAATTTGCTGACCTGAGACTATTAAAGGGGCAGTAAAAGTTTTATTTGTGCTTTTTTCTTGGTCAGTTTAATCACTGAACACATTATTTTGAAATTTAGATTTATTCTTACGGTGAATGTTGTGTGTGTAATGGTAACCATTGAATTTTCCAATATTTTAGACCATGTGTTATTTCAGGAACAACTTTGAGCCCCAGTGATGTTACCCTGAAGGTGGCCAAGTTTTACCGTCCGGAGAATACCCACCGTGGTATTTCTGCTTCCTACCAAACAGAATTGAATCTACTTTACTGGAGTGAAGAAGGTTAGAATCCAGGTTCTTGAAGTTAGTACTCTAATCAATTACCTAGCAGGGAAAAGCATAGTGAGCAAAATAACACAAGACCAGGATCAGGGTTCATATATGGTTTAAATGCTTAACCTAAACCAGCGAGATAGTTATTCAAGTTTGACTCTAGAACAACTGATCATAATTCAGCCAATTTAATTCACACTATTGAAGATAAATACATTTCATTAACATGTAAAGTTTTAATGTAGTAACCATTATGGGGAGCACACTGCTCCACTATTTCACAAGGGAATGCTTAATCGATGTGGATGTTGACTTTTACATGTAAAATTGTACCCATCCAGCTTTGTTCTATACATTTTCCTTCTTTTTAAAACTGATGGTGTATTTACTATTTTGGTGAAGTTTCAGCCAAATAGCTTTCCAAACAATAGAGAAAAATCACACACAAAAAAATTTGCATATTCAAAACATGATGGTCCACACATTTAACACTTTCGCGCTTTCCGCAAAGGTCACTCAGCCAACCGAATGTGCGCGCAGCGTTTTTATCGCTTAAGCGTAAAAACAAAAATGTGTATACTCTTTTTACTCTTCTGACCTTAGTTCTCATGCTACGTATTTCATTTTGGTACCAACGTGTTCGCAATAAAATTCTCTAGAAGAACATCAGTAAAAAAAGTCACGAAACGTATAGGGATACCAGCACCAAATAAATAACTACGAAGATGACTCGCCGTGAGCGCCCATCAGCAACAAAATGTTTTTACTCTTGGGATTGTAATCACCTCCACACTTATTCTACAGCGTTAATTTTGGTATCAATGGACTCGCAATGAAATTCCCAACACGGTGATATGAATATAAGCGTAGAATAATGATGCGGCCCGCCCGCAAGAGTGTGGGAAGTGGTGAAATTGTTACCCGGTATCGGTGACGGGACGACGCTCGGCGCTTTGAAAGTTTATACTTATTTCACTCTCATGACATTAATTTTCTATGTATGTCATTCATTTTTGTGTCAATGTGTTCGCAATAGAATGTTCTATGTGCCCATAGGTAAAAAATATCAACAAAGCGTAAGTTAGAATAGCGCCAAATATAAAACAACGCTGGAACATATCAGTGAGCGTCAAACACACACGAAATGTTTTTACTTTTGTTATGTTTGTCAAGTTTATACTTGTTGCACACAGTTATTTTTGGTTGTATATTGATCGGAATAAAATTCCCTAAACAGACATATGCATATAATACATGATATGGGGGAAGCATTACCAGTATAAACGGCTAAAGTCACCCACCTGCAACCCGTTTGGGACAAAATACCATTTGATCGAAGTTATCCACACCTTTCATGAACTTATTGTACCATGCAGCCTAGTGGTGAGAAAGAGAGCCTCATAGCGCGCAGTTTGAAACAAACCCAAAGTAAATCGGATAAAAATTGAATTTTATACAAATATTTTAAAAGAGGACTCGACTTTATGTCCACTATGCGTTAGCGTTAGACGAAACGGGACGCGCCGGCGCGTCCAGATAGCGCGAAAGTGTTAATTTATAAATTTCTAATTACACACTATTGAACAATATTACTGCAAAGAACTAGAAAAAAAACTATTCAAGGACACTTAAATAATTATTTTGAAATATCTTTGCGGCAACTCCCACCTCGTATAACTGTCGGGGCAAGCACCACGGAGCGACTTACTCTCTCAATACCTGTGAATTGTGAAACTTCCTCTTCGCTTCATCTTGGCCAAACAAAAGTCACGTGCAATATTTTTTTGTTCCCCGTGATCAGGGAATACATTTTAGCAATATTAGAAAGACGAAAAATTGGGGGAGGGGGGATAATTTTTTTTACATGAACCATGTGGTTGTCAGTCAGTGGGTGCATAATACATGGGTTAGGCTCACGTCAGTCAAATCTGAATAATTAAAAGGTTATTAATGGGTCATATTTGCTAAATATGTATAAGTATTTTTTTTTTTACCAGATACCCGAGGTGCTAATATAAATCCATAACTTGACTGGTGTTCTAATATTTATCTGATAGTTTTAGATTTATGATTTATTTGTAAAATAAAATTATCACATTCTATAGTTTTTGTATCCTTTTATTTTTTTTATTAAATACCTTTTTATGTAGTGTGATTGATTACCTTGTCATCTCGGGAATTCAGTACAGGATTGCACATGTTTAATCACATATATTTTTGTTTACAGAGGCATCAATTACCTTCAATGATGTTATGGGAAAATGCTTCGTTTCCTATCAAGAAAATATTGGAAGCAAGTCTGTTGATGATTACATGACTGAGGGTCCATATAGATTCTTTTTTGCGGAGGCATACAATTCAAAGGATAAGACATTTACCGAGCCTCCTGCAAAAGCCCAAGCATTGGGAAGTATTGGCAAGGTAGGTTTTTGTTGCCTTTAAATATAAACAAAGCACTTAGTGAAGGTATCATTTGGTTGACATGCTTTTGAAAGAGGTGTAATTGTGAAGTATAGTTCATAATTCCTGTGTGTGACGCTGCAGGCATGCTTGCTATGTGCCACAATCTCGGGTATTAGTGCCGCAAAATGTGCGTTCTGGCACACTATATTAAAGGTATTGATTTTGTGTAAAGCCTTATTTCATGTATTTAATTGAACACGCTTATTGCTCAGTTTGTAATCTAGATTTTCCATTTCATAAAATTGTTTTTACTGTCTTTCGTAACCAGAAATGTTCAAACTCAAGCCTAACCTATCTAGGCCGTCAATATATCATGGTCCCATATTTGTTATAAATACTGTATAGTAAATTATACAGTATTTTAAATAAATTGATCGATACTCCATAAAATGTGTTGTATTAGATGAGAAGACAGGTTATACTGTATTATCATGGGTAGTTTTTATAGAGCAGCCCCCTTCCCCTGAAGCTATCATGCTGAGATTGCTCCTGTTTGCTAGGTCATAAGTTGTGAGAGTTGTGTGCGGCCTACTGGGGACTAGAGCCTGATCCTGTCCCCCTTACAGGCACAGAGACCAGGTGACATTTTGCCACCCCACCAGAAAAGCATACAGAAAGTCAGTGGAGCATTACAGATAACTGCAAGGTTCACAGGAACTGAATCCTCGAAATCTGCCACACAGCTCCCAAAATAATTACTCAATCTAGTTTGAACCCTTAGTACTGCCACAAGGGGGAGGGGGGGGGAGCCTGGAACCATAGCCCTCTTTCAGTTATATAAACTATTTTGTTGCATATCTTGGCACCTTTTCCAGTTTGTTAAAGCGCTTCTTGCAGTATCAAGAATATCAAGCAGTACTCAGATGGAAAAACACCATTGATTTGAATAGTACAACCATTGGTATAGGATTCCTGGATTTGAAGGTTCTCATAATCCATCCTATAATTTTTCTAGCTGATGCTATATTTGCTTGGTTGTGCTCCCTAAACATTAGGTTGTCAGACATGATTATTCCAGATCCTTTACGTGCTGCTTTCCTACTTTGGCCAGATTTGATTGTGTTTTGTACTCTGTATTTTGTTTAAGGTCCTTATGTTTACTGTACCTGAGTACCTGGAATTTATCACTGTTAAACATTGTTATTTTCTGCTGCCCAGTCAAAAACTATTAATATCTGCTTGTAGTTTATCAATGTCTTCAACAGAAGTAATTTTCATGCTGATTATTTCATTACATTTAATACTGATAATGCTGATCAGGTGTTTCATTACATTTTATGCTGGGTTTTTATTTGGCATCTTAGAATGTAGTCTGGATGATTGTATTAAAATGTTTTCTGACTAATAATTCTTTTAAATAGGGCAAAGGAAAAGGAAAAGGAAAGGGGAAAGGAAAAGGAAAAAGTTGTAATGATGAGAACAATGAAGTGAACAGCTTCCAGGGCTTTGAGGAGTATCCGCCAGTTGCACACAAGTTGCGGACTCTTGATGTCTTTGCTGGCGTTGGAGGTGAGGCTCATATATTTTCATTTGCGCTTGATAAATATTTACAGCTTGATACTAGTTCTTTAAAAATATTTGTAAAAATAATTTATTGGGCAACAAAAGTTTAGATTATCTTCAAGGTCAAGTACAGTAAAAATATTTTAACACTTTCGCGCTATCTGGACGCGCCGGCGCGTTCGGTTTCGTCTAACGCTAACGCATAGTGGACATAAAGTTATGTCAACTTTTAAAATATTTGTATAAAATTCAATTTTTATCCGATTTACTTTGGGTTTGTTTCAAACTGCGCGCTATGAGGCTCTCTTTCTCACCACTAGGCTGCATGGTACAATAAGTTCATGAAAGGTGTGGATAACTTCGATCAAATGGTATTTTGTCCCAAACGGGTTGCAGGTGGGTGACTTTAGCCGTTTATACTGGTAATTCTTCCCCCATATCATGTATTATATGCATATGTCTGTTTAGGGAATTTTATTCCGATCAATATACAACCAAAAATAACTGTGTGCAACAAGTATAATCTTGACAAACATAACAAAAGTAAAAATATTTCGTGTGTGTTTGACGCTCACTGATATGTTCCAGCGTTGTTTTATATTTGTCGCTATTCTAACTTACGCTTTGTTGATATTTTTTACCTATGGGCACATAGAACATTCTATTGCGAACACATTGACATAAAAATGAATGACGTACATAGAAAATTAATGTCATGAGAGTGAAATAAGTATAAACTTTCAAAGCGCCGTGCGTCGTCCCGTCACCGATACCGGGTAACAATTTCACCACTTCCCACACTCTTGCGGGCGGGCTGCATCATTATTCTACGCTTATATTCATATCACCGTGTTGGGAATTTCATTGCGAGTCCATTGATACCAAAATTAACGCTGTAGAACAAGTGTGGAGGTGATTACAATCCCAAGAGTAAAAACATTTTGTTGCTGATGGGCGCTCACGGCGAGTCATCTACGTAGTTATTTATTTGGTGCTGGTATCCCTATATGTTTCGTGACTTATTTTACTAATGTTCTTCTAGAGAATTTTATTGCGAACACGTTGGTACCAAAATGAAATACGTAGCATGAGAACTAAGGTCAGAAGAGTAAAAAGAGTACACACATTTTTGTTTTTACGCTTAAGCGATAAAAACGCAGCGCGCACATTCGGTTGGCTGAGTGACCTTTGCGGAGAGCGCGAAAGTGTTAATCTATGTGGTATGCAGTCATAATTTTTAATACTGGGTATGCTTGCATACTTTGTGTAGTGGATTTTTTTTATAAGCACTATTTTAAAAGTTTGGTTTTAATTTTTTACACCCATGTAATTCACCTGAACACACTCACTCTCTCTCTCTCTCTCTCTCTCTCTCTCTCTTTATGCAAACAAATAAAAATCCTGAAATGTATTATTTTTATTAACAGGTCTCTCTGAAGGCTTTCACCAGGCTGGAATAAGTAAAGCCAGTTGGGCAGTTGAGGTATTTGAACCAGCTGCTCAAGCATACCGTCTCAATAATCCAAACGCCACAGTCTTTACTGACGACTGTAATCTTCTTCTGAGAATGGTTATGGATGTAAGTTTGTGTAAATGTTACCATAAGTTGAAGTTTTGAATTTTGAAATGTATAGAAAAATCATGATTCAACAAACTTCATTTTAGCAAATCTCCTGTTGTTCCTCGGTCTTTGCAGGCTGGAGTTACCTGATTTGCCTGAAGATACCTGATCTTTCGACAAAGTGGGGAATGTGGAGATTTGCTTAGAAACGACAAAACTCTGTTTTGTTCTGACCAAAACAAAGTTTTGTGGCTAGTTCAGACTGGTGGGAAAGTTGACCATCTTATGATTGAGATTAAAATATTGCTTTGTGAAATTACCCCATAGTGTTGGAAATATTCTCCAAAATTTGAATTACATCATTCTGGACCTGATTCATATTAGTGTGAAATTGGAATTGCCAAAACACTGTTTTTTTTGTTGCCTCAATTTTTTTTCCTAAATATCAAATTTTTCTGTTTTATAAGTAATCCAGGATAATCAACTAAAACTCAAGATATGAAATATCTTTAAAACCTGGTCCAGTAAATAATTGAGATTTTGATAACCATTTTAAGTAACATTCATTTCCACCTCCTGACTTCAAATGAATGATAAAATGCAGAATAGGAAAAATATGATGTTTGAAATTGCTTCATTAAAAGGATTTCACAATGTCCCCATCTCTAGAATACTGAATATTTCTTCAGACGTATCCAAATTTTCTCCTACAGTATTTATTCATATATTTATGGTCACATTATGAGTTGTGTTTCTTCCAATAGAGATCATCCTGTATATATTATTAGTTGATTGTTATATTTTGGACAGCAAGAGAACATGAACAAAAAGGGCCAGCGTTTACCTCAGAAGGGTGATGTGGAGATGCTTTGTGGTGGTCCACCTTGCCAGGGATTCTCGGGCATGAACAGATTTAATACACGTCAGTATTCTCAGTTCAAGGTCAGTTATATAATTTTTTGTTTAAGGGGTGGGAGTTGTGCATGTGAAAGAGTTAATGGTGAAAGTAAATAATTTTTTTTTTTTTTTTTTTTTGTAGCTTCTCTGGCTCTCTTGCCATTTCTGTTGAACCAGTCCTGTTTTCTAGTTCTGGATCTGTTTTGGTATCAATCTCTCTTGTGCCTTCTTCATATCTCATAAAACGTGTCATGCATCTCATTTATTTCCTTACCTAACAATGTCTTTTCAATTTTCTCGGTGTTCTCTTCTGAAATAGTTTTTCAACCATTTCATTTTCCTTATTCTCTTCTAGATTATAACACATTGCATATTATATTTCCAAAAGGTTATAGTTGCTCGTACCCAAGGGAGGAAGGTACGGAATGTCAAATCTCTTATTTTGTTTCTGGTGAATATCAAATCCAGCATTGAGGGAGCATCCTCCCTTTCCCTCATTCACATGGCCTACCTACTGTTGATACGTGAATGTCTTCAGGATAAAGTTTATGAATCTGACAGTTCAAAAATCCTCTGTGCTTGCTTCACAGGCCTTCCAATCTTTTGATTTCAAGTTGAAGTCACACAGTATCGATAGCTATTCATACCTGTACCACTTCTTAGGTGGCTTAATCTTTTATCATTCGTTATTTATCTTTATTTGCTCTTGCAATAATATCTCGTGATCATTGAGGTCTCTCGCTTGTCATCCTGTGCCTTCTTTGTCCACCTTCCATCTGTCTTTCTCTTTACATTGCTCCTTTTTTTTTTTTTCCTCTAGTCTCCGTTCCTCCATCCTGCAAGTAGACAGACGTTAATATTTTTGTGCAGATGTCTTGTGTAAGAGAATAAACTTAAGATGAATGTTTTTTATGAATTGTATTTTCATTCAAATTTATTAACTTCTATTACAGAATTCCCTTGTAGCGTCTTACCTGTCATACTGTGATTTCTACCGTCCGAGATTTTTCCTCCTTGAGAATGTGCGGAACTTTGTGTCATACAAGTGTAACATGGTTCTCAAACTAACCATGCGGGTTTTGGTAAAGATGGGTTACCAGTGTGCTTTTGGAATCCTTCAAGCCGGTAATTATGGCGTTCCACAAACCCGTAGAAGGTAAGATGAACAGCTTTGTCAATATTTATAGTCTTAATAATATTGTGAATAGAAATTACTTTTTTCTTCTTGCCATATATGCACTAGCCTATTTGTTTATAGGTTTTATGTATAGTATAGCCTAGCTAGAGAATGCTGCTACATATTCACTTCAAATTTTAAAGATGTGTAGTTAGTGCTGCATTGCTTCTAGAACAATTTTATACTTTTTAATATGGTAGGTTAGTGACCTTTAAGTTACCTTTAGTTGGTTCTGTGGACCAAGATCCTGGTGGTTTGGTCTTTGAGCAGGCCTCCTGGTTGGTGGTGTGGTCAACCAGGCTGAAATGATGCAGCTCTCGGCCTGATAAGTGAATAACAGCCTGGTTGATCTGGTATCTTTTGGATGTGTTTCAAAGGCTCTCTTGAACACCACAATAAGTCAGCTAGTTATGTCCCTTATGTTTAAAGGGCGAATGTTGAAAAGTCTTGGCCACTTGATGTTGATAGAATTCTCTTAGCATTCTTATTGTACTTCTGCATTTCAGTGGGGCTGTTTTCCACTTGCTTTCTGGTCTCGTGTGGTGTTATTTTCATGTGCAGATTTGGAGTCAGTCCCACTAATAAGTTCAGTGTAAATTATTATACATCTCTACCACCCCTCCACTCTAGGGAATACAGATGTAAACATTTTAAGGAGTCCCAACAATCGAAAGTGTTTGTCAGGTTCCAATAATATATTGCACATTAAATTTTTGCAGAGCCATCATAATAGCAGCTGCCCCAGGGGAGAAGCTTCCATTATTTCCTGAGCCCACTCACACATTTGCCCCGAGAGCATGCATGCTATCTGTTGTGGTTGATAACAAGAAGGTAAGCATCTTAGGCTGTGTGCAGCTCTTTGTTATTTACACCATGTTTGCTGTGATATATACACTGAATCTTTTGTTTCTTTGAGATAATTAAGATGTAGTTTATAATAGAATGCAAAACTGAAGTAAATTTTGTATAATACTAAGTGTACGTGATATGCAAACGATGAGTCACAATAACGTGGCTGAAGATACGATGACCAAACCACATACCAGAAGGTGATATATACAGTATCAAGTCGTCACATTCAGCTCGATAATGCTCCAGGACGGACCGAAACAACGACGTTTCTTCATCTTCTGGTGTGTGGTTTGGTCATCGTATGGGATATATTTCTTCAGCGCTCATTATCTTAACAAAAATTAAAATTATATATATTTGGGTAAATAAGGTGATGGTATGACTACCAACGTATGTCTACTGCATATGTTGCATCATATGATGCATAGGTGAAAATAAATCCCCTATTTTAGCATGGAAATAGACTGTACAGTCTGTGCATGGCATTTTGAATAATTATTATTTGTTATAATACAGTATTAGGTAATATATTTATTTTATATTCATGATAAATTATTAACCCAATGCAGCTACAACTATGTTACTGTACATAGCGTGGTAAGGTCAGTTTTGCCTGCCAGCTGCTGTGGTTTCACTGGTTGAAAGCCCTTGACACTGGTAAGCATAGATCTCCCAAATACATTCTCAGTTATCCAGCCAAATTTCCCATTATCTAGAGTACTGTCCAGATATGGCAAAGTTTTGGCTGAAAATTCTCCGGACTCAATTTTGCCCGAATAACTCAAATAGACAGTTGACTGGGCTTTGGATAACTGTGCTCATACATTACTGTGTACAGAAAACAAATGAATGTATGAGGAAGGACTAAAATGTTCCAGCCATCAAGGAATTTTCTAATGGCACATGTTTATTTCATTTTGAAGATAGTGGTTTTGTACCAGTTTTAGTGTATAAGCTACACGAGATATTCATATTAGCGTAACGTAATAGCTACAAATAGCATAGCTACAAATTAATTCATGATCAGAGGCTAGGAAGCATTAGTACGGACCATAATTTCTCGCTTGTGAATGTGGCTGGCGGTGTTTTGTGGCAACCCATCATCCATCTTTACCATCTGCTTATCATCCATGTACACGTTAGCACCCAACTAACACCCACCTCCACACACTTTTGCTCTCACCCACGCCTGTCCTCAGACCTGCTCCCACCCACACCTGGTGGGTGGGATGTATTGTAGTCGGCTCATTGAAGGTTTTTATATATACTGTACCATAAATTATTATTGATTATTTACTAAAAAAAAATGTCTTAACATGTTATTTGCTTTTAATAAATTAATTTTATATTTTTTGCAGTATGTCAGTAATTGTCAGTGGGTGGTGTCTGCCCCGCTACGCACAATAACAGTAAGAGATGCTTTGTCAGACTTGCCAGAGATTCGTAATGGAGACCGTAAAGAAGAAATTAACTATGGCTCTGAACCTGAATCTCATTTTCAACGTCTGGTTAGTTATATCTTATTTAGATTCTTCTGAAGTACTGTAATACTACAGATGTTAATTGTGCATGTTAATAAGTGAAAGTGATAGAGCACATTTATACGTACATAAAGTTTGTGGCGAAATTGCATGTAAAATGCAAGTCTTGTGTATGTAAAACATACTTTGTGTTCAATTGTGATGGGACTTGCAGTTTAGTGAAAATAAATTTTAACGCGTCTGTATTTCTTTAATTTAAAGATTCGGGGCAAACAGTATCAACCACTTCTTAGGGATCACATGTGTAAGGAAATGGCTCCATTGATTGAAGCACGTATGCGACACATCCCTACAGCACCTGGATCAGACTGGCGCGATTTACCTAATATAGTTATACGGCTCTCGGATGGAAAAGAAGCAAAGAAATTGTAAGTGATATGCAAATAGTATTTTATGTACAAAATGAGAAGTTAAGTATATTTATTGCATTAGCAGGTTAGGGCTAAGTTAGTATGAATAGTAGTAAATCTTTTATAGATCAGCCTAAGGTATAGAGTAGTACTGAGTAATGTTATTTTTTTAAGCTACATGTGATGTTTTATAGCATAGTGCATGTCCCTTTCTCACTCTTGTAAGTAATGTAGGAAAATATACGTCATAGTTTTCTGCGCTCACCACAGAGGAAAACAGCTTTTCAGTAGTAATTAGGACCTTAAGTTTAATGTACATAAATGCAGATAGTATCTTGGTACAGTACTCACATTCATTGAACATTGTACAGTATACAAATGGAATGCACATGAAGCTTACTCAATCCATAACTAAAACAAGTCTGACAGCATTAGAATGTTTTAGAAACAAAGACAGTAAATACACCTAGTGTATTTACATCTGGATGTTCACCATATTTTTATGCTTGCTCTTGAAAGAAGGCTACTTCCACTGCTAATGCCTAAAGCTAGTTTGCCACCCTCGTGCCTAAAAATATTTCTTGGCATCTGTCTCCTTTGTATTTTGAATTTGTGTGTGCCCCATTGCCTTGAAAAAGATTTTTATCACTGTTGGATGGTACTTGTCCATAGTTTATCTTTGAGCCTTATAACTGTTGAGCTTTACCTGGTGTGGTGTTGCATATGATTAGATAGGGTCCATGAATGCTGTTTATAGTGCAACATATTGAAAGTCCTTGCTAAAGTTCCAGAATGCCATCCTTATGTTTACCAATTTTGTATGTGCTGCTGAAGTTGTGTTTACATGTTTCTATGGGTTGAGGCTGGTATTATATACATGATCAGGTCATGCGTTTTATTGTTCTAATCAAGTAATATACACACACATTTTAAGTAAGTCATATACAATTCTTTCTTATCCATGATCAGGAAGGGGGGGAACATTTTAACAATATTAGAAGGAAAAAATTTTGTTTATATATTTTTTTGTGCATCTGGATGCTGTATGAGAGATGCACAGTCCAGGGGTTGAATTCTAGTAGTTACTTGTGCACCAATACCAGTGGTCTGTCTGTGTGGTACTCTTGTACTCTGCAAAATGTGATGATTTCTAATGATATCGTAATTTTTTGCTTTTAAATTGGTGAATTGTAGACTCTAAAGTACAGATTACTTAAATTAAGCAGCAAGAAATTATTAAAAATTAATATATACTAGACATTGTATAGTAGTGGTAAAGGACTACTATGGTAGAATGGTATGGTTACTTAAAAGTCAGGAACCATTATAAAATGTAAGTATAGTGAAGCAAGGTTGCTTTAGGCTGCTGCCTTCACATTTCAGGAAAGTGGAGAAAATTTTACTTTATTATAATGCATAAATAAATTTTTATGTAGTACCGTAATGCCAAATGAATTGTGTAATAATTTAACCTTCATAACCTAATACTGTGTTTATCTTTAACTTTCAGGCAGTACACTCATCCAGACAAGAAACAAGGTAGAGCTTCCAATGGTGCTCTTCGTGGTGTTTGCTCCTGTGCAACTGGCAAGGCTTGTGATCCTATGGATAAGCAATTCAACACACTCATTCCATGGTGTTTACCTCACACTGGAAATCGCCACAATCATTGGGCTGGTCTCTATGGTAGGCTAGAGTGGGATGGATTTTTCTCCACTACAGTAACTAACCCCGAGCCAATGGGGAAACAGGTAAATGCAGTTATAGGCATAAAAGCTATAGGAACTTACTGTACAGAGCACCCTTGATTTGCAGACGAGGAGTCACAATAACATAGCTGAATATGTTGACCAAAACCACAATCAGAATTGTCCAGGCTGGACTGAAATTTTCGTCGTCCCTTCACTTTCTAGTGTAGTTTGGTCAACACCCTCGATTTGGCATTGTCTGTGGGACCTGGTAAAATTCACTGCAACTAGTGATATCAGCATGTAGTAGGAAGAGGGTGTGGCCCCCCCCACCCCCACCCACATGCCATCCTTGTGTGGGGTGGGGTTTAAATGTGTTCAAAGGCTTTCCTGTGACATGGCCTTATTCTAAGTTCATATTTATTTAGTTAATAATTGAAAATCTACTTAAAGCATTATTGAGGGTGATAATGTTCATACTCTCCATTTTACTCAACAAAGTTTTGACTTTAATTCCCCATTTTTTTCCCTAAGCCCAATATCAACTTATATTTTCCACAATAGTTGTGACATTACTTTGTTGAAAGAAAATTCTTCCTAGTCAATATTACTAGGAAGAATTTGGCTGAGTTTTGAATTTAGTTAGGTAAATATTCCATTAATTAATTTTAAGGTACCCAAGGATGCACATGTTCTTATGCATGTATATTTGTAAATATTATATTACAAGCTGTATTTAATAATACAATTTAAAATGTGCACTCATACCAATATTATCTTTTAGGGACGTGTCTTGCATCCAGAACAAACACGTGTTGTAAGTGTGCGGGAGTGTGCAAGGTCCCAAGGCTTCCCAGATACATATCGTTTCCATGGAACAATCTTGGATAAGTATAGACAGGTATGGTATATGAGGAATGTTTCATTATTGCATTTCAAGTAATACTTAATGCTTTTTTAATTAATGATGAGAGCACATTAACACTTTCGCGCTCTCGGCGCTCAAAAAAAAACAATACCCCAGATGCTTTCGGCACTTCGCGCGCCTACGCGGTAAGACCGAAAAGTGTACACTTTTGACTGTCCTGACAATAATTGAAGGCGCACGTATTTAAATTTGGTATCACTGTGTTCGCAATGAAATTGTCTATAAGAGCATACCTATAAAATGCCGTCCAAGCATAAGGAGTATCAACACCAAATAAAAAAACTATGCAGATCACTCGCCGAGAGCGCCAAACAGCAACAAAATGTTTCCACTCTCTTAATGGTTGCGAAGCCTACAGTTGTCCTACATCGCTAATTTTGGTATCATTGGAATCGCAATAAAATTCTCTACACGGACATATGCATATGAATGTTTAATATAGGTAATTGCCCACCCGCAAGAGTGTGTGAAGTGGAGAGTAGTTAGCCGCGAGCGCACTGGCGAAAACACAGGGGGGAAATCATGCTTGGAAAGTTTATACATTTCCTGACCTGTGGGAACCGACCTGTGAGATTTATATTTACGTTAATTTATATACTTCGATAGCAATTTGTATAATAAGTGGACTGTATTTCTACTATAATCTCATAATCTCACAAATCGATCCTCTACACATTAGGGGGGGTTTATTAAATTAATATATATATGCAGCCAATCATACTACAGAATTAACTACATACATTGAAAAGGTTCCTTATCTTATTTGTACAGCAGGTATAACCAGGATGTAGACCACATTTTCCCTCTTTGAGGTAGCTTCCACGTGCTGGTAACTGAAGCACAAACATGCTTCCTCGTCTTGACCTGTCAAAAGTGCGCTAGCTGTGAAGCCAGAATCCTATATATGACAAGTATTTCAGAGAAAACTGTACATGGAACAATAAAGACCTGGCTTAATTACCTTTAGTTTGAGGCCTCCACGTGCTCTAACCGGGTCACCCTATATAATGACATTAATGGCCAAAAATGAAGATACATGGGTTTCGGAAAGAACACTTAACTTGAATTTGTTGACAGCGTGTTGAAAATGGTACACCTTTGGGTTCCATAACACTACGTCCAAGTAAAATTAACAGGAGCCGAATTTGCTCCCGTGTGAGCCTCTGGTCTCGTATAAACAATGGCAATGTCTAACACTCCTCACTGACGCTACTGGCCGACATTGTCCAGATATGATAGGAGCCAAATTTGCTCCACACGTCTCGGAGGTGACACAACAATGGCTGCCCTCCTTCCCCCCTGACGCCTGGCTTACATTGTCCAGATGACGGAAAGTGATAGAAGGGTCACATTTACTCTACTTTAATATTGATAATTAAGTTAATTTATATAAGATGTTTTTATGATGGTAAAGTCCAAAGACTAATGTATTTAAGAATAATTCCCACCATAATAGGTGGTGAATTATAATAGTGTGTGGTGATGATATCCCGTTTTCTTTAGACGGTAATTCCACTACAAGTTACGTTTTCTATGGGTAACTTGTTAGTAATACAGCTATTATCTGTATGATTATTAAATGGTGTCGGATTTTCCGACATGACCCTACTTTTCTATGTACGTATTTCTTTTTTATACCAATGTGTTCGCAATAAAATTTTCTATAAGATGAAGTGTATAACATTTGTACAAAGCATGTGTAAGAGAAGCGCCAAATATAGAACCACGTCGCTCAGTATGCGTTCGCGGCAGAAACGAACGCATTGTTTTCGTTCGTTTGATGTTTGTCATGTTTATACTTGTTGAAACATTTTATAATTTGTATGACAGTGATCGCAGTAAAATTCCCTACACAGACATATACATAACACGTACAAATATTTCCCACGTGTTGGATATATCAACGGCTAAAGGGAACCCACTGCCACACGCTCGCCACACCCCCAAACATACTTTGTGTATTTTTTTTTTACTCATAGAAGTTTGTGATATAATATTCATTCTGGTACCAAAACATTCGCAAATAAATTCCCTACAAAACAAAAGTATCCCCATCCATTTCGGTTAAAAAATGGAATTTATAGAAATATTTTTTCGATGGACGAGAAAACTCGGCTGTTATGCGGAATCGTAAGAGAAAACGGCGACGAGTTATCTCTAATCTAAAGCGCGAAAGTGTTAACTTTATACAAAAAAAAACTGTTTCTGTTTTTACATGTTACTGTTCTTACTAGAATTCTGCAGTTCTTACAGGGTATACTTGATTACAAGATGTTTTGTTTTGCAGATCGGAAATGCAGTGCCTCCACCTATGGCACGAGCAATAGGGCTGGAGATTCTGAAGTGCTTGCAATCAAAGGAAAAGAATGTGGTTATGAGGCTTGATGATGTAAAAGCACAAGTCGACTAGCATTGTTGTGCTAGTGCTATATTTCAATATACAGCTAGGTACCCATAGATGTATTTTTAACTATTTTTATGAAATATGCCAAAATTTAGCAGTTTTATAATTTTTATATGGAAATAAATTAGCTTTTTAAATATTTTATTTGTTTTAACATTGACTATTTTTAAATTGCCATTTTATGAAGCATATCAAGTTTGTAATAAAATGACATTGAATGTGCTACATTTGTATTTTATTAACCCTCAAATGAAGCATCTATTTTTATGAGACTTAAAATTTTTCTCCACCATTTGACTCCCTTGTGTACATCAAATGAAAACATGAAGCAGCTCTCCACTGTAGTGTGGGAATATTGGGAAAGTTGCAACTTGCTCTTTATAAGGTCTACAATTGTAATAAGATCTTTTTTGTAAGTGAGGTTTATGGCTTGGTCTGTCTTATTGCTGCTGAATCTAATCCAAAATTTTGCTCATCGTTATGCTCTGGGACCCTGCCTTCATTGCTCGTCCTATACCTCCACACTGAATCAGGGGTTTGGCCCCCAAAATTTGAGCATCTCGTGTGTCCTCAGCTTCAGAGGATTGTGCCCGTCATTCCCATCCACTTACTCCCCTATGCTATGAGGTCCTCTGATAGTATGTGCCAGTCGGATATCCAAGACTGCCAGCTGCCTTTTATAACCAAAGCTCGGGATGTTTCCAGCTTTACATGCCCATTCCTGAACCTGCCTTGGGTCCAGTTGTCTTAGCAGTCCCTCCATGAGACACTTTCTTCACACTCCCGCTCCGTTGTATTTCCTGTCCACAATTATGTGCGCCGCCTGCCCCAGGAGATTAGCATCATCAAGGCAGAACTTTATGCCATTTTGTATGCTGCCTTCTTTTTTTATACCTATTTCATCAGCTGCCTTCTCACTGTCGACATTCCTATCATAGTCAATGCTCACATTTCTCTCATGGCTCTAGTCATTTAATCCTATCCATCCTGTGGTATTTAAAATTTAACATTGGCTGTTTATCTCCAGCAGAATTAAGGTAAGAGGTTTGCTGGGTTACAACACCACACCAGTCAATCATATTGGTGTTGTCTTAAATGTGTGTGCAGACGCTGCTGTCAAGGAGACCATCCGCATTTGTCCTATTTCCTGCAAAGGTGCTTCTTATTCTGACTTCTACCCAGTCATTTATTTTTCAATCCATACCCATTGGCAGGGTTGTTGGTCTTCTGTTGCTGGTAACAAACTGTGTGCTCTTAGGAGGGTGGCCAGGGGGACAGGCTACCCTTAAGTGGTGGGAAATGGCTCTGGCAATGGTATGTCTTAAACTGACGGGCACTTAATAGAGCACTGCCTTGCTCCTTGTTGTCTGTGCTGCATTGACCCTCTTACGGTCGAACATCTTTGTCGATTGTCCCGACTTCCAGGATGTGCATGTGTCTTGCTTCCTGACTGTCCCTGAACAGAATCCTTGGTAAATTATATAACTGATATTGCTTGCCTTGTGCACTTTTGTTCTCGTATTGGCATCTTTGGTGATATCTAGCACCTTTTGAACATTAGGCAACTTTAATGGTGCTACATGGTCTCCCCGGCTTGGTGCCTTTTGATAATTACTTAATACTCGCTAATGTCCTTTTCTGAAATTACATGAATTTGTAAATATCTAGTGGCCTCAATAAGGACAGGAAGCCGGTGGCTTATCAAAGGTCCCTCCATTTGTCCTGATGATTTTATCTAGCTGGATTTTGGCATTTATGGCTTTGGCAGACAGCAGGTTCCAAGGGTAATGTCTTTTCACCCCTATGGGTGAAAAGGCATTTCCTGTTTTGTTGTACATTGTGGCTTGTTGAGCTTGATACCATTGCTCCTTGTTAGTGTTACTCCGCACATTTGATGGTGCTACATAGCCTTCCCGACTTGGTGGTGCTTTGATAATTAAATACTTGTTAGTGTTACATAAGACCTTTTGAAGAAGTGATATGGATCAGTATCCTCCAAATTGTTCAGTATGTAAAATGTTTAGTAAAATAATTTGCTTTAGCCTCAAGGTAAGGTAGCAAATGTTCAAAATGAAGCCAGGAGGATAATTCTTGGAACCCCCTAGATGCACTAGAATCAACATAATAATTTATTGTGTGAGGGGGACTGACAGCCAGTGTATACATATGTTGGGCTTGTATCGAGTTCCCCCTCGGGGTCTAATTACTGACCCTCATTAAAACCCAACATGCAAAATAGATACTAAGAGTATTGTAACGTCCATTTTAAAAAAATCATCAATACACAGAGCAAGAATTTGTATCATAATATCTCGTGTCATCCAGGATGATGACACGGACAAGGCTGCTAAAACTGCATATGATAAGCCAGAAATTGAGTCAGATCTAGGCATTCCAATCTCTGTTGTTAAAAAAACAGCAATATCCCAGGAAATTTGGGATAGCATGAAAGCAGCCACTTATATGATAATCAAAGGGTAGAAAGCACGAATATTATGAATTAAGTATGATGTATTAAGGTTAAGTATGACAACCGAGAACTATGTATGGGCAGCACGAAACATCTATTACGGGCTATTCATGCCCGTGCCACCTCTTGTGTGTGGCTTAATCTTTATCATAAGAACAAGGGTAACTGCAGAAGGCCTATTGGCCCATACGAGGCAGCTCCTATTTATAACCACCCAATCCCACTCATATACATGTCCAACCCACGCTTGAAACAATCGAGAGACCCCACCACCACGTTACGCGGTAATTGATTCCACAAATCAACAACCCTGTTTCCGAACCAGTATTTACCCAAATATTTCCTAAATCTAAACTTAAGAACAAAGGTAACATAAGAATTATCAATCAATTCTATTATTATCAATGATTGTAACTTATCAATCAATCAATCAACATCTACTAGACAGTGTGACATTGTAATTGCCAGAATTAAACTGGGATGTCGATATCTATGAGAGGTAATGAATCACCCATTTACGGGCTAATCATGCCCGTGCCACCTCTTGGGTGGCTTAATCTTTATCAATCAATCAATCAATCACCCATGTCCATTTGTAAACTATGTGAACAAGAGCCAGGACATACTCTCCAGCATTATATCTGTGATTGAAATAAGTTTATTGAGGTAAAATACACACAAAGGGATGAGGTAGCTCAAGCTATTCTCACCCCGTCTCACAGGATGGTTAGTCATACATGGAATCAGGGGAGAAAATACCAGATTGATTGATTGATGAAGATTAAGCCACCCAAAAGGTGGCACGGGCATGAATAGCCCGTAGGTGGTGGCCCTTTTGAGCCATTATAGTATCAAGAGCTGATACTGGATTTCTGTGGAGGTGCGACTGCACCCTGCGTGACGGGAGATGTCTCCCGTATGAAAAAAAAAATACCAGCCTCAATACAAAAACAGAGAGGATTACCTTCATTTATTGACATAAGGATCCCTCTGCATACTACCGAGATTAACTTTTATATTTAGAGAGCACTTTTTAATAAATTAGCACTTGAGAATATTGTTATAAATTATTACTCTCACGTTATTCTAACATATATATTTTCTACTTTATCACAGCGCCCACTGGCCGGGAATGATGACGTAATATCAACAAATGTGGAAGGTGTTCGGACGCTTCTGCAATTTCCGCAGTACTAATTATGTGTTTTCTATCGATAACCTCGGAAAACTACAGAGTGAAGAGATGAACAAAGTGGCTCTGTTCATAATCTTCCTCTGTGGAGTGATTTTTGCGTTTTTGGTGTCTGTTATGCGTAGTTACTGGGCGCATTATACTGACGGGACCCTCATCTCGTCTCTGGGGGCCATTCCAGCTGGAGCTGACCTGGAGCTGATGGACGACGGCTATGTGGCCATGGCCTTGCTGGGCGCTCACGATGGTGACCACTCTGTCTCCAAGAAGCAGACAACAGAACTGGAAGACAGACGTAAGTCGTTAATAGGGGGTATGGTCAAGTGGTACTCAGGCGTTTCGGCATATTTCATGTTGTTGTTGTGATTTGTACAAAGTTTAAATAGTTAGGTTAGACTGTGTTAGCTTAGGGTGGGTTTAGTTAGGTTAAGTTGCATTAGGTTGCATAGGTTTTAAAATTAGTTGGCAAATCATCTTTGGTACGATGTGAATTGTATCCATTGGTGGTTGCTAACCAAACCATACTAGCTTAGTGCTTTCCTTAGATAATTTTTTTGCATTCTGTGTTGATCAATAGCATTATACTTTTATACCAGGTATGAAGGAATTTGGGGTAGTTATGGACTGTACTACTACTTGTGACGCCTGTCATTTTGCTATACTGTATGGACTTTAGCTGGAGAGGTGTGGTTATACCTCTTTAATGTATAAAGTGCTGCAGTCAGTGTAACACTATGCAAGGTAAGATAACCCTCTATCAGGAGTCTTATGTTTTGTGAAGCTGATAATGAGGTTACCTTGAGGAATAATGAGGAATTAAGCCAGAACCTTATGTGTGTTCTATGCGAACAATAATCATATGATCAGTGCTCAACAATCCTACAAAGGTGGATTAAAATCTCATGAAGTTAAAATATGTTTATCCCAAGTCAGAGTAGCTGTGGATTTGACATTCCTCCAGCAATAGTTGGCCCAGCACTAAATTATTCGCTACAGTCCCATTAATATTGTGTGTGGGCATGAATTAAATTTATGGTATTTGCTATTTTATTATTCTTTAATATTTTAAATAGTTTCACTTAGTTTATACATTATATCTTTTGCTTATACATTCAATTAATTTTTACAGATGCAGAAATCGAAGCACTAAACACACTAAAAGCCGCCAAGGAGTTAGTTCATTCAGGTAAATGTGCAAGAGCGGGCAGACTGTTGGAACATGCGTTCACACTGGCACCACGCCACCCAGATGTTCTCATTCACTATGGGGAATATCTTGAACAACACCGTAATGATGTAGTTTTAGCTGACAGGATGTATTTGCAAGCTTTAGCTGTCTCTCCAGCTAATTCTCGTGCTCTAAGGTAAGGTTGCGTTTTTCCTTTTTTTTTTTAACCTTGTTTATTTTTATTTGTTATGCCCTTTTCCCGTTCACTGCATTGCGTATTGTTCATAAACCTTTTCATGCTTGTATGCTGAAACACACAAAACTTCAGTATTTGCTCATCTTGCACACAACCTACTGCTACCTCTTCATACTTATTATGAAATGATGGGTTGGGTAGATACTTCTATTAACTATTCTAATTAAATTGTATATCATATGTGTATAAGTTATATCCTTGGACATGGTGATCAGCACAGTTGGCTCTCGTCTGAAAGGTTCCAGGTTCAATTCTCGCACAGAATAAGACATTTGGGCACATTTCATTACACTTGATACCTCTGTTTGCCCTAATGGGCTTTCAGTCCCCAACAATGGACAACCATACATGATGCAGTGTAAATTATAAAATCATAGGAATATGTAAAAGTATGTGAGTGATTTGAGAACGGTGAGATTTTGAGGTTTATCTGCTCATATGAAAAAGGTAATTGTACCTCACAAGGAAAGAATGTAAGTCAGTACCTTGAGTGAGAGAATTAGTCGATGAGTACAAAAAAATGTATAATCTTGGAGCAAGAAACTATGAACAAATAAACTTTAGTTTCAAGTGGGATATATAAAAAAATGGGTTTTAATGCCTGGCAAATTTGTAAAGTTTCACTTTCTCATAGAAGAATGAAAACTACTTAGTGTGATGAGGAAGTGGCAAAAGCAATTGTTGATATGGAAAAGAAGTGGAAGTGTACGTTAAATACAAAAGTTAGATATCTGTCAAATTTGATGTATGCAGTTGATACAGTAATGATTAATTTTTTAAGTAATGATTAATTTTTTCATAAATTATTCACATCTGCCATTTTAATATTTTGTACTTGGACCCATTTTTCTGTGGCCAAAATTCATATTGTACATGAAAGTATTTCATAAAGATGGTAGGAGATAAATGAGGGTGAAGATTGCAGTACTGTATAAGGTTTGAAGCATAAGGGCATAAGAAGACAATAATGATAACTGAAAAATATGCACTATTACCTAATAACTTCTGCTAGATTCTGTACAAGCTCTTGCAATGTATATCAGGAAATAAGTACCATATAACGATTTAGCGAGTTATATGTATTAAAATTTTCTGGCAAAAATGTGTATATTATGAAGATATTTATGAAAATTATGATTTTCCATTGATGATATTATTCTGCTTTTACTAGAGAATACTTTTCAACAGAAATCGCAGACGAACTCGACCTCTTGTAGATGAAATGGACTCCGTGATGTTGAACCGCATTGACAGCAAGAGAGATGATCTTGCTCAAATCCCCAGTTCATCTGCTGCCCTCCGTCGCATTAAGAAGGAAGCATATTTCCAACATATTTACCATACTGCTGGAATTGAAGGAAATACAATGACTCTTGCTCAAACCCGTATGATTTTAGAGACAAGGCTAAGTGTTGGAGGTGAGTCAAGACAAACTAAAGGGTGAGAGATAAGGAGAGATTATTCTCTCTCTTGCTTTCTTTAAAACATATTAATTTAAATTCCTCAAAATTATAGGTAACCAATTATTGCAAACCATTTTTTAGCCAAGGTCCCCCAGAATTACATCACCTGCCAAGCTCTAATGAATTTTATCCCCATCATGACAAGGATCATAATGGGGATACTCGTCATGTAACTGTATGTGATAGTTACTCCTGCCACATACCGTGTGAAGAAAGAAGTAGTGAATCTAACGAAAGTCACCTCCAAATGCATTACCACATTTCAAACACTCCTGCAAGCAAAAAGTAGTACTATATACTAGGACTGCTAATTTGGCTGCAAACTACTACAGTATTAATGGATCAGAGCTACACTGATCACCTATGGGTGTCACTACTGGCATTACAACAGTCAGAGAAGCTGGCAACCCTCATTTTTAGTCCTGGTGTCCAACCCTGTCATCTTGCAAGCTCTGCAGTACCAGATTAACTAACTATAGATTTCAGCTGTATATACAGAAATAAGTGTAAAATCACTTTTACATTTAGTGTATTATTAATTTTCTTGACCAAAGTAAGTCATTTGCATAATGTATACATGGAAGGCAGCTTTATTAGGGAAGGTTTCTTTAAAATTTCAGCTTCTAGTGAATTAAGTGAAATATGATCATATTGTGCAACATATGCACCACTGGTTATCACTGAACAACTACTGTTCATGAAATCAAATAAGCACACAATATAAGTATTGTATTTCTGAACATTTTTTGTTAGAAAATGTATTATAAACTGTATATGTATTTAAGTCTTTTTTGATTGTGGGTGTATTAATTTTAATTTCCTTTGCTATCAGGAAAGAGTGTGATGGAGCACAATGAGATTTTAGGTTTAGATCTAGCCCTCAAGTTCATAAACACAACCTTAGTCCATAGAGTGGGTCGCATCTCTCTCTATGATATTCTGGAAATTCACAGAAGAGTCTTGGGGCATGCTGATCCCATTGAAGCAGGGCAGTTACGCACTACACAGGTATTGGTTGTCTTCAAGTTTTAATGACTTTTTACAATACAAGATTATTTTGACATGTTACGTGGTGGCAACCTATTACCTAATTACAGTACCTGTATGTGGTAATTACCGAAAAGTAGTTAATGGATGAGAGCTACACTTGTGGTGACCCGTCTTCCCAATGCTCTTTGTCATATGATGCTTTGAAACTACTGATGGTTTTGGCCATCATGGCATGTTCTTACTTAAAATATTTTCTCACTTGTATCTAGCGCAAATGTATTTATTTGCACCAGATATAAGTTTGAGTTGTTGACTGCTCAACTTAAAAAAATTGTGGATTACTGAGATTTCTGCTCATTGAAAACCCAAATATATTCAAGTTCAAGGTTTTTACTGTTCAACTTGAGTAAAAAATTGACATTCTGAGATTTCTGCTAAACGGGAAACCCGAATAAATTTGAGTTTGAGTTTTTGATTTCTCAACTTGAATAAAAATTCAGGTTACTGGGGTTTTCTGATAAACAAAAACTAACACACAGAAATCACAATAGCGTGATGCATCAAATGAACAAATCCACAAGGGCCGTGACAAGGGTTCGTACCTACGTCCGAGAGGATCCCAGATGCTGCCTTAATTGACTGAGCTACGACATGGTTAAACGAAAAGACATGGTTCTTTTAACAATGTCGTAGCTCAGTCGGTTAAGGCAGCGTCTGGGATCCTCTGAGACGTAGGTTCGAACCCTCGTCCCCGCTCTTGTGGATTTGTTCAACAAAAACCTAATTAAATTCATATTTGTAAATTGTTGTACTGTACTTTACAGGTAAAGATTTGGCTAATTCGAGTGGGGTGATCTCTATATAATTTGGTTTATCAAGCATACACAATAATGATGAAATACAGAAGAATTATGCCAGTAATATTTAGATTTACTATACAGTATGTCATTTTTAAAATAAATATTCTAAGTTTTATGAATATCCTACAGCTTTACATAGACAATATTAATCTTATTTTGGCAAAGTAATTGGTTGTTAATAATTGAAGTTTACATTACAATTTTCAGGTGTATGTAAGTGATCATGTTCCCCCACCACCAACACATCTTCAAGTGCTCATGGAAGATTTTGTGGACTGGCTTAACTCACCAGAAGCACAGAGACTTCATCCTATTAAGTATGCAGCTCTTGCACACTACAAGCTAGTCTTCATACATCCATTTTCTGATGGTAATGGAAGAACAGCAAGACTTCTGATGAACTTTCTATTAATGCAAGTTAGTAAAGAGAGAGCATTTTAATAGCTTAAGTTGATTATTTTCAGTTTATTATTTTTTCTGTATTATATTTAGTGAAATATTTGAAACTTTGTACCTTTTTTATAACCATGGCTCATAATGTTGATATGTTGGGGTTGTACAAATTTTTTTTAACTGTTTTACTTGCTATAACTGGATGAATGAGTGGAAATGGGCTCATTGTAGAGTTAATTTTTTAATTGATGCATATAATTATAGTGTTTAAACAGTGTGAAAAATGTGATTAAACATTTACTCAGGAGGCCAATATTTATGTTTTCCTCTTAAGCTGTATTGCAGTTCTTCTACCACTATATTTGGCAATCCAGTAGTATTGTTTATCTAAAAGGTACAGAATTGAAATATATTAATATTCTAGAGATTATGTAAAGTTTAATTATATTGTGATATGTTTTCTCTTGCAGGCTGGGTTCCCACCTGTGATAATCCGTAAACAAGATCGTCTTTTGTACTACGATTGTTTGCAAGCTGCAAATGATGGAGATACTCGACCCTTTAGACGATTTATTGCCCAGTGCACAGAGAAGACCCTCGATGTGTATTTGTGGGCCACCAAAGAAGTGTTACCAAAGATAGGACAGGACATGCATCCAACATTAAAAAGAGAGAAGCAATACTCAAAACATGAATACAGAGATGAGGATTTATCTCACACACAGCACAAAAGAAAACCAGTGACCTACAATGATATTAAGGATGACAGTGCACAAGATTCTGGGAATAAATTTGTCTTTACCGATGTAGAAGATATTCCACCTTGGCAGTCAGGCGAAGACAAATTTGAAAATGTGGCTACCCAAAACACTAGAAATAATATACCTTCAACCACTGAAGATGATATATTGAGTGAAGATGAAGATGTTAGTTCTGTACATGATTATGAGGCTGAACATGATGATTACAGAGACCATCTGTGGTTTTCTAGTGAAGAAAGAATTGAACATAAAGGAACAGGAAGATTTAGTAGAGTTGTTGATGAAGAGGATATATTGAATGCTGAAATATCAGAGCATATTAAGAGTGAAGATACATTGAACTTCAAGGAAGATCACACTTTATCCCGGAATGATTAAAAATAATCTTGATATATGATATTAGAAAGGCTAGTGGCATTACTTTATGTTTAGTCTTAATTATAAATTATGCCTATTTATTTTAGAGAACAGATTTAAAGTTAGAATATTTTATTTAGTTTTATTCTAATTTATTGAGAATTATTTTTATAATGTAAAATGCACATAAGGAAAACAAATAGTGAAGGTATTCAGCACTGGATTAAGTGTTTCTTGAATTTTTTTTTAATAGTGAATTGACTACCTTCGTAGCCGATCCTAATTTTCATTTCATACAAACTATAAATGTCTTGCACAAAATTTAATCTCTTCACTAATCCTACAGCCCTATAGACAATGTCCATTGATGATTTGTCCCCCCCCCCCCACCCGTAGCTGCATATTGACTCCATTGTTGGTCTGTGCTCCCCACAGCCATACATCGAGCATCCATTGATGGTTTTTGCCCTTCCTCGGCTGCATATTGACTGTCCATTGATGGTTTGTGTCCCCCCACAGCTGCATATTGACTGTCCATTGATGGTTTGTGCCCCCCACAGCTACATATTTAGTGTCCATTGATGGTTTGTAATCCCCAGTCATATATTAAATGACTCGGGCCGGGACAGACCGGCCCGGCCCAGCCCAGCCCAGCAAAGGAGGCTTGGTTCGGACAGGCCAGGGAGGCTCATTCTAGTCAAGTAAGGGCCGAGACAGACCAGCCCGGCCAGAGAGTCTTTTCCCGGTGGATTTGGGTAAAAAATGACCAATTGTCGTTTTCACTTCCTTACTTGCATATTTTAGGTATAAAAAGACGTAATTTAAAACTAAATGTGCAATTTAAACTAAATATGTGCATTCACCCTGAATTACACTAAAAAATAATGGTCACGTCATATATCCAATATTCGTTGTATTTTTCAAACTGCTCTTGGATTTGGATAATATGACAAATTGCCGTTTTCACTTACAGTATTTGCATATTTTTGGTATAAAAAGACACAATTTAAAACTCCAAGTATATGCAATCACTCTAAATTATTCTAAAAAAATAATGGTAAAGAGTCATTTTTCCAATAATCAAAGTATTTTTCAAACTGCAAGTGGATTTTGGTAAAATATGCCATTGCCTTTTTCACTTATTTGCTAATTTTTGGGAAAAAAGGACATTTTAGCACTCCAAATATGTGCAATCACCCTAAATTAGGCTAAAAAATAACGGTCAAGTCATAGCAGTCAAATAGATAGCGGTCAAGCAGATAAAACTCTCCAAGGATGGTTGCACACTTGCAACAGGCTTAGTAATAGCAACTGAATTTAATAGCTTTCTTTTCATCAGCTGGTGCTAACCTTGCCAGAAAAATCCCACAGAATCCAGACACGTGTTACTACATATCTTACAGGCAGCTATCCTAACTCTTCTCCTTTTACCACTCAGCTCGACATATGTTATGGCCATCATTCACTCCCTAAAAACCAAAGCTAGGAACACTAGTGAAATACCTTCTATGGTATGAAAAGAGTGCTGCTCATGCCCTTGCACTACCCATACCCATAGCATATCTTATTCAACAGATATCAAGAGTGTCATACTTTCCATGATATCTTTAAAAAGCACAAGTAATGCCAGTTTATAAAGGAGGCAATATGGCTTACGTAAACAATTACAGACCGATTTCAAATCTACCCATGTTATCAAAAATATTTGAAAAAATTATTTACAAACAGCTCTACTACCTACGGAAACACCTCGAGGTAACCTCAAGGTAGGTAACCTACCTTGTAAAATTCAACGCATGAAGTCACTGTCAGTTTGGCTTCCATTCCCAAAAGAGTACCAATGATGCCATTATTAGTCTGCTTGATATACATAATCTACACAGCCCTTGACTAAAATGAGTTCCCAGTTGGGCTTTTCATTGACCCGAGAAAGGCCTTCGAAAATGTAAACCATAGCTACCTCTTACTTAAACTTCACCACTATGGAATACGAGGCCTTGCCCTGAACTATATTCGATCATATCTTGGTGACAGACACCAATATGTAGCCATCAATAATACAACCTCTCGCACTCTACCATTAACCATAGGAGTGCCACAGGGCACCATCCTAGGACCTCTCCTATTTCTTATATACATCAGTGATTTGCCAAATGTCTCATTTATTTAGAAATAATATTGTAAATAACAAATAAATCCACTCATGGATGTCAATCAACAAACTCACTAAACATAGAAAAGATCTACTACATTTTATTTGGAAGCAAATCATAAAATGAAATTCAACTTCAGATATACAATGTTAACATCAGTAATAAAACTTTAGTGGCTCAGCCAGAGGCTTAGGGCCTATGCAGGCATATCCCTGCAAAAAAAAAAAAGTAATGAAAGTGATGGGAAATTCCTTGGCCTATACATAGACAAGAGACTCCACACACATACAACACGCACCTAAAAAGTCTAAAAAAATAAAAAATTGGTATACTCTCTAAAATTAGATATTATATTTCCCCACTCTGCTCTCCTCTCATTATACTACTCGCCAATCTATCCCAATCTTACACATAGTATCTGTGCATGGGGTTCAACTACTGCAAATTGCCTCAAGTCCTATAAAAATCTGCTATCAGATCAATAACAATAAACTTTTCAGACAACACAGCCCCTCTGTTTAAATTCCTGCTAAACATACACTCGCCCCACACATTCTCTTGTGCTATTTATATGCACAAAACCTTGTTCCTAAATGCAAATCTTCATCAGAAACTCTTCCTTGACAGATGTACAGTAATAGAACCCATAATCACCACACCAGAAATAAATATATCTTTGATATCCCCAGAGTCAGACTAGATCTGTGCAAACACTTATGAAAATAAAGGGATTTAGTCTATGGAACTCACTCTCCAAAGAATTAAAAAGCTATCCATCCTATATGCCTGATCCACAAGTAAAACCAAAAAAGTACCTAATTTCATCCTCATAGTTTCCTACCTTGTGCTACCCACCCTCCCCCCATATTTGTGCCTAAGACATGCAACTTCGGCATTGAAATCACTGCCATCAACTTATATCATAATTGTTATGTTGAAAGCAAATTTTGATACAGTGTACCTAGTAATTATTGGCAAACGCCTTTTAATTCCGACAAATGCAATCCCATGAATGTGGGGCATAACAAGCCACGCCATGTTCAAAATGACATCAGTTACCGCCCCTCTTCTGTGCCAGGTAAGTCCACTACGGGCTCACCATAGCCCGTGCTACTTGCAATTTTTGTTCCGAGTAGCTAAATCTAAAACTATCAATAAGTACCAAATTAATAGGATTACATTACAGCAGATTGATGAAGAAAAGGACCGTGGAATCAAAATCCACCACTCCTCAAAAGTTGAACAACAGGTGGGTGCAGCAGTCAGAAAAGCTAACCAAACTCTTGGGTGTCAAGAGTAATTAACAGATGGAATGCATTAGGCAGTGATGTGGTGAAAGCAGACTCCATACATGGTTTCAAATGTAGATATGATAGAGCCCAGTAGGCTCAGGAATCTGTACACCAGTTGAGAGGCGGGACCATAGAATCAGAGCTCAACCCCCGCAAGCACAACTAGATGAGTACAATGTAGGACTGAGAAGAAGAGATGCTTTTTCACCCACAGGATTATTAACCCATGGAACCGCCTACCCGCCGAAGCCGTAACTGCCAAAGTCATGTTGAATTTTAAAATATACCTGGAAAAGATCAGGGCAAATAGGGGGGAGGGGGACATCGACAAACCGCCGGCTTCCTGTCCTCGTCGAGGCCGCTAGGGTTAGTGGCCCTCGGGTAAATCAGGTAATAATCTTCAAACTTTACTACAATGTACCCATTAATATTCTTCAAATTTTGCTAGTAATTACTTGCTTATAATTATCTATTAGATTAAGAACCTGCCCGAAACGCTGTGTGTGTTAATGTCTTTGCAAGAATGCAAGAACACCAATATTATATACTCTCACAAACCCACTGTACCTTCTTGTATATAAATAAATAAATAATAAATAACCCCGTGCTAATGCTAAAATGCACAAGCCACCCATGAATATTGAGAGCAGTTTCATTTTCTATTATAACTTTTTTTGTAGTGTTGTGGCGTAGCGAGTTGTAAGCGTTGTGTGTCCTGACGTGAGTGTAGTAATCCTATTTACTTGCAGTTCTTCCTTGTGTGACCTCCACCACAAGGCCGGGAAGCAACCACACAGCCCTCAAAGTAAGGCTGTTGTCGTGTAGTGGTGAAGTATGGTTGTAACCATATAATGTAATGATGGAGAGGCTTGGTTAGTAGTGATAGTTATCCACCCCTTAGTCCTGAATTTGCCTTTTGTAAATTTATCGTCATTAACTTTGTCAGAATAAGGGGTAATTGTGCATTTTTTTGGTTCAATAAAAGCTTGGTGGGCCATTTTGTGCCCATTTTGTGACCATTTTTATTTAAGAGATTGTTTGGTGTAACAAAAATGAATAAATGGGGCTTGTCAATGGATTGTCATGGTTGAACGACAAAGTGAAAAGTAAATTTGGATACATGTCACATTATACACAAGAGTGTTTGCTAATGGGTTTTAAAACTGACAAATGACACCCAACATAACCTAACCTAACCTAACCTAACGTAGTCGAACGTAATACAGCCTTAGCTAATATATCCTAACCTAACGATATACACTACATGGTGTTGATACTAAAAAAAAAAAAGAGAGCTTTTGCCGAAATGCCTTTGTGTGTGTGTGACTATATCATACTCCTCTTTTACACTTATTGGCTATTTTTTTGTATTATTTTTGTTATTACAGTGTATTGTAGATTTCAAGATGAGATTTTTGTCATGTTATTTAAATTTTCTGAAGAACTTTTCTGTGCTTATTTTAATTTTTTTTTTTAGTCCTTATGTTAATTGGCAAAATGATAAGTTACAGCACTCCATTCCAATTTGCTTCTAACCTAAAGAATTATATCTGCCTTAACCAAACTATATCCGGTATTATTCAAACCAATCCTGAATATAGTTGTGTTATTACCTAACATGTGAGTTTAACTAAACATAATTTAACGTAGCCTAATGTTCAGAAAATCCAGAGTTGAAAATCATGGTACCAATAACTTTTACTTTGTAAAAGTTTATATTTTATATTTAATAATTTTGTATTCTCATACAAATTAAATGAGAGTAATAGTTTGATAGTTTATATTAATAACTAGGGCTTTTCAAATAATAATCTTCAAATTTTATTACAATGTACCCAAATATTAATATTCTTCAAATTTTGTTACACTTTACCTATATATAATTATCTGTAGGGAGGATTTACTGGGCACAAATCTTTTACTGTAGCCTCTGTTTACCCAACAGTAAAATGGGGACCTGGTTGTTAAACAATTTGGTGGGTCGTATTCCGGGGAATATTACGATTAAGGACTTGCCCGAAACGCTATGTGTGCTAGGGGCTGTGCAAGAATGTAAGACCTCTTGTATATATAAATAAATAAATAAAATATATATTGGGCAGGTAAGGGTAGCTAAGGTATTCTTAGTGCAAACACAATAAAGTTCTACTTCATAAATCATAACAAACTTCGTAATAAAGATTAGGCATGTAGGAACCCCAAATGTTTAGGTTGATAGATTAGTAGACACCTAGGAAGGCTAATACTAGTTATATTATGTGTTCAGAGATTGGTGCAGAACATGTTATATTGTCAATCTTTGGAGAAGAAAATTAATACTTGTCTGACATGATTGGAAGTCAACCTCCAGACATATCTTTTGTCTAATCCCCAACCACCCACATGAACATTGGTCTGCCATAGGCCTGATAGGCAAGGGTTATAAGACAAAGAACATGAAACATGTGTATAACAATAACTGGAGTTTATTGGTACAGGTTATGTATGATACTGAAGTCAGTGATAGTTGACTTAGAAATGAAATCACTGCTAGCCAGTGTGGTAGAAGAATGATTGTGATGACTGTGTTGACTGAGTAAGCCTTGCCGTTGATCTTGGCTTTGTTGGTAGAGGAGCTATTGTTAGTGAATAATTCTGCTTAATGCCGATCATACTGATAGCCATTAGGTTGCAGGAGAGGTTGTATTGTGTGGTAATCACTACACTCATAATCCATGGACATATAACATGCTACTAGTCATGTTATCTCTTTAAGTACAGCCAATTTATTCTCTATGTTCAGGCGCCCAGATAGGACAAACGTTTCACTATGCTCAACGTCCTATTTTTATATACTATACTGTACCTGTATTAACTTTTTCAGTGAACAAACATGGGAGAAACAGGAGTGCATCGTCTGTATTTGGCAAAATCATTACAGGAGCTAAATTGTCAAGTTCATGAAATTCCCAAAGCTGCACCCAAGATGTAAGTACCAATAACATATTTTAAAACTTCAATCAAGTTGTAAGTATCAAGTCTTCAATGTTTCACCAAATTGAGTACCAAATTTAGTACTATTGGCTTGGGCAAAGTACTATATTAGTATTTAATTTTTAAATTCCATTTTAAATTTTAACATTTTCCTGAATCAGTGTTTGTGCTGTGAATAATGATGAAATGCTCACACTTTGTTATTTGCTAAATATTTATTTATTTATTTATGCATATACAAGAATGTACATAAGGAATGTGAGGATACAAATATGGTAATTACAGTCTTGTAAAGCCACTCAGTGGCTTTACAATGTAAAGCATGAATACATTTCATTAGAAAAAAGTTACTAAAATACATCAGATATATATAACTGTTCGATTTCATTATAGAATGAGATATTTGGACACATTTCCTCCCACCAGATGCATCTGTTCACCTAGCAGTACATAGGTATTTTATGTTGCATCCTGGGGGGAATGTCAGGCATTGGGCTAGGAAAACCTCAATAAGTCTAACAGGCTTCCTGTCCCCAACAATATGAAAGCATTCCTTTACCAAACAGAATGAGTAATTTCTTTCTACAGCATAATGCAAAAAATGTAGAGATAGTGGCCTACTTGAAATCTCATAATAATGTAGCCGTTTCCTGGAAAGGAGGGAAATTATACTTTGCTAAAGCAGTGTCTTTTGATCCCTGTTACCATTTTGTCTAGTTGTGTGTTATATCTTCAGGTTGGTGAATACTGCCCAGAGAGTTCTGAAAGAAGCACAGGCTGTGGACAAAGTTAAAGATGAAGAAAAAGCTTATGTCCTCTACATGAGATACTTTTCAATTGTGTTGGTATGTACTGAACTGTGTTGGTATGTATTGTATCTCGGCTTATTAGGTCACACGTTTTCCTCACCCAGTTCTGTACCTACCCCTAATATCTGACTACTATTTTTTGACTACAGGTTATTGTTGCTACCTTGAAGTGCATCCATTCTTTTGTATCCTAACCTGCTAGGTATAAGGAAGAATAATGGAATTGATTTAGTAATACAGTTTTTAAGAAATTTGATACAGCTGCCAGAGACTAATGGCAACAATTAGCTTGCTGGGATAAGGCACCCCACAACAGTGATGTACAGTGTTGTACATTTTTAATAGAAGAACTGATATTTTCAAAGTACAGTATTTAACAAAAAGAGTGGGGTGAAAAATATGATATGAGTAGATAGATTATTGATAATGCATACAAGTAGATAAATTATAGACCCACACAGGCAACAGTGCATATATATTATGTATATGTGGAATGACATATTAATGTTTGTTGTTTCTTGAGACTTCTATATATTAGTAGGAAAGATGTAAAAATATATGTTCAGAAATTTAAATACAGGTAGTGGCTTAATATCTAATCTCATGATTGTTTTCAGACCATACAGAAGCATTCAGATTATAAGAAAAACAAAAAATACTACGATGGCCTTTTGGATCCCAAGATGACTGTCAAAGTAATTAATAGAGCAGAAGAATTACAGAAGAGCCTTGAGAACAGGTTTGACTGTCATGGTGTTGCTGTGTATTCTGAGTGATATATTTGGTTGACCCTAGTGCACTTCTGATTAGTTTTTAAGTAAATATAGTAATGATACAAGAAATTAATTTTTTGTTTTACTGACATTGTTTATCCAGTTTTCTTCCACCCATCCACATTCATATTGTGCACACAAAGTTTTTTGCTTGTTCATCACCCCATAGCCAACACCTCTGACATGTTGTAGATGTTACTCTGTATTTACTCTCCCTATTGTTCTCATCATCTGCTCCTCATGAGTGTATTAGTGAGATTGTTGCAGTATATTAATTATACACTATAATTGGTGTATTAATAATACACAAATTGTAGTGTATTTGTGAATATTGTTGTAGTGTATTTGTGAAGAAAGTTACTGTTTTATTATTGAATATTGTTGTAGTGCATTAGTGAAGTGTTATAGTATATCAGTGAAGCTTGCTGCAGTGTTTTAGTGAAGTGTTATAGTGTATTACTGAATATTGTTGTTGCATGTTAGTGAAGCTTAGTCCAATGTAGTAGTAAAGATGGTTGTAGAATACAGAAATTGGATGAGCAAACCACAGACAAGATGAGTAGTTGTGATGAATGAAGTGATGAAAAATAGTATACTGTCTTCCAAAAGACTGTTATTAAAAAGATGGCATATTATATCAAAGGGATGGAGTCTATGAGAATAACTGAGAGTGAAGGAAGGTGAGTTCTAACAAATCAGCTGATTTTGAGCCCTGAAGATTGTGGATGCACTAAAGAAGTGTGAAAGAAATGTTTCACTTAAGTGGCTGCTCATAAAGTGCAGATATACATAAATGGGAAAATTAATTAGATTGTGCTAATCAATTTAATTTCTCAAAGAAAGGAGCACAGCTGATAGATAAGTAATGAAGAATTCATCAAAGTTAATGACATGCATTTGTTGCAGGTATGGATTTATAAGTACTGCAATCAAATTAGAACAATTGGAAGAGGAGAAAAGAATAGCTGAGAGGCTTGAACAAGTAGAAAAAGAAAAAGAAGCCAAAAAAGTAGCAGAGACAGTCAAACCAACAAGCACAGCAGTAACAAATGGTATGTTGCTTTCACTTATTGAGTCTTGAGTATTAGCAGTTTCTGTCTTATTTGTAATGAAGACTATTGTTCCTTAATAATGGTACTGGTGTTCCAAATAAAATGGCAGTCTAAGAGCTGTTACCCCTACATTAAGTTGTCTTGAACTAGTATAAATGATTGCTTCACTTGAGTAGTGAATACAGATAAGTAAAACAATACAGATGAGAGGCAGGACTGTATAGAAGGGGGAAAATATATATAATTATCAGGAGGAAAGCATTATGCCGTTACAACTATATCAGAGGGGGAACAAGAGCAGATTGATTGGTAATAATGGGTTGGTTGCATGACGAGAGATTGAGAATCTCCAACAAGATACTGAATGTCATGTCTAAATATACATTGGTACATCAGCCTGTTCTCACTATTTGGCATGTCAGATTTGCAGTGGTTTTGCCTAACCAAAAGTATTTGAACCTAGTAAACCCACTAAATATATATTAGTGGGTTTCATGTTTATTAGTCCAAGAGTGTGTCAATATTAGGATGATTTTATTAGACCAAAATTTTGATGCTGTGGTCAAGTGTCCAAACTGCAGTGTATTAAGTGAGAATTCAGGCTGGACATGGTGTAAATACTCAGTTCAAGTTAGTAATATACATGTGAAACAATTCAATCTTATGATTTTATATGAATATGAAAATATTTTCTCTTGAGGGGAGTTCCATTGTCTGTATTTTAAAAGTTCACATAATGAAAATAGTATTTCCATTAAATTCAGATTTTTTCTCACATAACTTGTGTAATTTTTGTAATTAGTTTATTGGTGTTGCTGTAGTATTGAAGTGTTTAAAAGACACCAGTAGGGCTGTTTATTAATTAAAAAAAAGTCTTCATCCCCCACAACATCTGGGCCATGAAATAAATAGTACTGAGTCAGAAAAAGCAGCTGAATTTACTGAGAAAAGGGTCAGAAAAGTAGGACTTCTGAGAGAGAAAGGGTGCAGCTCTGGGCCAAAAAATTATCAGCTTGCGACAGAAAAGTAGCAGCTCTGGGTAGGAAAAGGAACAGATCTGGGCTAAAAAAAAAAAAGAAAAAGTAGTATGTCTTTGTCAGAGAAGGAAGAGCTCTTGTTTGGGTAGCAAAAGTCTAGTCAGTTTTAATATAAACTCTTAAAAGAATTAATTTGTTTGACAATAGTGAAGAATTTGATGAACCTTTGCTCACAAATGTGGACCAATTAGTTCACATTTTTTGCAATGCAGTATTCATTTTCAAGTATTATTATTTATACTTTTAGACATTATAGCTCGATTCAGTGGATTTAATATTTTCCTTTATGTGATTTAAATATTTTTCCTGACACTATGGTTTAGATAATATATATAATATGGTATATGCATGGTTATTATCAATGGTTTTTACTTAACATTCTTATATTTCTAGGTTTGGCAGAAGAGGATGGATTTATATTCTGCAAGAAACTCTACTCTCTAATGAAAGAAAAGTGTTCAACGTACCTGATTTTGGATACCAGACCTTCAGAAGACTTTTCCGAGTCACAGATGGCTTTACCAAATGTAATTAATATATCGGAAGATATATTAAATCCAGGGTTAGTTAAAATATTTATAAAGTTAGATCATATTAGAAAAGAGCCATAATTGTACCTTTATACTAAAATAATTGTGAACATAGTAAGTGTAAGAGTTATAATAGCATTAGTATGCTAAATGTTGTGGTTAGTGTGTATGGCACAATAGTTATTTGAAGACTACAGAAAATAACTTGAGAAATTTGTTAGTGATGGACGTGTTCCATAGTGGAAGAGGTTACATGGGTCACATATATGCACTGACACAGCTAGTATTGAAAGTACTGTGAGAAAGGTGGGTTACCTTTGTGACTATCTAGGTTCTGTCGCAGTGGCGTGGTTCCTTCTTTTTTCGATTGTCCGCAGTCTCTTTGCCTCTCGCAAATCTGCGATCTTCCCTCATCCCATGTGGTTTTTCTTTGTCGCTTCTAGGCTGGCTCTGTAAACTGTTTCTGGGGCTCTTCTTTGGGCCCGAGGGGTTGGGCCTTTTGCTAGGTCCTGTGTGCCAGGACCTGCTTGGCAATGCTTAAAATGTTTACAATCAATTTGCATTTTCTCAGTTATTTGTTAGGTTATAACTATAAATTTGGTATAATGATTGCAAATTAATTCACTAGAAAATGGACACAAAAACAAAAGTGTGTTTGTAATAATGTAGATTATGCACAACGACTACAAATATACGAATGTTTGTGAACAGCAGATGGATGACGTGTTTTAGCATCATTGGAACACTTACTGTCATAATAAGGACGACACATAATAGCAGGCATATCATATTGAGGGTCCCCCCTAGGGCCATATGAGTCACATTTGTGTTGTCATGAGGGCCACAGACAGCAATTAATTGAAGTCATATAATAAAAATTATTTCAGAAAATTTGTATTAACAAGATAAATAAATGACCAAATGACAGTATCCTTTGTGCGGGCTGAAGGTATGCTTGCAAAGGGCCGCATGCTTGACATGTTAGCGTTATAGCATCACCGGAATGTGAAAATGTTAGATTATTCCTGGTGTCTCACACATTATGATGTTCCTGCTTCTCGTAATCTTTTCAAAGTTACTTCTCTCCATAAATTACCAGTCATGACCTTCCTATGTATGTAAGGAAGAGGTGGTGGTTCATCAACAAAATCTATTTGACTTTCTTTACATAACAGTTTTCACAAATCAGCTTGGTTCATATTCCATTTTGTAGCTCTCTGCCTTGGTTACAATTGACCTATACTGTATATACTGTATATATATTTTTTTTTAACAAACATATAATTTGCCAGTCTTTGTAATTAATTTAATCAAATTGTTCATCCTTAATTTAAAAAGTGGAGTTGTATTATATCCAGGCATAAATTTAAATTTAAAATTTTACCACTTTAAATGTATATTAGATTATTTGTAAAAATAGCAAGATAAAAAGTAAGATACTAATTACAGTGCAATCATCTTTTGATCAATATTCAAGTTATGCTTAGATTTAGGAAGTACCTGTGATTATTGTGGAATAAATATTTTGTATATTTTTAAAGTTTTCATTTGATTTTTGTAGAAAGGCTTGGGTGAAGAATTCTTGATTGATTGCTCTTCACAAATTTCTTGCTTACTTATACTAGGAATTCCACACCATGATCCCATTTGTATTTAGTATTTTCATAATATTTTAACTACCTTAAATGCTCCTGTAATTTTTGAACTTCATGGTTTTTTTATTTCTTCTAGGTTAATAGCTGGAAGGATTGGTAGTGAACTTGACGAGTCATCGTGTAGTCTTTGGGTGAAACATCGTCACACAGTTGATTATTTGATCTTGGTGGACTGGAACACCGAACATTTACCTCTAACAACCCCTCTGAAGACCCTTGTAGATGCTATGGTGAAGGTAAAGTTTTGCCCCATTTGTGTAGTGTGTGTGTTAAGTCTTGGGCCTTTGATATTGATCGCATTCTCTCTTGGATTGCCTATTGCACCTCTGCTTTTCAGCGGAGTATTTTGCATATCATGCCATGCCTTCTGGTCTCATGTGGTGTTATTTCTGTGGGCAGATTTGGAACCTGTCCTTTTGGTATTTTCCAAGTGTAAATTATTATGGTTGACTCCTGCCTGCACTTTAGGGAATACAGATTTAAATCTTTTAATAAGTTTTATTGAACCTAGTAGTAAAAGCTCTTTACACTCTCCAGATCAACTATTTCACCAGCTTTGAATGGGGCCGTTAGTGTGTTAGTGTACAACAATATTCCACTCTAGAAAGCATCAGCGTCTTAAAAAGTATCATCTTGGTATGACATCTTTTCTTTGAAAGGTTCTTGTTATCCAACTTGTCATTATTCTTGCGGTGTGACAGCTACTGTGTTGTGTTTTTTAAAAGTAAGGACTTACAACATGATTACTCTTAAATCCTTTCCATTGGTTTTCATTTCAATATTGTGGTTTGACTGCATTTTATGTGTGGTCTCCATTTTTATAATTTAGTTTTTCATAGCTCAGTAACTGGAACTTTCCCTCATTAAAAATCATATTATTTTCTGTTGCCCATTGAAAGACTTGACTAACATCTAATTGGAAGTTTGCTGTGTCATCTATATTATCTACTCTCATGAAAATTCTAGTGTCATCTTTAAAGGATGACACTGTACTGTTTGTATCCTTGTCTATGTCTGATATGAGGATGAGAAAAAGTATTGGAGCAAACACAGTACCTTGGGAACTGAGCTTTTTACAGTGGATGATCCAGATATTACTTTCTTGACAATTACACTCTGGGCTCTATTTGTTAGGAAGATAAAAATCCATCTCTCTACTTTGCCAGTAATTCCTTTTGTGCACATTTTGGGTGCAATAGCACCATGGTTATATTCATCAAAAGTTTTTGTGAAATCTGTGTATATTGCATCAGCATTTTGCTTGTTTTCCATGGCATCTAAGGTAAAGTGGTCTAGCAATTGTAAGAGGCAGGAGTACCCTGTTCTCGGCCCATGTTGCCCAGGTAGCTAGGTGCCCGGTATTCAAAGTAACAGATTAAGGCGAAATATTTAAATTATTTGTTTAATGCTGCTGACTGTTATTATCTTGTGCAATATAAATACTGTAGTTGATGATTTTTGAATGTCATGAGTATTCTTGCTTCCTGAATTTTTCTAAATATAAGCTTGTCTACTAGTGGGATCCAGGTAAGCCGTACAAAAGCCGTCCGTGGGTGCTACTTGGAGGGTACGAAATGTGGCAATTGATGTATCCCATGCATACTACTAATCCTAGAGCAAAGCCACGCAACCCATCAGTAATGAGACACCAAGAGCCAGTATCACGTGAGTTAAAGTTTGAATGCTTATGTTTTGTTTTGTCCACCTACATTTGTATGTTCTTTAAAATTCTGCTTCCGTTGCGAATTACGACAAAGATGCTCATCATTAGTCATTATCATTCGTTAAATGCCCCATTTTTTAAAACAATTGTCACATAACCAAACAATGGAAATATGAGTAAGTCTTCATACAATACACTTCTATCTTTATGTATAGCTTGTTTAGTAGGGGTAAGGCTTAAACATCCATATCAATAGGCTTTATTATACTAGTGGGCCAGCCAGAGGCTTAGGGCCTGTGCAGAAATAGCCCTGCAAAAAAAAAAAAAAATAGATTTTATAAATTAGAGCCCTACATCAGTCTATCTAATTTATTATATCAATTGAATAACCCAGGAAACCTAAAATGTTCTGGCCTGTCCATCATAAATCATTACCTGTCACCTGCTCCAAGTGGCAAATGTGGGCATTTGGTCCTCGGATCACTAGACATGTTCACATCTGTTCCTCTGTCTCTTAAGGATGTGACTTTTTATGGATTTATCATACTCGGACAAATTATTATTTTAGTTTTCTCGTACTGTTTATTTATAATGAGGAAAAGGCGCACAAGACATTGGAAAACTCTCCAGCAATGCTTCCTACAAGGATCCCAGTGAAGAGCTAAATAAATGGGGCCCCTCTTTCTCCTTCATTGCATATTTAGCTTATTTGTCAATCTGTTCCTTCAGTTCAGCTATAGCCAGTGTTACACAATTCTCACTGACTTCCCATGGCTCCTTGTATTCTATTCTCTTTATGCCCATTTTACTTTGGGTGAATACTCTCCTTACTCTCATTGGCATCACTAGATGCTGTTTCCAATATATATCTCTTCACTCCATCTCATTGGCTTTACTTCTTGGCTTTTGGCATTGGCCATCTAAGTGTTGTTTTAATAATTATGGTTCTATATGTTGTGTCCATTTAAGAGCAATATGTCATAAAAATGTTAATATTATCTTAAAATATAAATAAACTTTATTGCATTGTGAAAGTAAATTAAGATATTTTTGCTTTATAATACAGTATTCATATACAGTAGTTCTTAAATGGCATGTTAAGTATCTAATTCTATTGTCTGTATTTCTGAACAGTGAATTTTGAATACCCTGACTTGGATAAAGCCTTCCTGATTACTCCGTCTCCAAGTCCAGGGGCCAAAACAGCTGCTTTACCAACAGTAAAACCACCTCTCAAGCCAATAGTAACTGAGGAACTTATGGATAGCAAGAATAATAACAAGAATATCAACAACAACTTAGATATTTCTAAAGTTTATAATAATGAAACTGAAGTAGAAGGAAGTCCAATTAAGGTTCTGCTTGATTCAAAAATTAATACTTGGAATATTAAAGACTCAAATAGAGATCTTGATTACCAGAAAACCAGAAAAATCAGCAATTTTGCAGACAAAGTAGATAACACACCATCTATACCAAGTAGAGCACTGAAGCCTAGAGAACTGCTTGCAAATCTTGCTGCAAAGAAATTGGAGCTGGATGAAGAACAGGAACTGTTGGAGCAGTCAATGAAAGTCGAGGAGGTAATATTCTTGTATCTGCTCTTAGTAGATTTGTTGTTGCTCTATAGTATACAATATTGGTCCTAGTAGTACAATTGGGTTCATTCTTGACTCAGTGGGGAATCCCAGGCTCAAATCCAGAATGGTACAGAAATGGGTGGGTGGAAATGGTTCACCTAGCAGTAAATAGGTACCTGGGAGTTAGTTAACTCTTGTGGAATTGTATTTTAGGGAGGGTCAATAGTTCAACCTTGGGGGGGGGGACCTTGAGACACATGCAGGCTGTCTGTCCCCTGATAAAATAATTTAATAAATATTACTTGGGATTAGTTATTAATTTTGTAAGCATAAAAAAATACAGTGAATAATAGTTGGGCTTATAAATCTTGAGGTAATAATAACATTTAATAGAAACTTGTCATTGTTTTCTCTTATAGCATTTAGCTTATTTTTTTTAATCAACATATAATCTTGCTCTCTTTCTGCCAGATAAGGTAGCTGTAATTGGCTAATCACAATAAAGGCTAATTTTTTCAAATCTGTAACCTTTCACTAATTAGGTTTATTGATTTTCACTGAGTGCAGAAAGAGTATTTACAGTACAATATATAAAGTGAGACAAAGATCTTTTTCTTTTTCAGGACACTATTAAAAAGATAGAGGAAATGGAAGCAACAACAACACAGCGAGAAACGGCTCGCGATGAACAAAGTCGAGCTCAATTACAGCAGACAGAAAAGAGGTTACAGGAAGAGATAGACAAGCTACAAGCAAAAAGTTCAGACATGGTAAGAAATTTTCATTTTATATGCAGTATAATAAAGTACTAAATCCTAAATCTCATATTTATGTAAAGTTGATGTGAGCTGGCTTCATCTACCTATGGAAGAAGTTTCAAAGCATACCTTTTGATAGGATTTTTGAATCACATAATGTAGTTACTTGCCTTAAATTATCAGAATTCAAACTTTGCCTTAAATATTGTGTATCTATATACAGTAAATATATTTTAAGTGATTTTTGACAATGTAATCTTTTTGAGAAGTATTGAAACATTTGAAATTATATTTAAATGCAAATGTTAGTTTGCTGCTTCTATGGGTTAGGTAGTTGGATAATGTTCTGAAGAATCTTAACTGGATTAGAATGATTGAACCAGCAGTGAATTTATGAGCACAGCTCATTCTAGTAGGTTAAAGTGTTAATTTCTTCTATAGAAACTAATACTTTAGTCTCGGTTGCAAACTATATCCTAAGATGTTTTGCAACAGATATTCTGTTTATATTTGGAATGTGTGTATGTAGGAACCATACTGCTGTATACACAGTGGTATTAGATTTTTATAACTGTAAACCAAAGTTTCAAGTTTTTCATAATTGTATTATGAAAAACTGCATCCTTTCCTGACAGTTATCTGCTAGTTTGTCTATTTCTTCTTCCACTCACCAACCACCACCACTACCACCACTACCACTGGCATTTACAAATCTAAACAAGAATGCTTTTAAGACCATGTATTTAGTCCACTGTAATCTCCTTATTATATTTCTGTATTGCAATATTATGTAATTGTTACAGCCTCAGGACTGGTCATATCCTCTGAAATATGCTAGCATAGGGTTACCACTTTTCATCAACTACTATCAACCCATCAATTTTTTCATAATCTATTTTATGAATTTTCTACTTTTATTTGTTAATTGCAGTCTTTTTTAATGTTATTCTTTATTTCTAACAGGAAGAGCAATACAACAAAATTCACAAGCAAAATGAGGAACTGTGGAGGATGGTTAATCTTGCATTGTCGGGTCGTTTGAGCAATCTGAACCTGGAACCCACGGCACAGTTGGATCATGATGCTGAAGCTCAACTTCAGAAAGAAGTGAGATATTTCAGTGTTTCCTGTAAGATCTGTCTGATAAAGTGTTCACTTAGAATACTGAAAAGTTTTTTTTTTAGTTTGTGTAATTATCTTTCAAAATGTAAGTAGAGATCTGATTTATTGTTAATTTATTAATTAATATGTAACCTTTGTTTTGTTAATTCCCTCTCTCACTTCATTATAATTCTTGCACCTGCCTTTGTTTTGTGGTAACATTGAAATTGGCACTTAATCAATTTTCAATCACACTTCGCATGTATGGCTATTTATTTACATATTTAAGTTTACAGTATATTACGAGTAAGTGTTTAAGCTCGGAAAGAGCTTTTTTTTATGTTTTCTTCTTGTTCAATAGTCATTCACTATTTTAAATTCTATAATTTAAATCCTAACAGGGAGCCACCAGGGTTCGCCCAGAAATTTGCGTTTCATAACATTCAATGAGGGTTTTCTGGTGGGGGAACTATGTGGCTCCCTAAAGTTAACTACCCACAAAGGAGGAAACACAGGGACTTACTGAGGAGGAGACAGAATGACAGGCACTCAAGACAAGGACAAGAATCGAGGTCGAAAGGCCCTCACAAGGAAGCTGAGACCCAGGAACATTGACTAAATACCAGCCCACCAGAACCCTGTTAGATAACCAAAACCCCACACCCAAATATCATCCCAAGACATACAGTATAAGCAAACACAGCTGCAAGTGCTGCGTACTTCGGAACATCATGGGCACAAGGATAGACCCCAGGTTGGCTTGACTTAATAACACTGCTGGTGAACTTAAAAAAACATGACTCTTGGAACGACACTGGATCCACTCACAAAGCATCAATGGCAGCTTGTTACAATGAAAAAAGTAAATAAATATAGTAAGAAACAATGAAAATAAATAGTCAATGTTATTACTGTGCAGCACCTTGCCTCATTTCTACCAAAAAAAAATGCAAGTTCTCCAGGCCACTACAGCTAAACCACAAGAGATAGACTTCTTACTTGGCACACCAAATGCCAGGCTCACACTATACAACAGTGTTACTAGAAATGCCACAAAGGCAAAGTCCTAAAACCACTTAGCTGAAAAGCAGAGGGGCATGTGTGGCAGAGCAATTTATCCTCCTCCAAAGAACGTCGCATTTCGATGGTATGCGTTACATAACAGCAAAAATTATCTTGCTAGAAAATGTAAGTGGCTCGCAAAAGTGACATACTGTCCCATTTTCTGTTTTGGAGTCCTCTGGTAGGTTAGGAGAGGACATTTTTAAATTGATCGTTTTTTTGACATTGGGAAAGACGGAGGACGGGCTGGGCAGAGAGGTGACCTGGGAACTATTCTGTGGTTGTAGTCACAACTGCATCAGTGTAAGAACTGGGGACTCAAGCCCTGGAGGGGCTTGCCCCCCCCCCCCCATCCCCCCCAAAAAGTGTAAGGAAGGTGGGATGAACGTGCTTTGATTTCTTGAATCCAGCAGTTGCTTGCTTTGGTTCACGGACTTCCTGGATCCTGAAAAGGCATTATTTCTTTTGAAGAGACAGAAAACAGTATATGTGGATTAAAAGATAACATAATAAATATAGCTTTATTAATCATCACATTAAAAATAAGATTGTAAATAGGTAATTAAATCATTTAATATGTGATCCATGTATATGGTAAGTTTGTATATCTTAAATTCAGGTTTAATCTTCTTTGCTTATGTTCTCATCTTTTTTAGGATCAAGATCGTCTACAGAAGCAAGAAGACAAGAGAAAGGCTCTACAGGAGCAAGTAGAACGTATGCGTAAAGAAAGGAAAGAAAAAGAAAAGAGACTGAAAGAGCAGGCAGAAAAGGAGAAGCTGTTAAGTGAGCAGAAGGCCCAAGAGGCTGAAATAGAGAGGTGACAAGATAAATTGTCTTACTTTACTTCCTATTTTGACTAGGAAAACTAGTTTATATAAACTATACTGGATGTGAAAATATGCTAAAAAATTATTATTTTTTTAATATGAGTAAAAAGGTCAAATGTATTTTTTTATACAGTACAGTGTTGTGAGAAAGTTTAAAATAGATTAAATTTAGTATTTTCTTGGTTTATCTACATTTCGAGAAATACTGGAATTCTATATAACAGCTTGAATTAGAATACACACTACAGTTCTTTATATTCTTCAATGATATTCATAACCACACTACCTGAGAGAAAATAACATAATTTGGTTAAGAAATAATATATATGATCGTGAATTACAGCAAGGGTTTCGTTATAGGCAAAAACTTGAGGAAAGGAGATCACGAGTGGATGGGGAATCTCGCTCTCTGAAGACAAAGGGTGAGTGCAGTACTAATTGTCACTGTTTTTATCTATGAATTTTCTACTTGACTTTCCAGATCCATTGACTATCATATTTGCTTTTTCTGGGAGGAGCCCCTTGTGGCTCCTTGAAGCTTCTATACTGATAATGTCAAACTACTTGGGGCCATCAGTCGCAGCGTTCTTTTAGGCCTACCGGGGACTAATAGCCAGAACCTGGCTTCCTCTAGAGGTGCAGGAAACAGTAGCATTTTTTATATAATTTCTATGAATTTATTCATACCTGGCACACACCGGGGAAGGCACCCAGAAAAACAGGAAACCAAAACTGACCACTGTTAGTTAGAAATAAAACTGCAACCTCCAATCCATCAAAAGAACTCCCTAACAATGTAAACAAACAATAAAAAATTTATGAAACTAGCACAAATTGGGTGCTCCCCCCCCCCCCCTCCCCTAGTGTGGGTGGGGGGGAGGGAGGGAGAGAGGCACCCCAGGTCATCCAGCTGCTCCACCCTCAGTTCTTTGTAATTAAATTTATTAATTAAATTTAAATCCCTGACACACTCCCTCCCTTAAGGAGTCAAAAGTGTTTCCATCATCATATAACTGAGGCTGGAGCAGCCAGCTGTCCTGGGTTGCCCCTCTCCTTCCCCCAAACATGGGGGGGGGAGGGGGGAAAATGAGTTTGTGCTAGTTTCCTGAATTTTCGATCATTTGTTTATATTGTTGGTAGAATTTTTCTTGACAGTTTAGAGGCTGCAGTTTAATTTCTAACCAGCAGTGGTCTGTTTTGGTTCCCTACTTTTTTGGGTGCTTTCCAGGTGGGTGACAGACATGAATAAATTTATAGAAATATTATCAAGTGCCACTGGTCCCTGCTTCTCTCTAGAGGATGCCAGGTTCTGGCTCATGGTCCCAGGTAGGCCTAAAAGAATCCTGTGTCTGATAGCACTGTACCAGCATAGTAGCATCAGGGAGCCACTGGGGCTCACCCAGAAAGTAGTGCTCCATTACATTCAACGCTGGTTTTTTATTAGAGAAATTGGAAAACTTCCACTTAGCAAGAAATTATTCTATAACTAAATAATAAGTGAATCAAGTCTTAGATATTTCTTCAACATCTCTTAACTTTCAACTTTATTAGTAAAGTTGATGTCGTTGAAATTTCTATCCGTCTTATTTACTTTTCAGTTTTGTTAATTATTTACAAATTAATATTTCTGGTGAAGGCAATGAAAGATGTAAACATGGCAGGTGAAGGCAATGAGAGGTGTAAGTGTCAGTTGAAGACAAAGATTACAATATGTAATGGAGAGAAATGAAATACAGAACATTTTTGGATGCAGCTTTGATGCACACTTTACATTAGATATGATGACACAGAGATGGTGAAAACAGTGATGCTTAATACCTCGGCATAATACCATTGGTTAAAGTACAATAAGTTGAGATTCTTCAGGTACTGGTGGCGAGACTTACACTACCAAACTACGAGGCTCTCCTCGTTCCTCACCAGTTAGGGCTGGGTCAAATCTCAAGCGGTCACATTCTGCATTCAACCTGTCTCAGGTAAGACTCTTAAGCGTATTTATCTGCCTATAATAAGTGCTTTATATATCCTTTACTAGTATGATAGCATTTTCAGAGCCTTATAGAAGCATTTCTATTCTTGCACAACACCATTTCATCCTCCATTGTACCCTCCTTTTTTAGCCACATACTGTATCACTGCATTCATCCAGCTTGTTCTTAGCCAGTCTGCCCTTCCACTACCTGTGTATAGTATTCCTCAAAAGCAGTCATTTGTTTTCTGATCGTGTTCAAACTGTTTAGGTGTTCTAAACTTACTTTTTCAGTATTTTCTTGCTTTATTAGCCATATTATTCTTACATCATTATTCCTCACTGTCCATTTACATTCTACATGTGGTGGACAGTGAGGTGGACACTACATCCACCTCTTGCACTGTGGTGGATGAGCCAAACCTTAGGAAAGTACACCAGGGGGCATGGGGGCATGAATAAGCCTTGGCTGGACTGCACTTAACTCTGGTAGCTACTTAATCCCACCACCAAAAAAAAAAAAGGCTGGTTTCACCCCATTGGGCAAAAATATCCAAGAGTAACATTAATTCATTGTTGAATTAACATTACTTTAAGATATTGTGACCACTGGGGCTACATTTAGCACCTAATTTTAAATAGGTTTAGTATTTTCTCACTCTACTGCTTTTCAGTCTTCTATACATGCTGATGCCTTCCTTCCCCATGAAACTAGTAAATAAGATAATGATGATTGTTTAGTTTAATGAAATACCTCTGGTATGTAAATATTGAATAAATGGGTCATTTAAATGGCAAGTTGTCCCCATATTGTCTTACTTTTATTTAACAGTACAGTGTATCAAACCTGATGTACTGCATGTAGATGATGCAGATCTTTTGGCAGGAAGTGATTGAGTATGGTTGATGAATGTAAGAGAAACCTGTTAAAAGTGAGTCTCAACAAAAGTAAAGTAATGGTGCAGCCTGAAAAGAGTGTGGTACAGTCTCTAATACCATTATGTACAGTTTTAAATACTGCTACAACACAAGTATAAAAAGCCAGAAATGGGGCGGTGGATATTTGGCACCTAAGATGCATTTGTGGTGCTAGGAGGATAGAGTAAGGAATATAAATGCCATGGAAAGTTACAAAGTCAAGAGTTATTAACTTATAAGATTGAAGAAATTATACTGAAATGGTTTGGTCATTTGAAATTAATGGAGGATAATAAGAGTAGTAAAGAGAGAGGATTCAAGTGAATTTTAAGGAGGAGAGGAGACAGTAGGAGGAGAGGAGACAGTAGGAGGAGAGACAGGCCTAGCAAGAGATGAATAGTCATGACACTGAAAACAAGTGGGTGTCTGTTGCTTTCTCCTGTATTATCGTTTTGTTTCTTCCACGTTGATCCCTTCCCATCCCATGAAAGTGGGAACATAATGCTAATATATATGATTTATAACTGAGAGTATTTTTGTACAGATGATTGGTTGGTACACATAAGAACCATATACTGTATGGGAAAACATTTTGATGTTAGTCTTGCCAGCATTACATTCCCAGGGGTTCTATACCCAGTCATTAGATGTGTGTGGGCACTCAAACTGTTCCTAACATCCAGGCCCTGCTTGTTGATGTGGGCTCTTACCATGTCGGTGTAAATACAGTAACTTTGATGTGTGTTCTTGTGCCCAGTTTTGTTATGGGACCTCAAAAACTGTAATGCTACGAGTTAACGAATAATGTGCTTAAATAATTATCATTCGTAACTGGATTGAATATATCTACATAGTTTGTCGATGCAGCTTTGCATCATGCTGGTTAATATTCTGTATATAGCATTGGTTGCATCACCACTGTTAGGGGGTACTATAATTGTTTGCCCTCAGTAATGGCTTCCCAGGGCCAAGATAATGTGAGGTGGGAGCTATCTAAGTTGATCTACAGATAGCAGTGAAAAGTAATGGCTTTCCAGAGCCAAGATAATGTGAGATATGACAGTGTCTGAACTTCTTAATAAACATTTGTGAAAAAAATGTTAAATATGAAAGGATTATTAAAGTGATGGGATTATTACAGAGAGTTAAACAAGTCATTGGACCGTTGAGGATGGTTAGGGAAGTGATTGGATCCTTGAGGATGGTTAGGGAAGTGATTGGATACTTGAGGATAGTTAGGGAAGTGATTGGATACTTGAGGATGGTTAGGGATGTGATTGGATCCTTGAGGATGGTTAGGGAAGTGATTGGATCCTTGAGGATGGTTAGGGAAGTGATTGGATCCTTGAGGATGGTTAGGGATGTGATTGGATCCTTGAGGATGGTTAGGGAAGTGATTGGATCCTTGAGGATGGTTAGGGAAGTGATTGGATCCTTGAGGATGGTTAGGGAAGTGATTGGATCCTTGAGGATGGTTAGGAAAGTGATTGGATCCTGAAGGATGGTTAGGGAAGTGATTGGATCCTTGAGGATGGTTAGGGAAGTGATTGGATACTTGAGGATGGTTACAGAGGTGATTGGATCCTGAAGGATGGTTATGGAAATGATTGAGTTGTTAAGTGTTTACTTACCCATGACTATGGGAGAGTGAGTTCTAGCCCTTTATGCCCTGCCTCCTAAGCACATATGCATGGCATGTTAATTACTTCTCAGAACAATAACGTTTTCATTTTTTGGTTAAGTTGTAAATGTAAATGGCTTCAACAACCTCTTCCTTCAATGCATTCCACTTACCGACCACTCATATAGGGAATGAGAACTTCAGCTTCTCTTCTCTTCAATTTCTAGTGTGTGGTTTGGTCTACATTTTTCAGCTATGTTATTGTGACTTTTCATCTGCAATGAGAACTTACTTACATCTATCTATGACTCAATTCTATAGTTGAGCTTCCACTGATGTCTCCTTGTCCTACCTCTTAATTTAAATGGACTTCTAATGTCCATTTGTCTTTTCCCCTTAGGATCTTTTATGTAGTGATCATATATCCTCATATATTCTCTCTCCTCTCCTCTAAGATTGTAAGGGTGAGTTCTCTCAACCCATCCTCATCTCAATTTTGGTGCTAATGTAGTTGCAAGCCTCTGAATTTTCTCAAGCTTCTTTGAGAAAATTGGTGTGGGTTCTATGCTGGTGTGGGTTCCATGCTGGTGCTGCATACCCAAGTAATAGTCTCACATAGACAGTGTGTGTGTGTATGAACTTAAAAGCCTTGCTGTTTTGATTCTTAAATAATGTTAATATGTTTGCTAATTTTCCATATGCTGCTGATGTTATCCTGTTTAAATGATCTTTTGGTGTTAGTGTTGGGATTGTCTATTCCCAGGTCTATTTCTCTCATTGTTTCTTGTAATTGGCTTCCTCTTATGGTGTAGATCAATACAGGTCTCCTGTCCCCTTTACCAATTTTCATTATTTTACACTTAGATTGAATTCCAGCAGCCATTTGTCTGCCTACTTGTAAAGTTTGTCAGGGTCTGCTTGAAGCACCATGCAGTCCTCTTCAGTTTTTATTCTCATTATTAACTTTGCATCATCTGCAAACATTGCGAACTCACTCCTTTTTCCGAGATCTCGGTCGTTTACATCAATTACAAAGAGCAGTGGTACTAGGACAGAGCACCCTGTGGAGTACCACTTTCCTTTTGTGTCTGGTCTTTCATGTACTCCTGGGCCCAGTCCAGTACTTTTCCTATTATCCTCTGTGACCTCTTCATTTTGTGTATTAGTCTTTTATGAGAAACTATCAAAAGCTTTCTGGCAGACCTAGGAACATGCAGTCCAATCATCCTTCCTTCTCTTGTCATATTTTGGTGAATCCATCATAAAATTCAATCAAGTTTAAGCATGATTTTAATTGTTAATCATAATTGTATTAAAATTATTTATAATTGGTCTATAGCTTATTACGTCATATCTGTTCTCTTTCTTAAATATTGAGACAATATTCATCATTCTCCAGATTCTTTGAGGATGCTCATGGAGGTGATTGTATCCTTGAGGAGGGTTATGGTTGTATTTTTTAGGATGGCTATGAAAGTCATTGGTTCCTTGACTATCATTATGGAAGTGATTGGATTCATTACTAACATTTAAACTTCCTCCAAATTGGATTTATGGGTGTGTTATCAAAGGGATTGGATCACGGTGTAGAGTTATAAGTGTGATTGGATCCTTAGGAGAGGATTCTGGGGATATATAATGGGGAGCATTATGAATTGGGAGACATTCTAATGTAGCAAATGGTGGATTTTGGTTTATTTCTTTTGATCGTAATCGATGAAAATGGAGTATGTACAGTATAAGCAAGGCCTAGATACATTTTGTGAACTAGCCATTATTTAGAAAATTAAGTGATTCTATTATAAGATGTTATTATTTTTCAGCTTGAAGATGATGATGATAAAATGACTTTTGGGAGTACAATGCCAAGTTTTGACCGAGGTCTCAAGCCATTAGGGACCCCACAGCGAAGAAATATTAATGCTGCTCGGCAGAGAAATTTTGAACCAAGATATGGGAGTGTGGTGAGTAGCTTTTCAGAATATTTAAAGTCATATATAATATTAGTATGTAAATTAATTTTAGAATCCTTTTAATTTTGTTTAGATCTTTTTGGCTTTATATTAGTTATTTATCACAGGGAACAGTATTGCTTCTTTTTCTTTTGGATAAATCCTAAGTAACTAGCTGGAGCTTAGGAGCCAAGTACTCCAGACCCTCCCAGTCATTCCAGGCCCGTGAGATTTATGCACCTTATCAGAAACCGGTATTAGAATCTAATTTTCTCAATGGGCAAGGGAGCTGGGTATCAAAGATGTGCCTAAAATTGAGGTTACTGCTCGGAAAGTCATCGGCGTAACAATTCAAACCACTGCTCCTAATTAATTTAAAATATAAAAGACAATGGAAACAAAAGTTGGCCCAGGTAAACAACCCTTGATCTAATTCACCTGGAGTCCAGGTCTGCCATCCTCCTCCTCCACCACAAGGGCCATGTGGAGAAGGCCCTTAAATTCCAGAATACAGTATCTGTAGTTATATATAATACACGAGTTAAAAGCCACCAAATGTGATTCAATCCTAATCCTATTTAGTTCAGGTAATATGTTGATGTAAATATAATGTGAATAATCAGTGTTGATGTGCTAAGCTGCGAGACGTTCGAGTACGGGGGGGGGAAGCCCCGCAAGTGGTTGACCTTGCCAGACTGAACCTTAAGCCCATAAGCAATGAATGTGTGGCTGTTGGCTGTCTGATGTGTTTATGTATGTTGTTTAAATTGCTCATGCATGTACTCTTACAACCAGGTAAGTGCACACATACAAACTTGTGGACATGAATACTTACTAAAAATGAACATTCATACTCACATGTGCATAAAAAGTTATGGTTAGTTATAGGTAGAGCTAAATACATGTGAGTATTCATCTAGTTTTTATCTACACCAAGTGTTAATGTATTTAATGAGACCTTATGATACATAGTTTTCTTTATCTTTTAACAATTCTCCTCTTGAATCCTCCTCCTGTAAACTAATTTAGTCAATTCAGGATCACAATATCAATGTGCAGAATATCGCAATCTGCAGAATAATGATACAAGTATACTAGAAAAACCTAATATGAGTTCATACTTTACTTTATTATGGTATTTTCTTCTTGTGTAGGCAGGCCTTGTCTTCATATAATTATTTGTGGTTACTGATGCCCCAAAAAAGTTCTGCCCGCCTGTCTGTCTGTGTCATTTCCTTGTTAGGATACTGGTAAGAAGTGTGGAGCAAGAGAGTAAAATGTGTCATGTGTGCCTGGACTCGGGGCTTAACGTTCCAGTTGTGTACGAATACCAACAAAGGAGCACTTGTATGAGTCAGCATTGTTGGGGTCTCAGTACATTGGTGACATCTGCCATTGGACAGTTCCACTCCTGAAGTAAAGTGACGAGTACTAATTTTTGTGTTCTCTTAATTCATTATCCTAGAAACTGGGATATGTTAGTACACTGATTGTTGTTGATATTTATAGATGTTCACACGATATTCTCTAACATGCTGGCCTCAGGCTGGGCTCGGGAAGTAGAATTATTCCCAGAACCCTCTCCAAGTATGCTCCAGGTATGCAAAACAAACTATGAGATCAAGATAAAGTGATGACAGTAATTATAATATAAAAGATGTCTTCAAAAGAGTTCTTTAAGGGACTATTTGAAAATATCATATAATGATAAGAGTGAGTGAGAATAAACAGTGCAGTGTGATATTAAATGCCCTTCATTGTCAAACATCAGAGTAACGGAACACGTTCAGTACTTTACTTCCATCAACAGAAATTTTGACATAATAGCCGTGCTCAAGTATTCATGATTATTTTTCAAACCAAATAAAAGTGAATGTTCAAGAAAAGCTTGTCAAGCGTATTATGATTAATTAGTCATGACTTGGGGACAGTCATGCACTGGACTGTACTGTAGTAATCCTGTCCAACAGACAACACAAACCTTTGAGGTAAGTTACACTATAAGTTATTAATTCACGTGAGCCTCTAATGTTAAATTCTCTTGCTGTAGTGAATAAAGATAAACAAATAGTTGAGTAATTAATGTATAGAAAGATACACTATCTACAGGAGAAAGTTATATTCTTGTCTCTTTCCTTCTGCTGTTTACTTTGTCTGTATCTGAAGGATTTTGTCTCAAACCTGAATCACATTTTCTAGTGGCATAGTGTGGTGAAATGTTTTCCTTGATTCCTGGGGGAGCAGCCTGGTGACTCCCTGAGGTTAACTCACTGGGGTTGTGCCTAGCTACTAGGTCACATCAGTTGCTCGAATCCTATTGTAAATAAGATTTTTTTTTTTTAAGTCAAATAGTCAAAGGCATTATGTAAGCAAAGTGATCAAGTGGTGAACTTCAAAATACAAAGTGATATTCAGGCGATGAGTCACAATAACGTGGCTAAAGTATGTTGACCAGACCACACACTAGAAGGTGAAGGGACGACGACGTTTCGGTCCGTCCTGGACCATTCTCAAGTCGATTGTCTTGAGACGATCAAGTCTCAACAATCTTGAGACGAGTTAACAATCGGCTTGAGGATGGTCCAGGACGGATTGAAACGTCGTCGTCCCTTCACCTTCTAGTGTGTGGTCTGGTCAACAAAGTGATATTGTCTTAAAACTGAGGTTTTTGTATAAATAGTTCATATTCAGGTAGAATATACTGTACTGTGTATGAGTAGAACATAAAACAAGTGTCGCCTTTTTTTCTAATCAATGCCGATTTTATTTTCATCAGCCTCCTGCAAAAACTGGATTGAAAAACTTGGGCAATACCTGTTACATGAATTCTGTGATACAATGTCTGAACAACACCACACCACTGGTCAAGTACTTCATAGAAGGCACCTATAGGTGGGTGAACTTTTGTTTATTCTTATTTTGACAACTTAATTTTATATCACATTATTGGATTTTTCATTTCAGATTTAACCATTAAACAATTAATTGTCAGTTCTAATCCAGCTGAATTGGAAAGAAACTGGATTAAGTTCATAAAGATGCTATAATTCTGGATTAGAGTTTTATGTTGTACTTGTTATCATTAATGAAAGCAGAAAGATCTGAAAACTAAACATCAGAACATTTTACCAATTGTTTATTATTAAAGCCTTATGATGCCGGTAATTATTCATGCATGTTTCACTTGTTCATTTTTATTCAGTGATGACATCAACTCGAACAGCAAATATCGTGGGGAAGTAGCAGAAGAAGTGGGGGCAGTCATTAGAGCACTGTGGTGTGGGCAGTATCGATCGATAGCTATGAGGGATCTTAAGGTCAGTCAATTCTCAGTGTTATCCCACTCAGTTGCTTCTAAAGGTAAGTCCATCTGACCTATGATTAGAATCGTATGCAGTCAAGGTTGGTCAACATTTTACACCAGTACTGTGGGAACATCTTCAAACTGCTCCCTCTGACAAACAGTAATGCAGGGGAGACACTGGAGGAAACTCAACTCAGCCCACAGTGCGGCTGGACACTGCATTTACATATATGTAAATACCTTTAAAAAATTATGTTTGGCATTGTAGGTACTGCTAAGCAGTGACTTAGCCAATTACTGAATGGTGTACTAGGTCACTATTCCTGATTACCACCAGGTGGCTGAATGGACACCTCAACGGAACTCCCCAAACCCCCCACCCAACCTTATCACCGTCTTAACTGACTGATCCCAGCCACAGGTTATATGAGCAGGTGGGGACCACAGATATTCAGTTATGTGGCTTATGTTTATCTTAAGAATTCAATGTTTCTTTTGTACAGTGGGCTTATCTGTAAGAATGTCTGTCTGTCCAAAGCTGGAGGCCAGGTGCTTGGGGCTGGCCTTGCCCAAATTTGTAGATGTAGATACAGTATATGGATGGATAGATGAGTAGATGAATGGATAGATGGATTGATAGATGAATGCACAGATGTTTGAATATGTGAATTGATGCATGGATAGATGGACAAATGGATGGATGGATATGTAGATGGATAAATGGATAGATAGATGGACAGATAGATGGATAGACATATGCAGAGGAGCAGAAGGCTTTGGCTGGGACTTGGTTCTTTAACAAAACCTTAACAAAAAATATCTGAAGACTCCATCTTTTACTTTCCACCAAGCATCTTCAAGAACAAAAACCAAAAGCATGTAGATCCTACAGCAAGAAGGGAAGGAAAGAGGGAAATTGGTGGATTTCCTGCCACCACTGGACCACATCACTAGTATAGGATCTTGATGGGATCTGTCATATCTTCATTTTAAACTGTGAATGGAGTTTGTCTCCACCAATTCACTTGGCAAATTATATATGTTCTCTCTCCTGACACTGAAAAAAATCTTTCTGATGTCTCTGGCTAAATTAAGAGTTATTCAGTGTCTTCCTTGCACCAGTATGAACTTAGAAGGGTGTTTGGAAAGACACTTGTTGCATCACTGCAAGATGGGAACCTGCCTTAACTTTGCATAGTCCTGATTTTGAGAACAGGACCTTGCCTTAAGGGAGCAACTGACTCGTAGGACTCGTAAAGTCTATTATTGTTTTGTAACTACAGTATCATGTACTATATATGTTATATTTTTTAGTTTTCCTTATGCTATATCTTGTGTACACATTAGGTCGAGCCTTTATATCCTTTGTTAATAATATGAATTTAATTTGTTTTCCAGAGTGCAGTGGGCCGCTTTCACAAACCTTTTCAGGGCTATGATCAGCATGATTCCCATGAATTTCTGATTAAATTAATGGATTGGGTACATGAAGATTTGAACAAGGTAATTTACATTTAATTAGGTTTAATACATAAAGATTAGTTAAGATACAGTACGACGTTATTTGGGCAGACAGTATGGGACTTGCCCTGATCCATTAGGATTTGTTGCAACCAGAGATCCCTTCTGGAGGGATTTGTAAGACTGTTTTTAAAGATACAGAAAATACATGGCTTCAGTTGTTTCTTCTTGTAAAAAATCATTAAAAATGTGATTGGAGTCACATTAATAAAGCACATTTTTTCACTGAATTTCATTATTTGACAGAACAACATTATAATTTTGACCAGTCATATGAAGGACAATTACCAAGAGAACTTGTCCGTAAAGACATTTCAATGCATCAAGCATACTTCTAATGCCTCAGTCTGAAAACCTCATTTTCAAAGGAGGAAGCACACACATATTAATGAATAAAAACCAGGGGATTTCAAAACAAAACAAACCATAGAATTTAAATATGCTCTGTGACTTTCTCAAGGCTCCAACTCTTTCTTCTAATGTTGTATCCACTACAAACATAATTAAGAACATGATTGGAGCCATATTAAGTGGTTGCAGTGGTACAGTTAGGCTTGATCTCTACTCAGTCAAGAATCCTGGGTTCAGATCTCGAGCAGGACAGAAATGATTGGGCACGTTTTTGATCACCTCTTTGTCCTTGGATATATATTCAGGGAGCCACAAGAAGCTTTCCCCAGAAAACCAGCAGTAACTGCAATGAAATGCCAGTTTCTAGGTGAGCTCCAGTGGCTCCCTGACACACTCCCTCTGGGTCTCACATTTACCATAGAACTGAGGGCTGTGCCACCAGCTGTTTGAGAGCTACCTCCCCCCTTTCCCCAAACGAGTGGGAGAGGAAGGGCAAATGAGCTGGCATTTGTTTTGAAACATTTCAATCGCTTGTTTGCATTGTTGGGTAGTTCGTCTGGTAGCTCATGAGGCTATGGTCTCTTCTATAGCCAGCTATTGTTTTTGTCTTGTTGACTATCTGGGTGCCTCTCCTGGTGGTGGCATAAATAAATATAAAGTGTAAATGCCACTGTTCCCTGTGCCTCTGTGAGAGGCTGGGTTCTGGTTCTTGATCCCTTGTAGTCCAGATAGAACTCTGCAGATAATGCAACCCATAGATGGTAGACTATCAGTGATGGTTACTTCGGGGAGCCACTGGGGCTCACCCAGAAATTGCCGTTTCATTACATTCAAGAGTTTTGGAAAATTGCTTCTTTGGAAAAAGTAAGAAGCATAGTAAGGTGATAGGTGAACAAACCAATGTAAGCATTAAATATAAACTTGGAAGAATGAAAAATGGTGAAGAAGAAATTAAAAGTGAAAAGATTACTTTAAATATTTGATGGGTGGAAGTGATGAAAGAAGTGCAAATGAAAACTTGATTTAATAAAGCTCTGATGGTCATTCTGATTTGGATTCAATTTTTTTCAGTGTTTACCTAACACCTTATGTAACCCTGAGATATGTTTAATGGCTTCCTACAAGGATGATGCCTCAATATTTTCCTACATGTCTCTTCACTAATCCTGCTTTTGACACGGGATTCTCAACTTAAGAAACAACCTAAGGCTGTGCTCAGGACCATTGTTTATTTCCTTCAGGTTGTTGGTAAGAAACCCCCCATGAAGGAACAAAACAATGATGACCTCCCTGACTATGTTGCTGCAGAGAAAGTAATGGAGGATTTAAGACGACAAGACCAGTCCATTATCCATTCCATCTTTAATGGCCTTCATCGCTCCATTATAGTGTGCGGTACTTGCAGCAATCGCTCCCTCACCTTTGAACCATTTTCCATACTCTCACTGTCGTTTCCTTCATCTAGCAGGTGTTCTCTCAGAGTAAGTGTGTTGGATGGTTTTTTACAGTTAATATATTTATGCTCATGGGTACAGGCTGTTTTAGTTTGTTTTGTGTACAGTACTTAAAATGATATCCCCAATAGTTTGTCTTAATCATAGAGCTAGCCAAGCAGAGTAACTCTTACTATTGTCTCAATGTAGCTATCACTCAGTTCTTTACAAATTATTGCAGTTGTAACTTGAGTAGACTTATTAATGTGACTAAATACTGTACAGTGGAATCTTAGTACTCGAACAACCCCCCCCCACACAAACAATTCAGCACTTGAATGCTGTGTTCATGTTTGGTAGTCGACCTGTTGTCTGGCCCTCAAATGTAAACATACATCCGAGATGAGTCAGTTTCCCAGTAGCTGTCGTTAAGTGCACACCACCACTAGACTTCTCTAAACTTTCTTGTATTTTCTTGGATATTTTTGACATTCTTAGTGTAAATAAGTCACCATGGGACCTAAGAAAGTTTGTGAAAGTTAGTGATATGAACCAAGAAAAAAATGAAAATTAGTTAAAACCACAATTGAGATGAAAAAAACTCAAAGCAAAATATGAAAGTGGTGCCTGCATGTCTGCTCTTGCTACCAAGTTTAATACTGTGTATGCCTAAATCAAGTTATCTAATAAAAGAAATGTGTGCAAAAGGGGAAAAGTACAAAGTTTTCTTTAAAAACATCACTCTGACAAAGCTGTTATAATGGTATTCTCTTGCCAAAGAATAACATCACTCTTCCTTACCACTTTCCACATGTGCAATCACCTTTCCTTAGTGCAGATAGAGTTTGTACTGTATTTGCATTTAATTAATTTATTACATTAATATATTTATTTTTGTGATCTGGAGCAAATTAATCCAACTTACATTATTCCTCTTGGGAAAAAATTGTTCAGCACTCAAACAGATTAGCACTCGACCAGCCTTAAAGAACCAATTAAGTTTGGGTATTGAGGTTCCACTGTACATGATGATCTTGATCACTTTTCACTCATACATAATGATGAAGATTTGCTCACACTAAGGATGTGGAGTTTTACACAGTTCCAGACAGTAATAAAGGGAAGGCTGTACCAAATGAAGAAGTGTTGTACAAACTTTACGGTTTATCAGACAGAAAAAAATGTGTGTGTGTGTTGCTGAGCTGTTTAAATCCATGAAGCTGCAACTTGTCAAGATCTGTCCTGCTTTAGGGCTGGGAGAGAAAATGAGGTATAGCATTGAAACAGGCAGCAAGGTTAGTGTCAGGCCTTAAGACAGCAGTCTCGAACTTACCTGTGAGCTTGTGAGATTGAGCTCTTTATGCCCCTCCTCCTAGTCATTTATACCTGGCATGCTAATTATAGTTTAGAAGTGAGGGCTACTCGGGTATATTCATGGTACTCAGGATAGTCATAAGACACTCATGTGCGAGTCAGTCTGAACTTTTCAGATTGTACCTCATCATATTTAATTTGTTTTATAGCCAGTTACTGGTATTCATCCTGTTATTACCTTTTTTGTTTTCTAAATATGTTTATATTTTTAATTACTGCTTATTGACAGGATATGTTTCATCACTTCTACAAAGAAACAAATATAGAATACAAGTGCTCCAAGTGTAAAAAGATGCGCAACTGCATACGCAAACTTGACATATGGAAGTTACCCCCAATATTGATCTTGCATCTAAACCGGTAAGCTTTCACACAAATTCTCAGGACGATAATCATGGAATTTAACAATATTTGTTAGATTTGTACTTTGTACCTGATGCATACAGAAGTAATGTGCACCTGGCACAATAATTACCTCTCTCAATATTAACTTTTCATCAGGCTTACACGCTTGAGATATTAAGTGTTGTTTCTGGCTTATCCAACTCAGTTGCTTCCTCCAGCATGTTCTTACTGACTCCTTATTAAGATTTCAAATGGTCTAGCTAAGTAGATATTCTGTACTGCCACGGCAATAAGATAATTTGGACCATTGCCAGTCATTCCATATTGCATGTATAAATCTTGCTTTATACAGTTTATTAACAGTAATGGTTTTGCAGGTTTGAACATGATGTTTTAATGAAGAAACAACAGAATTTTGTTGATTTTCCACTGGATAATTTAGAGCTCAAAAAACAATGTGGCATAACCAACCGGTAAGTGCACACAAACACGTTCATAACTATTTGAAATAGTCATGAGTACACTATTTGCAAATTGACAATATAGTATTTGCTATAGTTTTTTCTCTATAATTACTAGTCACATTTTCTCTGACGTATCTTTTTTCATTCTGCAATAATGCAAACCTGTATGCTGTATATCAGTGATGTGTGTTTCTGTAATGTAGTAAACCTAAGTGACTCCATTGCAAAGGCATTGATTCATTAGAGCTGTTAGTAACTATCAGGCCTTTGATGACTTTCAATGGCCAACCAAGCACACTGGTCCAGTAACCAGAATCAGTGTTCTCACAGAGGCATGGAAGTATAAAGGTCAACTTAAATTGAAGAACACCACACAAAAAGTTAGAACAGCACCTGAACACCCAATTCTCATAGAGACAACAAACAAGACAGTTTTAAAATTTCAGGTGATAGTTGTACAGGGGTAACAACCCATACACCAACCTTGCCTGCTCGCCACCAGGTGGCAGCTCAAGTAACAGGGTCACCAGCTATCATTACTCTCACTTCTAAGCCAGATTCATTCTTATCAACAATAGTGCCTCTGCTGAGCTAGGAATCTACTTTTTATGAAATTATAAGTGGTTTTGGCATTCCTGGGACATTCTGCCCCACGCTTGAGATGTTATTTTTATTATAATTAATTTTTATTTATGCTTCATGATTGTGTTTATGCCAGTCACTTTGTGTGATTACAGTACAGTACAGTACTGCACTTTCAATGTCTGTGGTTTGGGTGTAGGGTTATCTTCCCTAGCTAGCCTGCTCATGATACTCTTGCCCACCCAGCGTTATCTATTCTAAAGGTTTGGATTATGACAAGACAGTGCCTGTCCTGTGGATTATCACAATGGGGCCTGACAGTTGAGTGGACAACGCTCAGGATTCGTAGTCCTAAGATTCCGGGTTCGATCCCCGGTGGAGGCGGAAACAAATGGCCAAATTTTCTATCACCCTGATGCACCTGTTCACCTAGTAGTAAATAGGTACCTAGGAGTTAGATAGTTGCTACAGGCTGCTTCCTGGGGATGTATAACAAAAACTAGGCCTGGTCGAGGACCGAGCTGCGGGATCACTAAGCCCTGAAATCATCTCAAGATAACCTCATGAAGACAAGGCTTATGCAGTCAAACAACTCTAGAAACCACCTACAGGTAATCTACAGGTAAACACATATTCAAAGTAGTGCCCTCTCAGTAGTTTCCCAAGCTTTAGCACTGGGGGTTATCTTGAGATGATTTCAGGGCTTAGTGATCCCGCAGCCCGGTCCTCGACCAGGCCTCTTTTTTTTGTTACACATCCCCCAGGAAGCAGCTCGTAGCAGCTGTCTAACTCCTAGGTACCTATTTACTGCTAGGTAACATGGGCAACAGGGTGAAAGAAACATTTTGCCCATTTGTCTTCGCCTCCACCGGGGATCGAACCCGGAACCTCGAGACTAAGAATCCAAAGTGCTGTCCACTCAACTGTCAGGGTGCTAAGCCTTTGGGAATCCCACCAGGGCTTGGAACCCTACTTGGGAGCCAGGACCTGTCTCTTTATCTACAAGGTAAGAGGAGCTTGGGAATAAGAGAGAAAACCCCACCAGAAAGTATAAGTGCATCAAAACACAAGTGCACAAGTGCAACTGCTTGCAGGAAATTGGTAACCCTGAGATAATGTGCAATGATTTAACTTCAAGCCTGCCTAAAATATAGGGAGTGTGTGAGATGAATTATGGCAGTTAGAGTAGTACAGTACTGTATATGTATTTTAGATTGAATATCATTGAAAATTTGTTTTGCAATAAAGTATAAATAGTACAAGAATTAAAGGAAACCTAACCTAAGCACATATAATCTTTCATTTTTATTTTCCACCCTTTCCTTCATCTGCCTTATACAAGTTAAAAAGCATTTAAAATATTTTTATATAATTATTTTTTACTTTTGTTGCAGGTATACAAACTTTGACCTATATGGTGTATCTAACCACTATGGCACCATGGATGGTGGTCACTATACTGCATTCTGTAAGTCTGTTCTCAACAAACAATGGTATAAATTTGATGACCATGAAGTTTATGAACTTTCACGAGATGCTGTCAAGTCTTCAGCAGCATATTTACTGTTTTATGAAGCCAGCAATATGAATGTTAAAGTCACCAACTTGATATGAGAAAGACATGTGTGTATTATCAAAGTTAGACTTGTGTACTGTATTATATGATAAAAAATATATATATATTTGTGTGTATTTGGTATAAATACGTGTTTGTGGGAAGTGAGCTCCAGCTCTTTAACCCAGGCTCTCAGCTGTTGGTTGTCTGGTGCAACAACTTCTGAAGTTGTACACACAAACATGAATGAAGGTAGTCTCCACTACCTCCTTCCCTAGTTCATTCTACTTGCTCACCACACTCACTGAAGGAATACTTTTATATATCGCTATAACTCGTGCATTGGCAGAGTGCACATATTTTCCCCTATTCACAGACTGTCCTTATCCTCTTCTATATTCCTGATTATTTTCTGTACACTATTGTTATTTTATTCTTTGGTTCTTACCCTTTCTAATGATGTGAAGTTCAGTTTCCTTAGCGTGTTCTCATCACTAAATCACCTTAGTTCAGGTACTAGTCTTGCAAAAAATCTCTAAAATTTCTTAGCTTTTGTTCTAGTTTTATGTGATGCGGGTTCCATCGTGGTGTTTACTTATCAGAGATTACAGGGTACTTAAATTTGGCTCTCACTACTTTACATCCTAGCATTTTGTACCTCTTACACATCATTGTTATATTTAATACAGGATTAAGGTATAATGTTCAAAATGCTTCCTTAATCAGTGGGCCAGTTGACCAGTCGATTGTGTCACACAATCGACTTGAGAATGGTCCAGGACGGACTGAAACGTCGTCGTCCCTTCACCTTCTAGTGTGTGGTCTGGTCAACATACTTCAGCCACGTTATTGTGACTCATTGCCTGCAGTGGGTCAGGTTTGACTTGTGATAAGCTGGTCCCACAGACTGTTGCTTGGAGCAGCCCACAGCCCCACATATCCACCACAGCCCAATGTGGTGGATATGTGGGCCAGTACTTTTTGCAGGAACTTAAATAATTTTTTCTTAAACAAGTGCACTTTTGTCCTGGCAATAATTCTGAACCTTGTTGGTAGGATATTGCATACCCATGAACTTGTGATGTTCATGCAGTGTTCTCTGATTGTGCCTATGGCCTAGTCTTTACTGCATCTAGTCTGCACTTCCTACCATATTTGTCACAAACCACATATCAGAAAATGAAGAAACAATGACGTTTTGATCAGTCCTGGACCATTATCAAGTTGTGTAATAGAAAGACAGTGGAAGAGAGAAACAATTTGCTCTGCATGTTTTGTACAAAGTCTTATCAAAATGCTTTGATGTCTTTCCTAGGTCCTTATTTTTTATGTTTAAATCAGTGACTAACACCTCGGATGCTGTACTGTTTTTCTGGTATTCTTTCTCCTATTTTCATTTTCATTGCCTTGCATTTGTTGGAATTGATTTACTGTATATTACACACTTAGCCATTCTTGAAGTTTGTTCAAGGCCTCCTTCAGTATTTTACAATTTTCTTCAGTTCTTATTCTGCTCATCAGTTTTGCATAATCTATTATTATGTACCTGTAGGCATTAATTTCCTCATATTGTATAAGCCAATTAGGTAAATCAATAAGCAGCATTTGTCATGTTTCTCATCCCTGTAACACCCAACTTTTTATTCAGACTTCCTTTCAACACTGGTTGATACCTAGTTGATGGGGTTCTGGGAGTTCTTCTACTCCCCAAGCCTGGCTCGAGGCCAGGCTTGACTTGAGAGAGTTTGGTCCACCAGGCTGTTGCTTGGAGCGGCCTGCAAGCCCACATATCCATCACAAAGCCTGGTTGGTCCGGCACTCCTTAATTTGACTCTATTTTCTACCTGTTAATTATTAAAAAGAACCAATTCTAATACTCATGTTTCTACATTTTTAGTTAGTCTCTTGTTAGCAGTGTTAAAGGCTCCCTGGCAATTCAGATATTGTCTATCAATCTTATTACTGCACTGTATTTTCCATCTTATTCATTCTATCGTAGAATTATTCAATTTGATTCATGCTTTTTTGTTCTCAGAACTGATGACGATTCATCATTATAAATAATTACTTCAACTGTTTTGCTAGTCTGATATTTTCTCTATTTTGTATGTGTCGTGTATGTTATTACCTATGTGATTACTTGTAGTTAGAGAAAGAGGCCTATGCTCAAGTTATCTCTGTCTTTGTAAACTGCATTTTACCTTGAATAATTGAACAATTTTAAATGCATTTACCACAACTTTGTCTTGGAGTATTTCAATCATTTACCGCTTTATAACTAAAGACACACCGTATGTCCAGTCATCCCTTCTCAACCATTTTATGTACTGTGATCTTTTTATTTATTTAATACTGGTCTACAAAGCCTTTCTGTGTTTTTTCATCTTGCATGTTGTTATTGTTCCAGGTATACCACCTTCCTTTGCATATTGAAATCTTTAATATTTCATTATGGCACATATTTCTAATGTCTGGAATCGTTTTTTATTGTTTTTTGGATTTTTTGTTCTTTTAATTTTAGAGGATACTTTAGGTGTGGGCACATATCCCATAGACAGCTGCATATTCAAATTTAGGTCAGAGATATATTGCAAATCTTTCTATCTACTTAAAATATATCCTAAAATTTGATAACTTTCTGTAGGACTGTTATCCAAGCACTTACATAGTGTCCCGGTGAAGAAATTTTGGGTAGATAATCTTGGAACATTTTCTGTATCAAGGTTTTGTATGTTTTTTAAAGTTGTTACCATAAAACTGCTATGCAGTTTTATGGTAACAACTTTATCCATTGCATGAGTTGTCAAAGCTCTTAAATCAACAACTGCAATTTTATAATCCTAATTGAGGGCTAATTATTTTTCTCAATTTTGATTACATAACATGTGTGTGTATGTGATTTGTCTTTATATACAAAACATGAGTTTTGTGTGTGTGTGTGTGACAGTTTTATATAGAAAGAACTATTGTCCTCTTGTTGACAAAGAAAATATAGCATTCTTTATTTTCACAATATTTTATTAAGTAATTATACTCTTACTTTTGTATCTTTATCTTCACTTGTATTTCTGTATCACAATTTATATATGACCTCTATTCTTCGGTGATAAGAGTTGCAGATGACGGTGAGGAAAGAGAGGGGCACTACTAATGCTTCATTATAGCAATACACACACGTATGCTGATGTTGGCCCAAGTTCTATGTGATTATCTTTGTACATGCAGTATTTTACAGATATATATATTATATATTACAAAGTATATTATTACACTTTATTAGATAGCCATTACGAACAGACTTTGTGACCATTGGTAGTATTTCCATAAGAAAGTACAGTATAATATTTTATATTAGATTTACTATATACATAAGAGTCAGAAACTATGTTAACCTGTGCTTCCATTTCTCACTGTATTTTTACTTTATTTTTCACATTTGTATAATTTTACCTTCATTTGCATTTGGGGTGAAGTGTGGTTAAATAAATGATATAATAGTCCATTCACCTGCACTGTATGGGTCTCTAATTGTGGACCCCACGCATGTGAGGCCATAGCTCTATCAACTTGGCTGTGAACAGTCTTAAAATGGAAAGTTTCCAGAAGCCGTATCCTGCTGCCAAACTGGCATTTTCTAAGCTACTTAAAATTCTGGGAAAAAAACAACTGGGAAAAAGTTACGGCTTCAAATGTGTGGGGTCCGCAGTTCGAGACCCATACAGCCCAGGTGAATGCAATGTTTATTTCCATGGAAGTGTGGATGGCAATTTAAATGATATTATACTATATATAAAAAAAGTATCCATCTATTAAATAACAAAAAAAGACTAACCCTGAGAAATGAAAAATATGTAAAATACTGTAATAAATAGTTTGAATAAAAAATAGCAGTGACAATTATTGGTAGAAATACTAAATGCAGAAGCATTTTGAACAGCTATAGTAATGAATATTGTATGTACTGTATAATAATTTGATAATTCAGAAAAACACACACACAAATTTTTTTTAATTACACTGTGACTTTCTGCAGTTGTTACCGATAATGTTTGACCAGTCAGTAATCAGTATTATATGTATTTCAAAACTTGTGGCTCTGTCAGGACTGCATAATGGCTGGAATGGCCATTAGGAATTTTTTTGTTAATTGCTTGGATTTAAGTTTATATATCAAGATGATAATCTGATACTGTAGTATCATTTTGGTCATTAAACTGTCCTTGACATGTACATTACCAAGATAATATGATAACAGATATTGTTAATAAAGTTATGAGTGTTTTAGGTTAAAGAATGTTTTTATTTTGGAAATCAGATATGAAATGAAATTATTACAGTTCTACCTTTATCTTTGAATGAGGGCATTCTAAGTTAAACATACTGAAACATATTTAAAAGTTTTTTGGAAAAAAATGTTGACATTTCATAAGAAGTTAGAAAGAAAATGCTAAAGCTTCCAAAAAAATTATTGACCATTTACACACATTTATTTAATAATATACAGATTAATAACACAACATAGGGGTGTTCTTGGTTTCTGGGGTGACTAAGGATCTTCAATCCTGGGGAAGGGGGGAAAAAGGCTGTTGTTTGCCATTGCTTGTTCTACCTGAAGTGGTTCTTCCTGTTGAATTCAGGTTCTTTCAGGTTGAACTGTTTTGGTCAAGGTCGGAGGCCTTGTTTTGTGGCCACGGTACATAGGGGGTTTTCCTCTTCCAATTTCTGTTAATCATTTTCTCCTCCATTTCTCAGTTCCCCCCTATGGGCAGTTTATTTCTGGGGTTTCACATGGCAAATTTTGCTTCATATTATTCCCATGGAGCCTTGTTTACTCTTGCTGGGCTCTAGGGTCTCTTCCCTCATCTTTAAGAGATGGTAAGTTACCTCATGGTAATATGGCCCTTCCAATTCTGCTGGGTACACCTCTGTAGGGCCTTGAAGGGTAGTGTATATGAGTTTCCTGGTTTGAACCTGCCTGCCTGCTTGTCCCTGTGAGAATTATGCTTGCAGACTTGCTTCTCTGTCCTTTTTGAGAGTTGAACTCAGTGGCTCCATTCACCCCTTTTCCAGGTTTGGTAGTGTCTTCTGTTTTTCTTCCTGCTGGTCAGCTATTTACTCTGCAGCTGATTGGTGGGGGGTTTGTGTTTTGCCTAATTTTGAGTAGTTCCAGGTTTCCAGACTGTATGTCCAACAGTTACTAAGCTGAATGCCCCTCTTTTACCCTGGGTTCTGCTGGTGCTGCCTTCCACTGCCACAGACAAATTCATATATTTTATTTTGCTCTAATGTATCTTTTTAGAGCAGTCATTTCCTACCCTGCCTAGATGTCGATATGAATAAGCTTCCATCCCCCCCTATTGTCTTCTTTTCGTGATGGTTTTGATGTTCAGTATTGGTGGCTTATGAGTGAAATGGACTGCTAGCAGAGACCCTGGGTAACCTGAGTGCATCATCTAGTATGGCTGGACGTATTAAGAGTTATTCACTCATACTAATAGTCTATTGCTGTGTTTGCCTCAGGGCTTATTTCTTTCTTTCAGTCACTACCTTTATTTCTCCTAACCTGTCTGGTGGATTTTTATCAGTTTTGTGTAAATCTCTGATCCCCAAGTTTCCCTTAACCGAGAAAGAGTCGGATTCTGTTCTGTCTCCTGGTAGGTCATGCTTGGCTACCCAAGTTCCTAGACTCCAAGAAGCTAATCAAGACCCACCAGAAAGTAATTTCATTATAATCAACCTTTTTTTTTTTTTGCCTTTACTTTGGAAACCATAAAATTGTGTACTGCTGGCATTCTCTGTGATGAAAAACTTCAAAGATGTTGTCAAAACACAGGTATATGAATAATAATAAAATTAATTTTTATTGGTGCTGAAGGAAACATTCATTATCAAATGAACAAATTCAATTTGTAATTCATTATCAACTACAGTAGGAGCATAGCAATTGGAAGAAATTTGCCATTACGTTTTTCCAGAATCTAAAATTAAACTAGAAACTTTAAGCTCTTAAGAGTTTTGTGATAGTATTTGAGGAAAAATCATGTAATTTTGTTTAGCTTTTAGGTACAGTACATACTTTTATCAGCTATGTAGAATTCACCTATTTCAGATTTTCATACTTCATAATGGTGGTCATAAAATATTTTTAGATACAGTACCAGGGTTATCTTGAGATGATTTCGGGGCTTTTAGTGTCCCCGCGGCCCGGTCCTCGACCAGGCCTCCACCCCCAGGAAGCAGCCCGTGACAGCTGACTAATTCCCAGGTACCTATTTACTGCTAGGTAACAGGGGCATTCAGGGTGAAAGAAACTTTGCCCATTTGTTTCTGCCTCGTGCGGGAATCGAACCCGCGCCACAGAATTACGAGTCCTGCGCGCTATCCACCAGGCTACGAGGCCCCAAACTTACTTAACTTAACTTAAGTACTTAAGGGTACTTAAGTTTAGAAAATATAAATGTTTATTAAATGTGCTATTTTTCAAAGAATTTAATTCTTGTACATAAATGACTTGCATATTAAGGTTCATATTTATGTTCTCAAAATTAAGCTGACGTTTTGTCCAATTGCAGAATATATTGATTCTGCACAGAACTGTGATAGATTGGGTTTGCTTAATGTAAGTGAATGTAAAATCTCTTTGTATATACATATGAATAAATACAGTACATGCATATTATTTGTACAGGCATAGTATATATAATATTAATGGAAAACATTGTTTTATTATCAGTTATTTTTATTTGGCAATATTGTGAATTTAATACATCTCTAGTTTTATGGTTGTGAACGATGGGATTTTAGTGAGGATGATTTGATTTCAATGGGAAGCAAGATGTATTTTTAACGAATTGTGCCTGGTTTAATGTCAGTGCCTTTTATTAGTATGAATGGTTTTATGATACATTCACATTACAGATGTTGATGATTAAGAAGTAAAATGGTGCAGTGCCTGACAGTTTTCTCTCCAAGAAAATGTTACCACACACAGATTGCTTCAAAGCTATCTTATATCTGGGGAGAGAAGCTCTGCAATGTTTGCGTTTTGTGTACAAGTTGATTATGAACCTGGGTGAACATGTATTAATTCAGAAGAAAGCCAATTTCTTTCATCTACATATATTTCTTTTGAGTCTAAGATATACCTCTTATTTTTATTCTAAGTTAAGGAACTATATTTTAGCTACATATGATAATATGGAAACACAGAGCGTGGATATCTAAATCTATGTTGTATTGTTTCTGAACAATTAAAAATGAATTGCAGAATTTAACATTTGAGTCTAGTATGATTTCCCAGTTTAAATAGTGTTAAAAAATGTTGAGCTAATGTTGCAACTTTTGCAGGCTTAATCATGAATGTTTTTATAAATGCATTCTCTTGGATTTTTTATAATAAATTTAAAACCTGGTTTATGAAAGCAGATTACCAAGGTCTTGTTTGTAAATATTAATAGACTTGTTCAACCATGGCATTATGGTAGGTGCTACCATGGGAGACTTAAGTAAATTATCTTACTCTCATTGATGCTTCTGTACTACAGCACTGGTCTTATATTTTTCCCTGTATACTGCAGCACTCTTACATTATCCTTTCACTTTACCCCTTTTACTTCATATTGTTTTTCCCATTTTTAGCCTTTTTGATGGACATTTCCTTTAACTATTTCAGTTTGCATTTTCACTTGTATTGTAATTACCCCAGTGTAAAATAAGTAAGTTATTTTACCCAAGTGTAGTTACAGGATGTGAGCTACACTGGTGGTGTCCCGTCTTCCCAGCACTCTTTGTCATATAACGCTTAGAAACTGCTGAAGGTTTTGGCCTCCATCACCTTGTGTATGCTTGCTCAGGCAGTCATCATTCCAATCTCATTTCAAAGTTCAGGAAAGTTGTGAAAATTCACTTAGTTATGTAATAGCCAAGGCAGCAAGTGGAATTATCTAGGAAAATATTTTGAGAACATCCTCATAATTTAATTGTTGATTTTAAGCTTCATGGTCTCCTGATTTTTGGAAGTAATTGTTTTAATGAGTTACACCACTTGGTTACTACTTTGGGTAATGTATTGTTTCCAAGGACAGTACCAGGCACTGACAAGGAATGTTGACATTAACACCCCTGCATCACAGGAATCTTATTTTCCCAGTGGACAAAGTATGCTCAAGAAATGTTTGATCATTATAAGATAAATGTTGGTCCATTGTTACATCATCATTTGCCCTGGAGTACCATCACCACCAGGGCAAGGAACATACTGGCGAAGACTATCTAGTTAGAACAACCTCCAAAATGTTTATCTATACTCAGTCCCCCTCCAAGCAATACTTGGCATCAAAGGTAAGGTAATTATCAAAAGGCACCAAACTGGGAAGGCTATGTAGCACCGTCAAAGTGTGAAATAATCAGAGGGCGCTAAATAGCACCAAGAATGCCAATACGAGAACAAAAACGCATAAGGCGAACAATATAAAAAGTATCTGATTCACCTAGAATTCTATCGAGGGACAAGTGACCGCGAACTTGGCATCAAAGAAACCACTGAGTAGTGCTCCACTAACTGCTAGTTGGCCAGCTTGGTGGCTTTCTACAACCACTACCTGATATCAATACTTACATGTCAGCAAAGTAGCAAGGTCCTACCCACTTCACATTAATCCTGGCTCTTCCTTCCAACACATATTCAGACACCAGACAAGTCTGACTCCCAGGCAGGGTTTGGGAAGAACTATGAAACTGACTACAGGCTACAGGTAAGCTATATCTCTGAGAGACTTTATTACAGTATTTAGTTAAGTTACACGTTTATCCTTCTGAACTTTAATTTCATTGTGCAGTGGGCTCATGCTATTAGTGGATGATTGTGTGCACATTGTGGAAAGGATATGAGAACATGGTGAATGAATGGTGGCCAATCACTTGGATCATTGAGGATCGAACACAATCTTTAAGAAGCAAGGCCATCGCTTAATTCCATTAGGAAAATGTATTTATATTTATTGAAGGTAAATGTCCAACCTACAGTGTCTATAGTTTGCCAATTAGTGGCTCATGTCCTTCAATCTCCAAGCTGCTTGTTGACATGTTCCTATCCATCTGAGAATCGGTGATTGGCTGGGTTTCAGAGTCAGTCACACTTAATAAGTTTGTCACTTTTGGGGCTCTCTTGTTAAACTTGTACCAAAGCTTCTGACTTACCAGAACACTTCTTTGGGAACTTCAGCTCTTGGGAATCAACATTAATTAGTTTATTTGGGCTCCCAGTCATTGCCTCTGTCTGCTGGCGAGTGTGTGCATTGTGGATGTTGGACAAGTTTGGCTTTCGTGATAAAAGGTCGAATTGTCAGTTCCAACACAGCATCTAGGCTTGTCTGGGATATCGGCTGATTCCTGCTGGAGTTGATGCTGTTGCCTTTTTAACCAAGATTTATTGAGTGACTAGCTCTCCAATCCTTTTAAATCTACCATATAATCTCGGAACATTACAAACATCAATCACGTAAGTTCCTTCTAACATTCCCATTGGTGCCATATTGAAAACAAAATAAAAAATATCGAACAAATTAGTTTTTATAAATTGGTGAGTTTTATCTCATCCATGAAGAGCTACCAGTAATTAGGTATTTTCTTCTATACTGTATTGTATAAGCTTCTTACGTAAGTTTATTTTCGTTTCTATGCAAAAAATGTCAAAAACAGAGTCAATGATTGCAATTCTTCAGCAGAATTATTGTGCATGTTGTAGTTGAATTTCTTTAGAGTGAATTAAACATGGCAATTGCCTATGGGTAGCCTGAAGCAGTAACATTCCAAAACTTCAAAAAATGAATATATCTGAGATATATGGAATAGCTGATGTAGATTTCATTATCACACTAGACAACTTATGTTGAAAGTTCCACGTACAAGTAAGTTAGTACTGCTAGACTCATTCTCAGCTATAATTATTTCTGAGTTTGCACCACCTTCTGGTGTAGATTTGACTAAATTTAAATTTTGCCACGATACAACCTAATGTACGTATATACACAGACTTCCTGTCTCCGATAAAATTAATTTGTTTTCATTGACTTGGTTCATTAATGCGTTAACATACTTAGTTAAATCAATATTGGGGCTGACATCATATGCCAGCTAGGCGAGACTATGTAAGCTAGTATTGGCTCACTTGCTAGCTAACTATATAGTTACAATGTTCGCTATTAAAATATTGTAAATGTAACTTAAGAGGCACTGTAACGTAAAAAATCGCACACGCGCACACATATAGATATTATATATATTAATATAGACATACCCATGCGTTTGTGTATGTATACAAGTGAGCCATTAAGAAAAGGAAAATAATTTCAGAAGCGAGCGCGAGTCTCCAGGTGGTGGCGGCATCAAGTCACCCTTCACCTGTGTCGCTCACCTTGTGGACGTGTGCCATGTTACAGTAACAGTGACACACGCGTTACCATCCTAGCCGGGGGACACAGGCAAGATGCTGAGTGCCATAGAGAGAGAAACTTGGGAATGGTGGTGAGCTGCGTCAATGGCTTAGGTATGTTGAGGGACTCTTGTTTACCTGGGTCGACAGGTCACTACTGCAGTCATTTAGATCTAATAATGTGTCTTGCAACGTTGCATACAATAAACACATTGAGTGGATATTCAATGTGTTTGGGTGCATAATCAATAGCTCCTAGGGTCTGCCTAGGAGCTACACACTACAACAGTGAACCCTGAAGGTAAGGGAACTATAGCCGTTTAATAAACAGTGGTTAACTAGCAGAGACCAGTGGAGCATTATTAAGTATTCAGTAGGGCCAGTGGTTGTGGTCCCAGGCAAAGTGGACATATCTAGGTAAAGTAGCAGGATATAGGAGTTATAGTTGCCGAGTGTTGGCAGGGGGCAGTGTGGGCGGCCCGGGTACTGAGTGAAACCGAGCACATTAACAGTGATGTTAAGGGTACCACAGGAACCTGTGGGCACGTGTCGTGTCGACGTGTCTGGAGGCACAGTAATGGGAACAGTTCATATTGGGCGTTAGGTGGATCACGGCGAGTGTCCCAGGGAGGTCCGGAGTGCAGCTATTTTAATGTTGTTTTTATACAAAAGTTTTCACATTCTTGTAAAGCCACTAGCGCGCATAGCGTTTCGGGCAGAATTTTAATCTTAAATTTCCCTGGAATACAATAAAATCGTTTCACAACCAGGTGATTTTCCCTGTTGGATGAACGGTGACGTTCACTTAAGGGGTAGCGCCTAGTCAATCCTCGCCGGCCAGGATACGAATCCA